AGTTGGTAGTTACTGGGTTGATATTTTGGACGTAGGATTTTCTTACTGTTAGTTACTAAGTTGATGACTGAGGCGTAGCAGGATTGTTGGTTTTTGGTGGTTGCCTTATAGATTGTGGCTATAGGTTATGTTGTTCCTACGGGCTGAAATGACAGCTATCTTCAAGAATCTCAAAATAGGTGGTTGTTACTCTACGATATTATCAAGGGTTTAAAAGAATATAAAGATGTGAAAGGTAACTCTGCTAATTTTTTCGAGCATTTTCTCACTTGGTCATTTTCGTAAACTTTGCCATGTTCTTGAAAATGAGAGCTCTTGATGTCGCCGCGTTGGCGTTGTGCTACATGGGAACGGCGGTCAATGCTATCAGTCTCAACGTCAAGGCAATTGAACCCACGGCTGCTGGTCAACTTGGCGTGAATCTCGTTGAACCAATCCCATCTGCCAATGCCCTGTAAGTTATAATGCAAATTGCAAAGCCCACTTTGGCATCTACTGATGGTTGTTTCAAAGTATTGGGAAAATCGGCAAAAATACAGAATACCTCACTGACATCGGCGGCACCACAACATCTGTAAGTACAATATCAACTCGAACATGAAAAGATCTAACGGCTCGCAGTGGAAAGGACCTGATAAAAGCTTCATTACAAAGACGACAGCTACAGTCACTAATACCGTGGGCGCTGTCGCAGCTATCACTAAAGAAGCCTCCGTTATCGTAACACAGGATACAAACGACAACTTCAGCATCCTTCTCGGGCCCGCGCTGCGCGCGAAGCTCATCGAGGTCGCAAAAACCATCCCCGCATGCGGCGCCATAAAACGCGCCGCATCCTGTGGCTATACGGCCTTCACGGAAGCCGTCGCGCAGTTCGGGCCTATTGGGGAAATTGCTGAGATCGAAAATGCCATGCCCGCGGGCCGACTCGTCATTCCTGCAAACGATATTGCGCAGCTCATTGCGCTGTTTAGGACCGGTGCAGCGGCTTCGGTCTCGCCTGCTGCGGCAGTTGGAGGTGGGACGTTGGGGTTGCTATATCTTCTGTATGATCAGTGGAATAGTAATAAGGAAATCCCCCCAGCAATAGATGTGCCAAATAGTGTTGCGGGCACGACAAAGACCTCGGCGAGCTCGTCTTCGACGTCGGCGGCGTGTCCGGGACCTACGGATCAGGTGAGAATCCCGTGAGCAATGATCGAGGAAGAGTGCTGACTAAATGAAGCCTAATTGTCCAGATGATAATTGTAAGGGTGACGACAACAAGAAATGTACAGTGGTAAATCATATAAACACCCTTCCTCTTTCTTACTCCGCCCTGCTTACCATATCTCCAGGGAGAACAAAAAGACTGCAAATGCACCGGTATAGACGTTGATATCTCCACAGACTTCGCCACAGAATGGAACAACATCCGATCAGTTGTCGAGCAAATCACTCTCAGCACAGAAAGCCGACCCGTGCCTATATGTACTGAAAGCAACAAAGTCGGGCTCGAAACTAAGTTGTGGAAAGCGTATGTTTCCTCCTGGAAGTAATAGGCATCAGCTGACAATTTCAAGCATCGTCACAAATGTGTGCGCCTCCAAGCCCCTCAGCGCAGACATTGACGCCATCATGACCGCCAAAGACGTCGGCTTCCCGGGTTATGACGGCTGGACCTTCGCCGTCACCTGGAGGTACCACCAAGGCGACTGCGTGTTCGGCTGCGAGGAGATGTTTAACGGTTTTCTGGACAGCACTCAATGTAAGCATCATCCTCCCTACCACCGTCTGCACCGGCTGACGTTAATTCCAGGCTCCTCTGATTCTCATACCTTCTCTGGCTCTGGCAATAATACAGAAGGCTGCGGAACTGCTAGCTTTATTGTCAACCAGCCCATCGTAGCTCCCAAGCCTACCCACACCCCCGACCCGCCAACACCTGTCGGGCCGGCTCTGGGCGTCCCGACTTGCGGCGGCGGGCTGTCCTTCCAACAGTCTGATGCGGCTGATTCGGCGAATAAGTTCTGCGAGCAGCTTGCCAAGGACAAGTCGTGGGCTAAGGGCCCGCAGGACATAAGGTTCCCGAAAGTCAAGATTTATAATAAAGATGGAACGGTGAATCCTGACCAGCAGTTCGTTCTGGTCGTGAGTCCGAATGCCGCCTGGTGTCCGAAGGATTTGACGCTTGATATGCTGGCGAACACGATGAAAGTTGATCGCTGTGTGGCTAATATAATGATTGGAGTTGATGGATGTAAGTGTTCACTTTTTCTGGGTTTATAGAGAGACTATTTTGCATCTTCTTTCTCTTATGATTAAAAGGCTGATATTGTGGATAGGTGCCCCATTTGTTGCGCCAAAAAATGGAAAGTTTTTAAAGACCAGCGGGATAAGTTATGAGGATTGTATACAATGGCAGGTTAGTGTATTTGGGGCCTAAGTAAGTATATCTATATAGGGACCTAGGGGTCTCCAGCAAAAGCCAACCGAGGACTTGTAGGAGCTAAAACGGAATCCCCTTACCACCAAAGCGTCGGGTGTCCGTTCTTGGCTCCCTCTTAGTCTTATGGGTGCCAATTTTGGTTCTCGTCAGGGTGGAGAGTTGGGCTGTCTAAGAAAGGTTAAGGAGGTCTCCTCGAAAGGACCAAAATCGGCTTAGCAAGAACCTTTAATAAGTGTGACAGGGAAATTAGAACGGATGCTGTCATGGTATCTTGATAGGCTTAAAGAGATGGCTGTATTGTAGGTAGTAGGACATGCAAAGTTCTATGTATAAATGAAATGGAAATTGTAGCTGATTCGCGAGGGCGGCTAGAAGAGGTCCCCCTTAAGAATAATCCTGCTGACTCACGAGCGTGCTCAGGACTCAAGGCTCATCTTAGGTTAGAGCAGCGATTTCTCAGGTCCAAAGATGGAAGTGGGCTTTAGTGAGGTCAAAATTCGGCGCAGATTATTTCGAGTTTCGCTAGTGGGGTGGCTTGAGAAAAGGGGGTTGCAAGGTAATAAACGAGATACTGTATGACTCTCAAAGCCTACTACGTTGCCCTTAGAATGACTTGGAACAAATAATGCTTAGTGGATAGTAGGGGTGGTGTATCCATACCTAGTATTAGCTAGGTTGAACTATTTGGGAATTCATTTGTTATTGTAAACACACTCGTTTAGTATTTAGCTAGCTAGGTCTTTATACTTATCAAAAAAAAAGGTCGTTAACTGCTACGATCTGTCTCTTATACACATCTAGATGTGTATAAGAGACAGGTCTTTATACTTATCAAAAAAAAAGGTCGTTAACTGCCTACGATCTAGTATCTCTTAGTCTGCTATCAGCGTGCTATCCTGATTTCTGCCGTGGCCTTAATAAATGCATCTGTAAGGATCTTCCGTCATATTTTCACTGTCTTAAGGTATATTTCAATGTATGAAAGAGTGTTGAAACTTACATTACTTTAACGTGGAATCATGGAAATGCAATTTCGCCTTGCTTAGTTTACAAAAGCCCGAGCAGGCTTATTCGTTAGATTCAGCGATCATTTGGCAAAGAGGGCGACTTTAGATTTGAGAGCTGAAAAATACGAGAGAGGGAGAGAGAGAGTTTATTGACATTAATATTCTTCATCAGGCTTTCTCTCTTCAGGCATATCAAATGTTTATCCTCATGCAAGATATCCCCGCCATTTTGGTAAGCCCTTAGAATTTCAGAGTTCCGTTCCTTCACGTTACTGACCATGAGGTCAATGGCATCGGTGGCATACTCCTCCAGGCGTTTCTCGTTAGCTTCTTTTGCCTCCTCCTGAATTTCGTGGAGACGCTTAAGCCAGTATATCCATCTCCATGGTGTAAATCCCGTTGGTGATCGCTTCCCGAGCTCTGATTCGATGAACATCCGGCCACCCTGGCCAATCGTGCTTGGGCAATCATTCCATGAGACATCCGAGAGTTGAATGAGATTGTGACTGGCCTCCTTGATCCACGAACAGGCAGCTGGCAATAATTGTGCAATGTCAAGACTCGAGATGCTTCGATGTGTATCTTCATCATCCGGCTTCTCTGTGGTGCGAAGGTCTCGTCCATCCTCAAAAGTAGAGCGGAATAGGACGAGGGCAATCTGGCACAATCCATCCTTGCTAATACGGACTGACGCCAGCTTAGCTAAAAAGGACGCAAAGTTGAGGCGCTGGACGCCCGACATGGACGCGCAATTGTTGATCCAGAAGTCGGTCATGTCAGTGACCAAGAAGGGCAGGTCATTCCATAGCGTGCCGTTGACTGTTCGTGCGATATCGATCCCCTACAACCCAGACACAGGCCTGGTCAACGGCCCCAGTCCCTGAATGCGGAGGATATCGAGGACCAGGCGATCGTGGCCAGACGTTTCATAAGACGTATGTCGACTGAGCTGGTAGTAGATGTGCCACAGGGAATGAAGGTAGCCTTCAAGGGAGTCCACCCCATCCCCCAGGTTACAGTATCGTTCGCTGACGATCGAGGTTCGATTATAGAAGGCTGCTCCCCGGAGTTCCTCAAATTCCCCCCGAGCGACGCATTCACGCACATCCTGCTAATCTAAAGCGGCGCGGTCTAGCATGGTGAGCTCGGGAGGGCCTTTTGGCGAGGGGCTCAGCAGGGCATCACGGAGATGGTGCATCTTGATATGGCGGTGATGTTGGTAAATGGATTAGTCGGGTGTAGTAATAAGAATGAAAGAGAAAGGAAGGCACCTACCTATGGACATGGCTTTAAACAGGTACGATTGAAAGGGGGCGCCTCGCTAATTCCTAGCCATGCACGTGCTCCCAATGATCAGCATATTGCAACATTACTCTATATGTCCTTGATACTTTCGCATTTTATTTCTTGTTCTATCGAAGTCGCAATGCCGTTGCCACCACCGTCACCGCGGCCACCTCACCAAGGTGCATTACGGGAGGATTTACTCGTGCTTCGCCACATTTTTGATCTCAATCTTGGCCGACAAGCACCAGACCCCATGTTCCTGGGAGAGAACTTGCCGGACTCTTTCATTAAAGACTTGCTGATAGTCGGTCTTGATGTGGAGAATGCTAAGGTGATCCATCTTACAAGCAATTCACAAATTCAAGTCGGCCTCTCTATACTCGATACTCGACATTTGCAAATAAGTATCCAAGATACGTGTATCGAGAACGGGTCGCATGTCTTACTTGATAGGACCCAAAAAGGGATTCCAAAAAACAACACGGAATGTTTGTTATGGTCAATCTAAGCATATTGTACTCGAAGATCTTAACAACGAGCTCCAAAGCTTAGTCTCGGGTCGAGATTTTATTCTTGTCGTTCACGGTGGAAAATTCGATCTTCGCTTTTTCAAGCCGCCAAGGTAGAGCTCTCTCCTCTCTACGTTTTGGATACACAAAACGCCGCTCAACATCCATTGGATCTTACTTTTCGGCATTCACTAGAAGGTATACTCAACCTGTTGCAGTGTCCAACTGGAAATGGAATATTTCACGTTGCTAGTAACGATGCCAACTTCACCGTCCGCGCTTTACTACTCATTGCTACTGTCGATGCTATGGCAGCCAACCAATCACTTTTGGAGCCTGCTCAAAAGAGTCTTCTCTCGGGTTGCGAAACTATTGGTAGAGGACCAATACCTCTAAGTGATCGTCAGAAAGACGACAATGAACGCCGGGAAAGAGAGCAAAATAGGAAAATAAAAGCCCTCGAGAAGAGGTATGCGAAGAGGGAAGAGATGCGGAAGAAATACAGAGATAGCGATCTGGAGGCTCAGAAATATGCGGAGAGGCAAGCGAAGCGAGAGAAAGAAAAGGAGGGCAATTCGAAGGCTCCTGTATAAGAAAGGGCAAGAATCATTTGGACAAGTTCTAAACGGACACAAGATTCGGTCTGATTCAAGGTTGGAAGCAGATTGGCACACCAAACTTTCGGGCCGAGACGTAAAGGGAGGCATGGTTCTCTGCCAAATACTTGTTTTCCCAACGTGGTATCGAGAAAGGTCTGGATTTCTGCAAGGCTTGGACCAAGAGATCATGCCTTGAGGATGACTACTCCATGCGGATACCACAACAATACCCAGGAAGGAAAGCTGGCCGTAATTCTTCGAGAAGGAGTTGGCCATACCACGGAGCGGCTGCATGTGTTGAGAGAGTGCGGGTAAGGAAACAGAGCATATGGGGATGCTCGAAAGCGGGATACTGAGAATGGAGTCGAAAATGTCAGTCTCCATCTACTAATTGTCGGCTTTATCCTATTGCAAAGTTTAGATTGAGCGAGAGAACTCCATTATTCGTACATACTGCATGCGGCACAACTAAAATATTCGACCTCGGATTATTTCGGGCTCTGTTATACAGCATTTTCACATTTCTCTCCATTCTTCTAACCTTGTCGTCGACGGCTTATAACTCGTATATCCCAAATTAGCTATACTTTAGTAATCTTTAGAGCTAGTTTATAAATAAAATAATCCTAAAAGTACTTGGTAGTTAAATGGGACATTAGCCACTAGTTCATTAATCCAAATTACTAACATTCGCAGTTTGCGGAGGCTTGAGACTGTTTCAAACAATGGCATGTTTGGTGTATGCATCTCAATAATATATTTGGGGGGGTTTATTTTTGTATATAAGTACATATATACATATATACATATATGCAAGTATGCATTTATTCATTCATCATTCACACATCCCAATCGGCGACTCCAACCGAACCGTAAAACCGTCTCAGAACTTCTCAAAGTACAGTTACGTACTGAATTATCCAGTCCAAACGGCGGGACCTGGGATAATGTACTTGGTGATGGTCTGGTAGATGTTGATGAGAATTCCGGGGTCGTTAGCACTGTATGCGCCCTATTAGAGATTGGGGTGGTTAGCATTATCTTTCTCTCGAGATATAACCTTTTATAACTACTGGGATACATAAGGTTGAGGTTTCAAGCTCAAGGGTATCCCGGAACCCATGGGAGTCATTTGAAACAGAAAACAAAGCGGCTGAGGTAAACTTACTGGGAATGACACTCCAGGAGGATTGGCAGTTCCGCTTCCGGTGAGGTTGATCTGGAAGCAGGTCATATAAAATTGAGCACCACCTGCAGAGCCAGCAGAGTGGAGGGCAATAGCCTCAGCTCTGACGAGATAATCGCCTGGTGCTAAGCTAGCTGGTACCTTGACGGACTTCTTCCCACAGTTGCTATTGAGAGAGTCCTAGGAATAGTCAGTATAAACCCTAGAGGATTAAATACTCAGTTGGCGGGTAGGAATCCATACCGTTCCCCACTTCTTGGTTGCCGTGTCGTATCCTTCCTCAGCAATCTTGAACCATTTGCCGGATCCTGGATCTGATGCGGAGCTTGAGACCTTGGACATATATATCATGACTGGTCCGAAATGGTTTCCTCCGATGGCCTCGTTCTTGCAGTTTCGGTCGCCGGGCTGTGCGTGCATCTCAACGGTAATTTCTCCACCAGCTGCCAGAGGCTGTTAGATGTAAATTCGGGATTTGGTCAGATGAGTACGTACCTGGTACTGAGCAGACGCCGGTGACTGGCTTGGTGCCAGCATTGCATCTGATGTCGTTGGAGGAGACGCTAGTTACGGGGCTATTGCTAAGAGGCATGCGAGCACAGGTGCTAACTTGGTCCTTTCTGCGCAAAATCAACATCCATCTGCATATAATGTTTGGAGTACCGGAAAATAAAGCCGCGGGGAGAATGCATACCCATCAACCCATAAGTCTTGGAATATAGAGTGACCAACAACAGAAGTAGCACAGACCAAAAGACCCACAGCGGTTACAAAAGACTTCATGATGAAAATTTGAGCCTGGAAAGATAGATATTGAACAGAGGTGAGGAGGCCAAGATAAGAAAGGCGGGCGCCTGGGGATACTTATGGGATTTCCGGCGACTCTATCACCAGGTCCAAAAGATTTCAGTTCATGGCGCATTTCGTAAATGTGGGGTGCATATATCTGGGGTATTGAAGAGAGCCACTCGTTGAATGAAATTGATGAGGTTTGTACAATTGCCTGAATCTGAAACGGGGCGCGGCCCGGCTCTTATGAATTAAACAATTTATGGTTAAAACGGAGAGTAAGCACATTGGTCATAAAGATATGAAATGGACCTTATATGATGATCATATGATATTAAATTTCGGTATTTCTTCATTGAAGTTCCTTGATTCCCCGCTTGTTGACATAAAGAGCGGATCAACAGCGCCATGCCCGTCATATAAATGAAGGGTGGATCGTTTGGGCCGCAATAATAATCCAAAAGTAGGTATTTCGGAACACTGAGCCGTAACAATTCTAGACCTTTCCAGAGCGGTTGTCTGTATATACGATAGGTTCCCATTACTGAATGCGATCAAACCTGGTGGCATTATTGCAATGAAGCAGATTCGCATTGCGGGCGGAAAACGAAAATGAAGATATAAACGGTAATAATTCGTGTTTGAACCAACGCTAAACAGACTATTCATTACAGCGAGTCCCATCTTGAAGACTCGGAGTATGTTTGCGACCTTTTCCGCATTTCATGTCTGATGTTGAGCAAGGACGAAGGCGCAGTCCAAGAGGATCCGAAACCCGAAGGAAATGAACTCCACAGTGCCCCAACCGAAGTGCGCGGGAAGCTACCGGTAGGCAATAAACAAGTCTCGAACCGTTTCAGGGATCTTTTCCTTTCCAAGGGTCCGCATGTGTAGACCGGTATTTTCAGTAACTTGCTTTCCTGCGCATTGTCTATCGCGCGTCAATTGAAGCTATTCCCGCTTGCCTTTATTGTCGCCGCCTCCGTCGTCAAAGTATCGCCTGTGCCCTGGTATGGCGCATTATAGCTAGGGATAATGTACCTTGTAAGGAATCTACTTCCTCCTGCCATATCTTCTATATACTGACCTTAATTGAAACTATTCGTTCCGTCCCGTCTGTCTGCAAATATGCCGTTTTTAATCTCACTAAACCTCAATTCAATCAAAGCGCAGTGGGTGGGCAAAGTGTAATGAGGGATAACAATTTATTAAATAGAATGTTCTACTTTCTGTGGAACATTAATAAGAAAGGAATAGCTTACGAGGCTTCCACAACTTTCTTCGTGGCGCTTTTTGGTGCTTTCCTACCTATGTATGTACGTACTACGCAACTGGGTATATCGCGAGATCAAAATATGTGCTCTCAACTTCTGAGTATAATTTGACATCGTAACGAAAAGCTGCTACCTATCATGGCTCCTTCCAGAATCTTGACGGAGAGAGAGGTGGAGATGAGCCCGTTTAGAAGGCTGGGTCGCCAGGGCTGCCCGGATGGCCACCGGGACTGGAGAGACCGCACTCGCTGGTCCTTCCGGCCAGCTTAAGAAACCCATCCATGAGTTGGAAGGTCGAGTCTCGGAGGCAACGGAAGGTATAACGGGAAATATGGAGAATCGCGAATGATGCCTTGGGTTTGCGGGAGAAAAACATCCTTGATTACTATTCCGACGGCGTTTAAGTTCTCTTGTTGCTTTCCCCCTTTACTCCGAAGTATAGGCCGTACATTTCTTCCATCTCTTCACTATTCTGCAGAGAAAATTTGTAGGCTAGGAACTCTCGACATAAGCTGGGTCTTCATTCCATCATATGTATAAAGTTTGTGTACATGTCAACAACCAGACTCTTACTTCCAGTATCCTGCTTGCTTAAAACTTCCGCTCCGCACCTTCGAACTCCTGGCACCCATACGATTTCCCCGAAAACGCCATGCTGCAATACAAAACAAAATTCATCAAGACGTATTCAATTCCCCGATGGCAACCCCCCTCTGTTGAATTGTTTACCAAAATGAACTCCTGGGCCGAGGGGAGATGTGATCACTCCTTCGGCCGAAAGTTCTGGCCGTGAATTCAGATTGGTATTTATCTGGGACTGCTGAGGCGGAGGTAGGATGATGATCCGGTGGAGGTAGGTTGGCTTGTGGTTCTTGGGCGAAACCTTGAGTAACCAAGGTAGGCTTCGCAACTCGATCGGGAGATATCAGGGCTGGCTCTTCAACCGCACGGTTTTGAGCGTGACTGTAGTTTCCTGAATTGGGAGATGGCTGATGGTTCATTAAGGAGGGAGAGATAGACGGCGTTGATGTTGCTGGCGGTTGAACTGGTTCACCACGAGCTAAATAAGTCGGGCTCCGATAATCACCCTCATTGTCCGACTCGCTGCTAGAAAATGCTGGAGGGTATTTTGGATAATTTGGCGAGACAGCAGGATGCCCATCGTTCGATTCCGACATGCCATTGTCAAGATCTGGAGTCGTTAAAGCAGTCGAGGGCGAAGCTTCCGTATTCTTTGATTGGATGCTTGTATCCGTAGCGGCAGAAGAAGGCTCTGAGATAAGTCTTGCTTGTGGGCGAATCGAGGTGTCGACCACAAGAAGTTCTTTCTCCCCACGACCCAAAATTCCATACACATTTACCTCGCCTTGATTGATCCCTAGCACCGTACTCGTACCGGCATATACCACTTCTTCTTCAGATCCACATCGATTGGCAATAACGACGATGATTTCCCCGATCGTTTCTGCTCTGATTACCGGTTCCAGTCTCGATAACCAGTACGATAAAGTTTCCATGTCTGGTTCTTGAGGTGCCCTTGAGAAGGTCGTAATATCCTCACGAGTGAGCCAGGCCATCGATAGAACCACCAGATTCGACTCCCTGTGGAGGATGTGATACGCAAACTCCCAGGCGTTCCATGGCGCTTCGAATTTATAGGGACTTGAGCATTTTGTTAGTGACATTCCGATTTTCCCTGGCTTCAAGGAAGGAGTACTTTAAATCCATACAAATCCCCATAGCAACGTTGCCAAGATCGTCTATCGTCCCGCTATAGAATCCAGATCCTTCAAGTGCCCATGTTTCATCCGTATAGTAAAGGAAAGACTTCCGATAATTGGCCACAGTTTCACCGTCCGGGTTGACTGTGATGGCCGAGTTGTAGTACTCTGGCCCCGCTGGCCATTTCGGGCTCACGTCCACCTTTTCAGGATAACCCGCAGTAACAAAACAATTGTACTTCAACGCTGTGGTGCGCGCCCATAGGGAGGTAATTCCAGCAGCGGCTGGCTCAAGGAAGGGTGAAATGTGCTGTAGTGAGCGGAAGTTGTATCCCTATGCATATTGCATTAGCAAGTGCTTTCTGAAATATTGCGCACGTTTATCCACTGCACATGCCGGCCCACTGCGCAAAGCAGGTGAAAGTTGAAGATGCCCAGTAAACCGCACTGCCCCCCAACTACAGCATTGGGCGCAATGCTAACAGTAGCCATCCCTGAGGCAATCAATCAAGACAGGGCCGAGCTGGAGGGGAGATGTTTTAAGGGAAACAATGTCGAATCAAGACGTACTGTAAAGCAAAGCTCTGGCAAAACCAATAAGTCTAAGTCTTTGGGATTAGCTCTACTGAGCACGGCGTCCGCTCGATTGAGGTTGTTGTCGACATCTCCAACCTGCACAAGTCAGCATTGGTCTGTTTGAGTAGGTTGTACAAAGTAGAGGTCAAGACGCACTTGAGGCGCAAACTGAAGACAGGCAATCCTCATCTTCGCATAGCATTCCCACGCCCCAATCCAATATGCGATCAACCTCTGTACGAAGGTACCAGTACTCGGACGTACTTCGCACTTTGGAGGTGTCCCGACAGAGTGGGAGCGAATGCCACGAGGGCAGAAACCAACTTATAGCCCCAGGAAGGAATGCTGGGTTCTGCTGCGCCGCCAAAGGGCTCCGTGCACAAGATAGGCTGGGCACCTGGTTCCAGGGCATACCACTGGCTTGATGTCAAGTTTCTGGGCGTAATGGGCGTGCTGTGGTTAGTTGCAACTAGCAACTGTGGTTCTGTGATGAGGCGCAATAGCGTGGTGATGTTGGGCCGTACAGCGGCGCTTGGGACTATCATTGGGTGGTAGGGTCCCTTGCGGGCGCTTACACGCATAAGAGAGCGACGGCCAATCCACGCCACTTATCTGGCAAACCCCGCGACAAGCGACTGAAAAGAAACAGCCACGAAGTATGTCTCACTGGATGGCAGAATTCATTAATTAAAGTTTCCTTTGAAGACAAAGTTTATTTAAATATGAATTTTATGCTTCGTTCGTACGTACGTAGCACGTAGTACTGGTACAAGTACTAAGTACGTACGAATATACCCCGATTTCGTAACGCAACTCGCTCGCCCCGAGAAAAGTCAAGTCTGTTTCTCTGGTTACATTGCTTCATCACAATGCTACAACTTTCCTCTTTGCGTTGACCTGTAGGTATTACTGTACACACGACAAACTTCGGCTCAGGCCTCCACACCAACATCTCTGTACCCAAGAGGCACGGCTGTGCTTTTCCGCTTTGAACTTACATAGCCGTTGAATAATGGCGCTTTCCACACACCCTCAGGACACACCTGAAGTCCTGAAGCGCTCTCGTTGGACCTGCACCCACAGTTGTATGCCGGTAGATCTTGTTGGCTTGCCTCAACGCTAGACGTTATGGCTTGCATGCGTGTACAACCTGACGTATCTAAGGAGTAGGTATATGCGTAGATCGGACCTTCGTTTTTATCTTGACCTTGCAACGAGCCTTAGCCATAAATCCCCACTATCAAGTTGGAGTACCACGCCCGCATTTTTCATTGTTCGTCTGTTGGCCATCTGCAGGGCCTTGCTGCGCCAGTTTCCCCCTATCTGGGTGCACCTACCTAGCTGCTGGGTTGTAAGAGTTTTGAAGACATCGGCGCGGGAAGGTCTGTAGAAATCGTGTCCTGAAGCAACCGCGCTTCCACGACCAAAGTCCTCCCTAACGTTCTTCCCTGACTTGCCAAGTAAGCTCCATTCCATCGCCGAGTATAGCTACCAGCCCACCACAAATTGTAACCATTGCTCTCATATCATACCATAACTCGCTCTCCAGTAATCTTCACATCCAGTAGATGCCTCCATATTTTGAGTAGCTACTTTCTGGTAGCACAAGTGTTCACTCGAGTGGCTTTGCCAACTCCAACCACTCGGTAGACGGACCCGTGGGCCAGGACCCGGTGGTCCACATGGGCTCTGAAACTTTGTCTGCTTTCTCAATCCTGGTGACCCGATCTTCAGGGTCCCCTAGCCAAGTCTCTAGCATAGTCGGGTCTTGCTTCTCCTATTATATAGTCATATTAATCACCATTTTCAACAAAATTGGGAGCTATGGGAGTCTCAAGAGAGCCGCGAGATATAGCTCAGGCTATGCCCTCGCTAAAATTTATCCAAGATGGTTTAAATTTTACATAGATTTGATTTGCTAAATCTGGAAAATCAGAGTGTGTTTGGAAATCAAAATCAGATGGATATTCATACCATTCACTCACGGCTCTCAGTTTGATAGAAGAGGGGAAATATCACAAAAGAAATCGACTTACTTGCAGTGCTTCCTCCTCGTCCAAATCCATGATAAAGCGGACTGCTTCGGGCAATAGAACAACGACCTCATTCTCATTAATAACCCTTTGAACCTCTAGGCCTTGAAAGCTGATGGGCTGACTGAGTCCGGTCGTCCATTCCGTTCGAACGAAACGAACCAATTCCTGCTCGAAATGAGATTTGCGTTGTTCCATCGGATTTTCGATTATAATAATCAGGGCGTGACACAGAGGTTTGATATTGAAGTACTTAATTTGGTGGTTGGCATTCAAGCAGACGTCCCCGGTACCAGGGGCGATCTTCTCTGCCGGGTCATCCTCGGCAAAGCCTTTATCTTTTGCAGCATCAATAGCATCGAGTAGTATCTTATGTAGCTTAAGAACGTCTTGCATTGTAGGTCTCGCGCCATCACTACGCGATGTCTCGATAAATTTAGCGAAGAGGGGGCCAAATTCGATGTCTGTGGTGTGGATATCGCGATGCGACCAAATTCCTGTCAATAGAGTCAGTAATTCCCTGGTATGGGAGAGGTCTCGAGAGTAAGTGGGTGCAAATAGGCTCGCTGGGGTTATAAAGGTGGCACTGCCACAAATATTGAATTGTCCAACCAGGTTTAATTTTTCGAACCGGGCTTGATTTTCTAAGTTTTAAGAAATTCAATTTTCTTTTGACAACTGCTACTGACGAGCGACAATCTCTAGAGCGGCCCGGCGAGTTATGTTCGTTTCTTAAAGGCAAACTCGCAGCTTTTTGTGAAGACCGGTCAAATAAAGGATAGAAAAAGTAGCTGACCAAATATGTACTCACATAAAGGGATACCCCAAGCGTTGGAATCGGTGCCATAGATCGCTGTTGCCTTGTTACAAACGTCTTGGAGTTGCTCAACTCGGTATACAGGGTAGCTGAATTTGGTTGCGTATTCTGGAAGTGGAAGATCAACTTTTAGGTTGCGAGATGTGCCGAAGAAGTGCTCCCGAAATTGACTCTCTCTCTCTCTTGTCGGAGCCGGCGTAGGAAGTCAGCATCGCTCCAGAGACGCTTCTCCTATATCTTCCTATCGACGGTTGGCGGGGTGATTTCATCACTCTTGATCTTTGCGTCACGAGTGGTAGCCATGGGTCTAGTGAGGTGGAGATATGTTTTGTCTTCTGTGGTTTGCGAATCGGAATAGCTGGAATAGTTCGTGAATCGTGGCCGAGTAGGAGGGGAGCTGTTAATACAGAAACGACGAGTTGTAAAAAGGATGAATTTTGGGGCTTTTCTTTATAATGGTGCTAAAAATGTGGAACCGTAGTTTGTATGGTGCGCAACCTAAATTACAGTGTCGCTATACGCACTGTAGTAAACTGCTGCCTATACATCGCAACCTTAACTTACTAATTGCTGAATTGAAGCTATTCCCCTGTTCAATATTGCTCACCTGTTTCCTACCTATACCTTTCCCACCTTCGCTTTGCCCTTACTCACCTTAACTCACACAGTATTGCAATAAGCAGCCCTACTCGCATTTTTGAACAAGAACAGATTTCGTTCAAGTTAGGATTCAGGTTTGACCAGATGTTAGACTGTGTTGTGTTGTTGTCGGGGTACTATTCGCAGGTCCCGCCGCGATCGGCGGTCGGAACTCGGAGGTTGGTAGCTGACGAGGTCTTCTTTGCACCTAGCCGTTTTGGGGTAGGCCCGAGCTAACAGCCGAAGAACACCTCACATCTTTCAAAACCTGCGTCCTTCAAGCTTCAACCTCCAGACCTGTTCTCCAACTCCAAGCCCACCTTGTGTGAGGTTCCAAACCCTTTACATCAACTTCAAAATCACCGGGTGTTTATCCTCACCGCAATCATGTCGGCTGTGGAATATTTCAAACAAGCTCCGCCCATCATAAGGTAAGCTTCCTGCTCGTTTCCTGGTTTGCATCTTTGCTGATGCTGATGCAGCTTAGGACCATTGCTGCCTCGGCCTTCACCCTCTCCATCCTAGTATACACAGGCGTCGTTCCTGGATACTATGTTGTATTCTACCCCCAAACTTTATTATGGCTACCGCCTCAGCTATGGCGATTGGTCACCTCCTTCCTGATAACAGGACCTCAACTATCGATCCTTTTCGACACATACTTTTGTGGGTTTCTCGCCGATATGAAAACGCAAAGTTTTGTACTGACTTAGGTGTAGTATACACGTATGGAGCGAAGCTGGAAAGATCATCGCCGAAGTTCACCAAACCTGGAGAATTTTTCACATACATCGTCTTTGTGATGTTGACCATTGTGGTAAGCTACTTTATTCTCCCCTTTTCAGTTGATTCCCTTTCCACACCTCTTATTACTGCCCGGGTAGTGCAATGCACTCAGCTATCGCGGTTCCTGAAAATGAGGAAGATTACCCCTGCACTTCGATCTGGCCCGTCATTCGCAAAAATACATAGGGCTAGGTCGGGGTGTGGGCATGGTGGGATGTTCTTGAGAATAAACTCGTGTCGATTCACCCACTTCGCTCGAGTGGTTGTAGCTCCCTACATATCATCGCGTGAATCGTTTATGGCTATTCGCCAGGTGTCCGGTTTGAATCTGATCTGACACTTATTAGGGATTGAATCACTTCATCACAGGCACAACTGTCTTCACATCAGGACTGATTATGGCATTCATTTACACATCATCTCAAGATGACCGAGGGACCATGGCCACCCTTTACATCATAACGATTCCCGCACAATGGCTCCCACTTGCCATGATCCTCATAACATTTTTGATGAGCGGCAAGACAGCGGCGCTGGTGTCCCTGACTGGTCTCATCGCTGCCCATCTTCACGACTTTTTAACACGGCTGTGGCCTACTTTCGGCGGTGGTAGAAACCTGCTTCCCACCCCGGGTTTCGTCAGAAGGATGTTCGAGACGAAGACTGCGTCTGTAACTCATAAGAGTTATGGAACGGCTTTTGCTCAGCCCCAGGGGCAAGGGTCTTCTAGTGGTCCATTACCGGAATCGTGGAAGAGCCGGGGCTCTGGGCACCGACTCGGAGGAACCTGAGTCCAATTGTTACTGTATTATATGATGATCATACCCGGAGGATTAGGTCGGCGTTAAATGAAATTTGTGTGCTGCCGTGTTCTACATCTCGCTTGCCTTTATGCCGTGACGCGCTTCACTCAGTATGAGTTCCCGTGAAATTAGCATCCGGAGTAAGCTATGCAATAACTAGTATGTCTAAGCATGGCATATTTCAAGTCAGGCGCGTATCCGCTGTAAAATGCAGTTGTAGAAATGTAGCATGCTAGATTGCCGAGTATATACTCTACCTTCAGGGTAGTTGGGCATCTCTCTCTGGAAGCACCACATCTCCCACACCAAGCGACCGACAGCATACGATGGTTAGTTGCATGGCATATGACGGCGGAATATCATATCGCCACACGCGGATACTCAACATCACAGAGGGCAAATATAGCGTATCGACGCACAACCGAAGATCTGATGAGATGTATTGAGAAAACCCTCACATAACTCCACTTTTACCGTACCTACAAATATCCTGCAGCAAGTACCTTACTGTATGATACAAAATAACAACGCCAGACCAGAGTGTGAAACAAAATGCCAGACTGCAAATCCTCAACCGCCCACTATCTGGAAGGAAATCAGACAGATTACTCGCTATCACTCTCTTCCTTCTTTCCCTTCTTCTTCTCTTTCTTCTCCTTCTTCAGTCTTTTTCTCTCGGCCTTCTCCTCTGCTGTCTCGCCCTCATGTCTCTTCCTCTTCTTGTCACTCTCTTCTGCTCCGTTGGTGATGATTGATGTGTCAGCATCGACGGCTGGGATGGCCGGTGCAGACAGAACATCCTCCTTGGAAGTGACCTCAGCAACTGGAGCAGCGCCTCCCTCAAGAGGAGCGTTAAAATCTTGATACTCGGTGTTCCACTTGGCTGGCGTGGCTTCGTTTGGTCGGCCGTATTTGTCGAGTTTTCCATCAGCCTTCATCTTCTTCTTCTCCAGAGCGACGGGACCGAGTCCCCATCTTCGGGGGTAGAGGTCACGCTCCATGATACAACGCTTGACCTTGGCAACGACGCCATGATCGCAGGTTGACAGTTCGACGGTGGACATTTGAGCGATGCCGAGGGCAATTGCTTCACCCTTTGTGGTCATGAGGACAACCTCCTCGTGGACTTCGATACCGGCCTCTGTTACAATTATTAGCCACTGCAACTCGTTCATTGTTGATGAAAACACTTACCATATCTGAGCAATCCTGGAATCATCAACTTGGCACCATAACACACAGCATTGACTGCGCTGTCCTTGACGACAATTCGCTTGTATGTGGTGAGAAGAGTCTCCAATGGGGAGATGACCTTCCTCAGATACGACTCATCCCGGGTGTTATCCTGCATCCACTGTGCATCCAGGACATCATGTAGTGTGACCATATCCGTACCCTCCTCCATTGCTCCACTCCTCACTCGGCGCAGTTCCTGCATATGTGCTCCAACACCAAGCAACAGCCCAAGATGCACACAAAGCGTACGGATATACGTGCCGGCCTCACAGCTGACCCAGAAGACGCCCAAGTGTCGGTCATTATCGAACTCATACAGTTTGCTCTCGTGGATTGTCCGGATACGCAATTGACGCTTAACAGCCGAGATCAGAGGAGGTCGCTGGAACAGGGCACCAGTCAAAGTCTCCAGAGCGCGCGCAAACTGAGCTTCCCCGCCAGGAAGTTTATCGTGCATTCGGATAACACACACATACTCCTTTCCGGCTCCTTGTTGCGACTTCACAAGTCTTGTTGCGCGGTCAATGCAGACGATCAGGCATCCTGTCACCTTGGGATCAAGGGTACCACTGTGTCCGGTTTTCTCGACTCTAATTCACGAGTTAATATTGGATATTTAGATATTGGAAGACCTTGTACCTTAACATGCGCTTCACCCATGCGACAACTTCGTGACTGGAGGGGTTGGAGGGCTTGTCGAGGTTGATCACACCAGAGCTGATGTATGATTTGAGGTCCCGCTTGAGTGGCGTACATCCATTTGGAATCGGTGTGAAGTGGCCGGTGCGAACAAGTACTATTACCGTTCGTTAGCTTTGTCTTCTTCCGCTTCGCACTGAATTGAGAATTTATCTGCAAGCGTACAATTGTTATAGTTCTTGAGGAGCAATGGCCAGTCGCTGGTGTCGACAGCGGGGGTGGTGGATTCTGGCTTGATGGTATAATCCACCTCTTTTGAGGCCGCTACTAAGGCCATCTTGACGGCTGGGAGTTAACAGTTATATTCTGTACTGTTTGTCCCTCGGATTTTGTCGTGCGCGTGGTTGGCGAGTTGTTGGAGTTGAATTTCGCATGGACTCGAAATCTTCGAGAGCTCTGCTTTAATTTTTACCGAAGCTAAAATTCGTGGAGGACCAAGATGCGCTAGCGCTGTTTGGAGCGTAGCGGAGATATCACGTGTAGAAACCCCCTTTGCGAAAATACCAACGTTGAAGTCCCTTGGACCAAATTCCCTATCCTTTTGTATATCCTTTCTTTCGATGTTCCATCATCATTGAAACTCATAAAGCACCTCGGCGCCAGAACTTGCTCAAAGAACGGATCGGGACCAAATTCAACCAGTACGAGCGAGTATCACCAGCAGCATTTTCGACAAATCGATATCGTCTTATTGCGACCCACTGCATACAGAACGAGGGTTGTTGGATCGTGCGGCCTGGGATTAGATAGTCAAGATAACCAACGTTGCATTCTTTACATCTTCCAACAAAATCAGTATATTTTTAACAACTTCCACCCTGATCCGAACGCTCTCGCTAGAGTAAATAATCCAGTGGCAACGGCGTACAATACTCCACAGAACCAGATCAGCCCTTTGTAATTACCACCACCATGCCCACCCAGAATCATACCAGACACAGGAATACCAGCCAGAGTCGCAAACGAAACAAGTCCGTACGCGGTCCCATATCTCGTCCCGTAATCTTCAGTGCGGCAGAGCTGCGATACACAGACCGGTGTCAAACTGTATGCAGTTCCACTGAAAACCCCAAAAAGAATAGAAAACATTGTGATAGCGACTACACTATCTCCTGCAAACATCCACAACGCCAGTATTAAGAGTGTGCACCCCAAACTACTTAAAATCATTACATTGAATCTTCCCCACCGATCTGCAATGATCCCTGGAAGCCCCCGTCCTATCACTGAAGCAGCATTAAGTATGGCGAGCAGTTGGTAAGAAAATGCCGGGTCAACTCCGTGGGCCAAGGCATATGTTGTAATGAAGGAGGGAGGAACCAGAACAGCCAGGTCGATGACAAAGATTGCTGCAATTGTTAAGGTGAAGCGTTTGTCTGTGAATCCTTGAAAATCAAACCCGGTTTTTTTTGCTGTATTTGAAGGCAGTCTGGTAGACATAAGAGCAACAGCAACAGCGCTAAAACCAACGCAGATGAATGCAATAATGCGGATAGTCCATGAGTATCCCACCCGTGGAATTAGAGTTTGAATCAGAATGGGGAAAATGATTCCTCCAATTCCTCCAACCGTAGTGGCAAGTCCTGTTGCAAGTCCTCGACGGGCAGAAAACCAGTGTCCAATGGTGGCGATAGTCGAGGTCCAAATCAGAGAAGCAGACAATCCTCCAAGAACAGAGAAACCTAGCATAAACTGGTAGTATTCTAAATGGGAATTAGTAATGGCAGAACCTATAGTTCTGAAAGTTTACCTTCACAGCTAGCTAGGACTATCAGGGATGCCAAAAATCCTATGGATCCTGGTATAATAAGAACCTTCAGACCATAGGAATCAAATATTGGACCTATATTTGGGATTGGATTATCATTTCGAAAGAACACTAGGTGGAAAAAAACCCACCAGCCTGCAGACCTCCAAAGAAAAAGAGAAATGCAAACACGCTGAATATCCACCCGATTTCCGATTCGGTATATTCTTTCAGCTGATTGGAGAGCAGATATGCTTGCAGCGAGCCGATAGAATTGAGCAATCCAGATGGAGGTAGCAAAGCACACCAGGCGCCAAATAATACCGAATACGCTTTCCACCCACCCTCCGGATATGCTTCGAATGCGTTTGTGGTATGATCGGTCTCGGAATCTTCAACCGTCATTGAACACATTACGGCACTGCCTTCCGTAGGCAACTCTCCACTGCAGAAAGCCACTGCAGGAGTACATAATTGATCCGCAGTGGTATGCGAAGCCATTTTGGAAGTTAATGAGAGCATATGAATTTAAAATGTTGTACGAAGTACCTCTGTAGATATTTCAATTCGTTGTCCAATTAGGATTGAGGTATGCTTAGTCACGTATGTCCTCCGAGGGCTTAGCGTTTGGCAAGGATTGTTGTCTGGCCTACCGAGATAGGTTAAGGCTACTAATAAGCTGAGCTGCTCTCCGGGTTGAGGATCATGGGGTGTTTCCTGGGGCTGGCCTCTTTTTGGATTTTGTTTTGAATTCTTTTTACATCCTATATATTTTTATTCTAGGCCTTCCTTCGCTTGCCTCGCTAACGAATCGAATATTGCCGTGCGGCTTCACCGATATGACCACCTTTAATGGTCTCTTTCGGATTTGGCGAGGTTATTTACCTGGAATTAACACTAAGTACTACGGTTGCTGATCTGAAATTCCTGGCCTTGAGTTGAACCGAATTTGATGTGGCCATTACCCACAGAAGTATTCACAATAATGCTGTTGACTTTAGAATGTAAGATTTTCGTAGCTGTTATCAAGAGGAGTGCACCCACTTTTTTCGAATTGTCTACCGAAGTTCGAGTCTAATCGAATAAAATAATTTAATTTCAGCCGACAAAGGTATCAGCGATCCAGTTCATTATGATACCAAGGTCTCCTTCCGGCGTATTCCTCTCCCGGAGCAACCATCGGCACCGGGACATGGTCCTTGAACACCTCCATCCCCGGCGGGCCTTGGTCTTGTTCCTTGTTTTTCACTTTACTATCACCAGCAAGAACAGGGACAATAACACCGCATTCCCAATTGCGGCAGTTAAGCTTAGGCTCTTTAGTCGACTTGTCTTTAACTAGACGCCCCCTTCAAGAAATCACATTGTCAGCCCCAGTGGCAATACGGTGTTGGTCATGGAAGCTATCAACCTACCAAGCACTTTCCGACAAATTTGCGCTGCCCACGTACGCCCAAGCTACCCCACTACGTGGAGCTTCATGCGGTCGCACGAATATCATTTTGCTGTGCATCAACATACCCTCCCTAAGACTTTTGCAATCGCGCATAAGCGATCGTGGAAATTCGTCGGAATTATACCACTTCGCATTAAAGCAGATAGTGCCTGCGGACTAAGAGATCATTAGTTATCCGTAGTTGAAACGGTCAGCGTAATTAAACACCGCGTGGTGGAAACTCACCCGTACACCGCCCCTGCTGCTTGCAACGGTCTCCCGGACCGGGAAATAGACTCGACAATTTTGTTTCAAGTCTTCCAAAAGCTTACGTTCGGTGAGCGACTCGGTATTAATTTGGCCTCGAGGAGGCTTATTGTATCGCCATGAATACTCCGTCATGCCATCGTCCCCTATCAAATTCAACCAATTAGTTTATGATTATGTCTCTTTGACCGCAATATCTAGAATAAGAATAACTCTGCAGTGTGCTCGTATTTCGGTACATCATCTCGAGTATGGGACACTTGGAGAGTTCCAATCTTGCCAACTCAGCAAATGATGGAGCACAGCGATCATCGCAATTGCATTTCAAAAGATGCTGGAGGAAGGTGAGAAAGGAATATTTCGTTTACCTTGCAGTGCTAAGAACATTGACTTCATAAAACTATTGTTAAGATTACCAAGTGAGGCGGTCTAGATCGACGAGAGTAAGCGGGTGATCGGGACGATGTTGCGCAGGAACGACCAACATACCAGGAAATCAGCACTCAAGGCCTGCCCGGTATGAAGGCCAAGTTTTCGAACTGCAGTACCGAGACCACAGAATCCAGTGCGTTTCCAATCTGATCCACGGTGGGATCCTCCACTACAATGTAGTTAGGCAATTTGTTGAACCCGTCACTGGCTAGCAGACTTACATTGAATGAACAAATGCCAAATGCGCGGTGCGAGAGAAATCGAACTTTTTAATGCTGTTAATCGTTGCTTGACCGAGGCCCATTTTCTCCAGAAAGTATATAAGCTCCGTACCAAAGAGAGTAAGATCGCTGTCTTCGGTTACTTTGCCGTTGGGAAGCCTGGGAAGATCGATCAAAAAGCAAACCTTTTATCGTCAGCTACCATAAGACAACCACTTTTTAATCCTGCTTACATTCTCCATTACACCCGTCTCTCCCCAGTCATAGGGTACAAGATTCGCACTGGGGATGACGATGCGTAGGTGTGTGGGGTGCGCCAAGAGTTGCAGTTTCGAATGCATACAGTTGACATTCCCGTCCATTGGGGGGAAGCAGAACTTGTAGTTGCTCGGAGCACCCGAACGCATATTATCTTTCTATTGGCAGTTAGAAATCTATCAACAAATTTGTGTTTGATGCTACGTCAGTCCGCGACAATGACACAGTATATTTTGAGAACCTACGTCGGCTTCCTCTTTTGCTTGAAGTACCCATATGACCTTGGTCTTGTCATCTAGTTTCGTTTGCACCCATTCTGGATCTACCTGAAAAGCGCTCAGCACAGCGAGTTCGAGGTCCGATTTCTGGAGAACTTCTTCTATCTTGATATCATTGCCCTTGCGAGGATACCCATATGCCCATGTCTTCTTCACTACGCCATCGGGATACTGAATGCTAGAAATGGTTTTTTTGTCCCTATGCGACGAAGCATCTAATGGTTTCGTTTGGTGACTCTTGTCTGGAGAGGTATGCTGGTGTGCTTCTGCGTTTTTCTGAGAGCTTAAAGTGTTGCTGGAAGCTGAAGGATGAACTGCAGCTACCTTGCTAATCTGCTCTTGTTCCTTGACGAGAGATGGAGTTCGCAAGGCTTCGGCGATTGGTACTCTTCCCTTCCGAACAGAGGATTCTGGTGATCCGGATGCTTTTCTCTTCCTCGACAGCTCAGGTTTTGTAGAATCACCGGCCTCCGTTTGCTGTAACCTCTGCTTGGCCCTCGCTATGCGTTCTTCCTCCATTTGCTTGCGGTCTAGTAACCCTAGGATTCCACCACCTGTTGGAGGTTCGCTACGTACTGGAATGGACTGCTCGAACGTGGCAGAACCAAGAGCCATGCTTTTGTTTTGCGATTCCCCATTCTTCTGTTGTTCATTTTCGGTCAGGTCAACGGTGTTGAGCCCATTCGGCTTAATGTCGGCTTTTCTTTGGAGCTTGCTTGGGGATGGGATACTCCTGGTTACCACAGGCGCATCGAGATCATCTTCCTCCTCATCGCTGACAAGGTCTATGACTTCATTCAAACCTCTTTTGGTGGGTGGTGAGGACTCCTGTAACGAAAGTGCAATGGCTCTGTTTAATTCCTCGTCGCTGTCAACATCCGACATTGCACCTGATTCTCGTAAACTGTACCGAGAAGGTCCGATGGGCTTAGGCGATGGTAACCCTTTCGCGGCTTGCGAGCACGCCCTATAACATAGACGATGGGTTGAATTGGGCGTGACTTGGAGAATATCAGGACCAACAAACGGCTTTACTTGATGGAAGATAGGTCGTTGGAAGCGAGATATTCTATTCAGCGCTGCTTGTCTTAACCTCGTCGCCAAGTGAGTGCCAAGCAGGTAATGAGATGGCATGCATCAGCTCAAGGTGGTATTAATAAGGAGGGCTTGGTGGTGGGCGATGGAGATGTACAATATCTCAGCTGGTGACGTTGAAAGTGTTGTGAATGTGGATGCTCGGCCTGTTTGCTCGCGCGTGTGCCGTCGCGTGATCCAGTGATCAATCATCAATCATCGATCACGAATCGGCGACCTTCTTATTAAGCGATATTAAGCGATGCATAAAGGGGCGTTACCGTTTTGTTCTGTTACGAACTTACAATCGCGTGCTATTATCTATTCTTTTATTCTGCCAGGCGGTGTTTATTTCGTTGCACTTCGACCGCTCACCACTTCTGGAATTCTGCCACTGATATACTGCTGTTCGGCCAGGCGGCATGGTTTCGTTGCGTTACGGCCGTTCACCACCTTTTGTTCTGCCAGGATTACGCCTGATTCTGGCGGGCGGTACTGATTTCGTTGCGTTACGACCGCTCACCACTTCTGGTTCTGCCAGACGGTTCTGCCCTCTAAATCACTGAATCTGGCAGGCGGCATATTCGTTGCGTTACGATCGCTCACCACCCTTTATTCTGGTATGGGGGATGTGATAACGTCTGGTTCTGCCACCATATTCTGCCAGGCGGCATAGTTTCGTTGCACTACGAACGCTCACCACCTTTCATTCTGCTAGGCAATCTCCTGTATTCCCCTGCTAGGTACGTACAAAGTACCACTAATGAAACAATGCCTCGAGTGGTAAGTGGAGTGGAGGCTTATAAAGAGCTATTTGCAGCTGGGTATACTTGGGTAATCTAGGACTTTCCCCTTAGTTTTGCGTCCAACCGAAATGGCCCAAAGTGGACGCGTCCAGCAGTATTCCTTGACCTCTTGCTCAAGGAGGTTGAGGAGGATTATATTGTGTGTTGTGACCAGCTCGCAGCCATGTCTTGCCGTCTGGCTTCGGAGTTATTCTTAACAGTAACCAGCAAATATCGGGAGTTTTGGGAAGTATGTTCTCTAGTCCAGCTGGAACCCGTAAATTGTAGTGTGCTGGTGGGGTGTAGGTCTTCGTGGTTGCAGGGCCATCGCGTTGTAGGTGGCCACTTACACGAGAAGCATGGCTTCCAAGTCGTAGAGATAAAATATATGGCTCTGGGCGGAATGAGACAGGATGGTGCGCCAGTAGCATACGAAGAGAAGGTGTTTATGCTTGGGCCTAGTGGCACAGGATTATAAACAGCTTCTGCTACGTACGAATCTCTCGGGGGATGTGGATTTGGGTGTAGAACATGCATGGTTTAGTCGGGAAGGGAAAACATTGCTCATAATTGCGTCTAAATCATTAAATGCCATGGGGTAGAGCTACGGGGTAGAAGAGCGGCCGACTCGATTGAGATGACAAGCTAATAACAACCCGGGACTTAGTTGGAATTGGAATCTAACCGGTAGCTTGCGTCTTTACCAAAGCGTGATATCTGACCTCACCACGCGTACGAATCCACTGTTAGGCTCATCAAAGCCCTCTCACATTCGGACTCCTTCGGATATTCTTGTGCCCCAATGTCCATTAAAAATTCATACCACCAAAAGCCCTTTCGTACACATCTCAACGCTCTGGTATAGTCCCAAAACCCCGGGTACCAGCCAGCAGACTCCCAATCTAGAAATACAGTAATATGGCCTTCTTCATCGACAAGGATATTATGATGTTTAATATCCCCACGTGTAAATTTGACGCCAGGCCTCTGCAAGGATTGAAGCCTTTTCGCGCTGCTCAAACTTTCTTCAAACACGGCTTCTGATGCGAACGAGTTGTGGGCTGGCGAGAGTAGATGTCGTGGAATTCGTGAGCTGTTTCGCAAGGGCCGATTGTATGATTTGGTACCCGGATACTTCGGATTGCGCCACCTGTAATAGAGCAAACTCGTTCATCGCCCCATGGGCTTTTCCACTTCCGAATAACTAAGAGGTAATTCTTGAACTCTCTAGCGGCTGTAGTCTTGGCATTTGGGCTTAGAGATTTGTACATTTGGCCAAGTTCACGACCTGGCAGCCGGGTAATCAAAATTGACATTGGCGCATGGGGAAAATCTGGGTGGTCTCCGTAAGAGATAATTTTTGGTACTGGCAAGCCTGCAGCGCGGCATACTTTGGTTGCGAGAACCTCCTCCAGGCGGGTTCCATCCGACCACTTCAAGAGCAGGCCAAATGGTAGGGGGATAATTTGATTATCGAAAGAGACTCCTAGCCAACGACAGTAGGAAATCGAGAATCTTTCAAGGAGCAAATGTATATATCCCCAAAACCGTCGAACGATAGGATGGCTGGGTTTTGGAGTTGGAGGAATCTCGCTGAGGGGTTGAGGCAAGGGTTTCCGAGGTGTCCAAGTAAAATCAGGGTTGAGGACAGCGAGGATCCAGGAACAACGCATCATGAAGCGTAACCTTGTTTAATCACTATTAGCAAGTCTGTAAGATGTGAAAGAGCGTTGATTTACGTACTTCGTATCATGGCTTGGTTTGGGGGAGGGTTGGTTGGTTGGTGTTTTCTTGAATGCCTTGATCTCTGTCACGGGATACCCCGCAAACGAAGTAGGTACCTTACTCCCCCATAACATTCGAAATTCGGCAAGAAATGCATAGCGCCTTGATACTAAGCAGTCGATCGAGATACGCCGCCTGGTCCGCTGGTTGGACCCTAATCTATGTGCAGCATAGTGCCGAATAACGCCCTAACGCTCTCCCCTGTAGTCTCTGCTCTACGATCTTGTGAACTTTCATCAACTCCTGCGACCTTCTACCACTTCTGCGCACTTCCATCTACGAACTTAATTGTAGTCTCATCGGATATTGAAGCCGAAATTTGGGATGATAGATCGTTGCAACGATATCTCAGGGTACTCCAGAGGGCCACGCTCTACAATAAAACGCATCCACAGCGACACTCGGTGCAGTTGCTGGTGTCAAGAAAGTCAAACCACGGACTCAAATAACACCCTGGGGCACAACAGTTTACCCCCCCCCCCCCCCGGGGGAGAACCTTCCCACCTCCAACCCGCGACCCACCTTGCCCCTGAATCCCCACCACAATCGTCTACACGATCACGGTAGATATCTCGCGAAAGTACGCCTAGGCTACACTAATAGGTTCGGGGGAGCCACTTCTTTCACATAAAGATCGTTAGCGCCGATATCCAATACCTCGATAGTTACTCTCTACGGTCTGAGGCTTAGAATGGTTTGGGCTAGGGAATTCACTAACCTGCCCATCTTGAGGGAATTCACCAATGATCGTGAGAAAGATAGCAGTCGGTCTATTTCTGTTGCTGATTTATTATAAAACAATTAAATATTAGGCTTATATCATGAATAAGATTAAGATTATAGGGATATATTAATATTAAACCAAATTTATTATATAATTATCAAGGTCAGCGCTACCTGTTGAGGTCAGACCACTTCTCAAGGTTAATTTCCTAGATCCCCTGCGTTTATCTAGTTAGGTGTTGGGCCAGGTTGAGTACGTGAGTTTCAATATTACAACCCCCTTACTTGTACATGTACCTTCTTCTCCTACTACCCCTCTATCCACTTCTTATCTCTTTAATGCACTTTCAGATTGATCTTTACTCTGAGCCTCTAAATTACGGAATTAAGTTGTACGGCGCCCGTATTGCCTCCGTATCGACTTAGTCTTCAACAACTTCTTCAAACCGCTTCGCAAACTTCAATCCCAAGTCTCCTGTGCTAGTATCGTCTGAATCTTCCTTCACTGCTATATACACAGCAGCTTGTTTTGCCTGGAAGCAAACCACGCTACATATCCCAGGTTCGACTTCCCATACTTCTTCATCATGGGACTCGCCTGTATTCGAACACGGCTGCAACATCGCAAGGCGAGGAACGAAACCTATCAGTGGGATCGACTTCCTTTTGAGGTGCGGCTACTGATTTTGGAGGCGTTGATACAACATCAACGCTGCAGCAGTAAATCTAAGCCTGCAGTCGCTAAACCTGACAACACATTGGCCACCACGCTCGATGGCGGTCCAGCAGGATATGCTTCCGTCTGTCGAGAATGGCGGGCTGTCTTTGAGAAGAACATATTCCATCGGCTTGTACTACATCAGCAAGATCTAGAGGAGTTTGGAAACCTCGTCCGCTTCCAGAAGGAGCTTGTTAAGCATATTTGGCTCCGCATCGAGCTCGATCTCTACACATGCCTAACTTGCAGGGAGGGGGAGAATAAACTCATGAAGCGCAAAAATAATGACACAATAAAGCAAGCTATTTACAAGCTGTTCTCAATTCTGAGCAGCTGGGAAGAGCATCATAGCCGAAACAACCGTGGTCTTACTCTGGAGATAAGCATCCATTCACCTAGTGACTCGCAACACCATTTCCAGGACCACCGTATTCACGCCGTCGATGACTGTGTAGAACCCACCCAGGACTTTGGCGGAACTGTTATCTACGACTATATCCATGGCTGGGATAATAGGCGAAGGGTGCATTCTCTGCGTCTATCGTCTATATTCTCGCTCTTTGGGCACCCTGTTGATGTCAGGTTTCGGCAGAAGTTTCCCTCTGTCAGCGTGGTCAAGCACCTTCTCATCCGTCGACAGACTCGACGCAAGTTATGGCCAACGACGCTACAGCAGATCCTTAAGCGTCTTCCTAAACTTGAGTCCCTATATTATGAGCCTTGGCGGCAGTTATCACGGAGCTTAAGAGAGACTTATGACGAAGGTACACTATACCCCATCATCTACGATAAAAGACTAAAATTAACGGTTTATATTTTATAGGCTATACGACAACTTTCTCGAACGTCGTACCTAATACCCTAACGAACCTCATATTATTCGAAGACTTTAATGAGGACTTTATTTTCGCCAACATGAAAGAACGTGGGCACAATGGGGAGCGGGAGCGAATCTGTTGTCCAGCCTTGGGTGCAGTTTTGGCCCAGAGAAGCCTCAGCCACGAAAATTTATCGGCATCTTTTCTTATTGACGCGAAGGACTTCTTGAAAGCGTGCCCCCCTGGTGGAATCTGGCCAAAACTCACTTCGTTGGCATTAACTTCACCGCTGCTAAGTTCCAACAGCAGCCTCGAGGATATAAACAACCTTGTACTAGCTGCTGCCTCTGCTGCCTACAAAATGCCAAAGCTCCAAACGATGGAGCTATGGAATGGCGGAAAACGCCATGCTTTTCTATTTCGGTATCATACAACCGATAATCACACCACAATCTCCTGGCATGGCACGTGGAATCTTAACCTAAAGCCTCATGTCATAGAGGCATGGAGAGAGGTCGCACTCAAGTATGCCGCACAAGAGCTTCGGATTGAAAAGGGTAAAATTTTAGACTGCAACATTATCAATTCTCATGGCGCTGCTATTCATCAGCTGAAGCTGAAGATACAGGTAGTGCATCCAGTATCCTTAAGTCAGATACGAGGGGAGGCAGAAAATTACTTCCCCCGTTAAGGTAGTAATTACCATGATTTGGCAGGTGGCGATGGGCGTAGCGATATTTGGTTCGGAATGGTAATATAAGGAACGGGGGAAGGCTATGCTAGATAGATTGTAGTCATTATATAATTCACGTTTGATTAAAGAAGTTTATATAGACTACAGGTTCTTCCAAATATTGATAATGCATTTGAACTTTAATTTAGATAAGTTGGCAAATATTTATATAATATAAGGGGTTAACCACGTATATTCTTTAAGAGTACTAGAAGCTTATTATAGTTTAGTTACGATGAATTCCTAGATAACTTAAATAATATACTTAGGTATAAGTCTCGACTCTCGAGACACAAGAAGCCTTTGACTGTCGAACTTCTCTAGGAGGTCGGAATTAATACGTACCAGCTTACGTGAGAACGACCCCTGGCGCTGAAAACAAGAGCGCAACGCTAACCCTAAAAGGCTTGGAGCCAGCCTAGAGCATCCGCCGAGGACGGCCCCTGCACGCCATCTAATAGCTAGCGCGCTTTGGGAATCCGGTATTATCCCAGGTCACTTCGCATGACGATGAGTCTTGGTCCATCAAAGGCTGGCTAGCTTAAGAGTTCTCCAATTCACCTTACTTAGATCTTGCAAATTACATCGAAACGTCATACCCGGTTGTAAAGACTAATGGTGTACCTCGGTCCTTCCCGTGGCTGCAATTCGTGCAGGTGGAGACGGAAAAAGGTTCGTGTCATTCATATCTACTACAACAACATGGATGTTGGTTAATAGTGGCCGGATAGTGTGATGAGACTCGTCCGGTATGTTCAAGACTTGGTGCTAGGCTCCCCACTGCGGAAGTTTATCAAACTCGACTCTCAGACTCCAGGGAGACTGACGGAGAGTTAGTCGTGCATGAGGTGCATCAAGGCCAATCGACCGTGTGGTGGTTATGAAAATGACGCTTCCCCCGAGTTTCGACAGTATGAGGCACGGAATCCAAGTCAGTTGTCGTCGTCGTCCTTGTTGATAGCGCGAAAATGCGTTATACCAAAACGTGTCCCGATTCCGGGCACCGACATACTCCCGGAGGACGCCATCCCGCCGGAGACTTCGGAGGAGGACAGTAACATGCTAGCACTGCGATGTTTCCTGTACGACTACTACATGATCTCGGCCAATCGAAGCCTCTCCAGGAGTTACCTATCCGGCTTGGATGAGTTGACTCACCGTCTCGGGCCCAAGTCCGACCTCGCGAAAGCTTGCCAGGTCGTTGCGTTTGCGAGCCACGCGAAGCCATTACACAGGCCTCGATTCATACGCAAGTCTGGCATTTTCTATCAGGAGCTCCTCGCGTCCTTGGCTAGGGCCATAGAAGGCTCCCGTTCGGGGAATAGTGTGGAACTAAAGGTGATCGCTATGTCGTTGGGGCTTTATCAGGTATTTGCCATTATGACTGATCGTAGCACGAATGCATGGTACTGGAAGGACAGCTAACTGGGCATAGATAGTTATGGCCAATGAGACTGGCCCAGGCGATCATGACGCCCATGCTAAGGGTCTATCGGCCCTTTGGGGAACTACACACTTGCCCCTGAACCCCTTAGTCACGACCCTGTGTAGTTCAACCAAAACGTTGCAAATCAGCAATGTCAGTATTTATTCTCTTGCTTATGCCATATCTCTTTTGAGATATATGCACGTGGAATATACAACCTAGGTTTCAAAGATGCATCTAACAGCACCCTAGTACTCTAATGTGTTTTCTGTCCCAGCATTATGCAGCCCGGGGGATAGCTTAGAGCACCTATTATTCCACCTTCACCTAGTATGGGCAAAGTTCGAAGTTGTCATTGCGTCGAAAGACTTGGAAACCCTGAAAGTCCAAAGCCTCGCTCTTGATCAACGTTTCGCCATGTGGGAAGAAACTCGCGTTGACTTATTCAAACCGACTGTAATCGGACATGTGAGACCAGGCCGATATGAGTCAGAAGTTCAAGTAGGCGCTTGGCCAGGCAAAGTCGACACGTACTTCGACCTTTATGTCGCTGGCGTTTGGAACATATTCCGAACGGCTCGACTTCTACTCGTTGCCCTCATTATCGAACTTTCAAACAGTCTCGCAGAATATGACAGCTGTACTGATCATATTCGTACTGCGAATCGTATAGCTCAGGATATGGTTGCGTCAGTTCCATACCACCTAGCAGATAACCTGCAGGTATTTCTCAATGAGAAAGAGACAAGTGGGGGGATAACGGATCCTGGGCGGTTTCTCGGAGGGCTGCTGCTCATGCATCCGCTATACGTTGTTTCTAAGATGCCTTTCCTTTCTGAAACGCTGCGAAAGTACTTTCGCAGCTGTCTTTTATGGATTGGATCGGAAATGGGTGTAGGACAGGCTACTTTATTTGCAAATGTGGGCTCGTCTACCTTCATGTATAAGTTCAATGCTGATATTGTGTTTCCCTTAGGCCTCGGATATCGACAGAGATTATTTAGCAAGCGGATGTATCATCATATGGTCCGGCTTCCTCATGTAGTCTCCCCGCAAACTTGACCAACAGGGCCGCCAGATTATAACTATGTCTGTACCTAGTCTATTGTATACCACAAGGAAACAAGAAACCGATAAGTACTTATATCAACCAGAATGTAGCGCGATAAACTTTGTAGTTGCACCCGCATCTTAGGTAATTTATGATTCAGGGTAGAAAGATAGCTCCACCGGCTAGGTCTTACGTGCTCCTTCGAGTATCTGTTTTTGGGTTCATTCTCGATCTATCAATCTAACATAGCTGAAGTGGCTAGATTAGTGCATCGCGGCTGCAAACCCATGGACCTTGGCATAAGACGCGCTACGCTAACCCTGCTGGGAATTATTTGGGCCGTGGACAGTCCCGAACCTACGGAAGCCGCTCTATAGCGTTTTGGGTTAGCGTAGCGCTTGCTATAGGTGATCCGATCATTCATCGAAGTCTCTTCTAGATTCAAGTTCATTCAACTTGATAGAATACTCAGGCCATCTGCGGCACCTCACAACCAACACATTTAGCTGGTATCTCGGAGACCGAATACAAATCGAGCCACGAGCTAACCGAGTACATATTTGGTTAGCGTTGAGCTTGCGGCAGGCCTTGGAGCAGGAGCGGTGGCAAATCTACATTTCACTTGATAATTCCCGGTCACTCAAACAAATATTGAGTGGGAGGATTCTCACATTCTAGGAAACTCTACAAGACCATGGAATATATATAGCTTATGTGATGCCCATCATGCCCGGGAGAAATCCCCAACAATCTACCTCCCCTTGAAGCATTTCCAGGAGCAACTTCACAGATCATCTATCTACCCGATCACTTCTGACTGAGCACTATCACAACATGGCTTCAAATACTGCAGCCTGGATTACAGCACCCAAAGCTCGACCACTCGAGGTCAAAGCTGCTCCTATGGCAACTCCGGGAGCAGACCATATCCTCATAAAAAACTACGCTCTTGCCATCAACCCAATTGATGGCAAGCTTCAAGCAACGGCCTTTTACCCGCTCAACTATCCTGACATCCTCGGGCAGGACATCGCGGGTGAAGTCGTGCTAGTTGGACCCAATGTGACCGGCTTCAAGAAGGGGGACCGCGTGATCGGCAACGCAACGGGCTTTGCGACGAAGCGAAACGAAAACAAGGGATTCCAAGCCTACACGGTCCTCGAGACCAATATGGCCTGCCAGATTCCCGCAAGAATCTCCTTTGAAAGGGCCGTTGTGCTCCCGCTAGGCCTATCGACTGCATCCTCTGGCCTATTCCATCCCGACTACCTCAATCTCCAGCTACCGACCGAGCCTCGGCAGAAGTCAACCGGAAAGATCATCCTAATCTGGGGGGGATCATCGAGTGTTGGGTGCAACGCAATCCAGCTCTCTGTTGCGGCCGGCTATGAGGTTATCACGACGGCATCGCCAAAGAACTTTGAGCTTGTCAAGAAGCTGGGCGCAAGTCAAGTCTTCGACTATAACGAGACAACGGTCGTATCGAGCCTGATTAGCGCCGCGAAGGGCAAAACCATTGCCGGCGCATTCGACGCCATCGGAGAAGGGGCCTACGAGCCCTGCATCGAGTTTGTCCGGAGATCAGAGGGAACCAAATTCGTAGCTACCGTGTTCGTTAGGCCCGTTGAGCCTCCCGAAGGGATCCAAGTCGCCAAAGTGTATGCCCCTTCTATTAGGAACAACCATGTCGCTCAGGCCATCTACCAAGATTTCCTGCCGAAGGCTCTCGAGGCTGGGGCGTATATCCCGGCTCCTGAGCCGATGGTGGCCGGAAAAGGGCTCGAAAGCGTGCAAGGCGCCATAGATATCCAGGGCCAAGGTACTTCAGCTCGGAAGGTGGTGGTATTGCTTTAAACCCAGTCGTAGATAGAACTGCGGGTATCAATCATATGGTTATATGTATGTATCACAAAATGAGTTCAATATTTTAAACTTCCCGCCCAAAGTATCGGTATCCTCGTGTAGTAGACACTCACCTAGTCAGCTCAAAGTGTATTTTCTAGCTGGACCACCAAACCTAGGCTCGACTGAGTTCTCGGACTGGTTTATCTGCCAATATCAAGCATTTCGGTAATTGCCCAGGATTAGGACATTTCCATGGCTTGGTAGGAGACCTAACCCTTAGCACATATTGATGACGCTTAAATGAAATAAGTTGTTACTTGTAAAGCGTTTGTTGACGGAGATCATGGTTGTCGTTACTCGTTAGTAGTTTATTGAGGAAACGAAGTCAAGGAAAGCGACAAAGATCTAAATGTATTAAATTATTTCATTTCCTGAACAAGTAGGAAGCGGCACTAAAGTCTACTTTGACCTATTTTAATAGCAAAGAGATTCCTGATTCGAGAAGTTCACGAACGCCCTCAGATGCTGCTCGTTTAGAGTGCCCGAATTCATCAGAGCCACAAAAAGTTGCAGATATTAGATAGCAGCAATTAATCCCTAAAGAGGTATAAAATATATGAAAATATCATTACTAGATGTTAGAGCTTTCTTTCTTATACTTAGGATTCTCTGTACCTATTTACTCCTTACAGATTATAGCGGGTGGAAACCGCGGCGGCCCGTGCCCCACAAAAGGGGGTTGCCCCTTTCTCGCTTAATTCAGGGGGAATCATCAACGCTTGGCCTTCCTATAGAAAATTCCAAAACAATAAGTCTCCATATAAATTAATACGCAAAGTTATTCGAAAAATAATAAGCATAGGTCGAAGGATACGTGTGGTATATTTAAGAACAATTAAAGTGTTTACGGTATGTACTCCTGAAGTTGTGCATCTCGCCGGCTAGGCTACCAGGTGAACGACTCCTCCACAAGCTTAATATTACTGCGGCCTCCCCTCGCCCCAATCTGACTGACCAGCACTCTAACTTCATCTGCCATGCAAGAGGGCCCGCTAACTACCACTGCTGCTCCATCGGGGCTAGCATTGGCCAATGCATCTTCGAGAACATCTTTGATGACCATCTTTGTCCCAACAAACACCTCCTTGTCGATGCCATGGAAGCTACTTTCCAAGGTTTTAACAATGCCTGCGTTCCGAACACCCCAGTAGAGTTTCTTGGAGCCCGGATGCGACTGCAGGTACGGCATTATAGCCGTGACGCCCACGCCCCCGGCAATGCAGATAAGGGACGGGTAGCCTGAGAGATCTTCGTTTGTGCCGTAGATTGACTCGACGAGGACTGGAATGGAACCGTTTGCTGGGAATTGGGTTGTTAGCCCGGAACGGGCGCGGACAAAGAACGAAAGGGCGAGGCTGGGAGGCAAGCGCAAATGGTTAGATTTGTTACTGCTGCCCGAGCTTATCTCCTTGATGTCAATGTCCTGGTCTGAAGGAGAAGCCTTGTCGCTGGTACGTGCGCGGTCACTCTCCAAGTCCGACTCACTGGCTTTTTTGAGACTAGCAGAGTCTTCGAGAGCGGGAAGTAGGGTGGAGGCCACTGAGAAGGGGTGGTTTTCCCAAACTCGCCAGGTTAGAGTCGGGAAATATAGGTATGCGTGACCCACGCCGGATGCCACGCCCTTGATATCAATTCGGATGTAGTCTTCGTCAATGGTTGTGATTTGCGCTGTACAGATGCCGTTCCGGGCAACCCGCAATATGCGCATGACTCTGTCGAAACCCCAGATCGCTATTGTGATAAGGATCCATAGTTCATAGCCCCACTGGTTCTCGAAGCGGTAATATATGTGGAGGTAGCAACCTGCGATAACGAGGACCGAAAGCGAGATATGCCAAAGAAGAAAGACTTCGTATGCCTTTTGTCTAATTGGAATTATTGACGAAGGTAACAAGATCGACATGGACAGCGTTGCAATGATTCCCCAGAACCAATATTGGAGCTTACTCTCAGTAGTGTGGGAGCCGGTAGCTACGTAGTTTTGGAGCCAGACTGCTGAATGTATGCAGGCTTGCAGCGTCGAGATGTATGCAATCCAGCGGTGCAGTAGAATAAAGGTTGAGTGTGACCAGTTGGTAAGCCAAAGTAGGACGTTGTTTCGTCCCGCATACAAGAAAATCAGCGGGAGGTTGGCGAAACTTAGGACACCAATTCGGTTGCTGACGTATGTAAGGAGCTCATCATGTTTTCCATCTGGATACCAAGAATTAGGTTGCAGATATGTAATATTGACAGCGCATAGCACGAAATTTATGATGATAAAATAGGCGATAAAGAGCCCCTGGCCGCGGGTTGGGACCTGGACAAGGTTGAATGCGACCGGCTGTGTGTGATACTTTCCCCAGAGAGGAGGTGTGATAAATAGCGAGTTGAACTTGGTGGTCAGGAACGCCGGGAAAGGTATAAAGCGAAGAAGAGAGAGGCCAATTGGAATCACAAATCCGGAGAGAAGAACGACGAGGCTACAGGTTTTAAGTTAGCATACTTGCGGTGTATATTTTGGGAATAAGAATTGCTTGCCCGTATTTTTCATATAAGACCTCCTGCGCTTCGAAGATTTCTTGTGCGTTGAAAACCGCTATGTAATCGGCATCCTTCACTAATGAAGTCTTATTCAACGGATCACCACTCACCAAAGTCGTCGTTGGAGGCTCCGTTACTCGTGCCAACGCCTGTTGGTAGGAGTATTTGGGGTCGGGTTGGACTTCCTTTGTTCCTGCAACGTTTCGTAACCACCATTTCTCCAGTCTGTAAACTGCAACTTTCCCATCGCATCGGGTAGAAATACAATACGCAAGTGTCTGTAGGAAGGTGTCATCCGTTGCGTAACAACCCCCAGAGGTGGAAGCAGCACCCATTCCCGACATTCCTGCCATATCTGCTACCTCCGCTCCATCGGCATACGTCGAACAGTTGAGAGCACTTGAGCTAATGGCGCTGCGGCAGGAGTATGCGCAGTTCGGATCGTACATGGAGATGCCATAGCCAACAAAGCCGTGACCGGCGCGGCCACTCGAGACCATGCATTGGGCAGAGTACACCTGGAGGAGGAGAATGACAGCTATCGATATCATTTTTGCCATTTGTAAGTAGTCGAAGATCAGAAAAAATCAGTAAGAACTTCGAGTTCCTTGGCTTGGCGGATGGTCTCATCTATATACACGGAGCCATGGGGCAGAACCCGTACTCCCGTACCACCTGACCAGTATCTATTCATCCATTACAAGTACCTACGAAGTACGACGAGTCGGTACGACACATCATACATGGACTCCCGCTATTCTGGTCCAGTGCAACTTATGCAGGGCTGGATATTCCATTTTGGTGGACCCAAAGTGCGAGAAGAAAAAGTAAAGTGAGGAGCATGTTATGCCAATTTTACTCCTCTCATTTTGTCTCAGCCTGTTAAACGCAGCTCCTTGAGTCCGATCGAGTAGTTTTCCAAAAGAGGCTTGCGCCGGATAGATATCCGTTTTGGCGGATATCGGGACGGCAAGGGCGCGGCCGCATCCCGGCGTCGGGACGAATCCATTATTGGCCAAGGCAAGGAAAGAGCAAGTTTGCGTTGTTTACATGCAAAACCCTGTATGTTATATATTACTACAAAGCACCAAGTGCGGATACAGCGGCTAGGTACTGTATTTAAGTAGCGCTAGCAAGGAGAACCCCCAAGTCCGCCCCGTACTTAACCCCAATTAGGGAGCGAACTGCAATACCAAGAGCTGTTGATTATAATTTTACGACTGCCGATAGATCATGCGATCTTATCTCTTGAGAATGCCAATTTACTTAAAGCTTGTTTTTACAAAGTAATCCACCTCCACAGCGCTTAAAGTGTGGCCGGCGTCTCGTTCTTGGGCAAGCTTAATTCGACGGGTTAGTCGAATTCGTGTGTCCTTCCTCTATTAACCGGCGAATATCTCTTCAACGACTCGCTACGGACCTACGGTATTGGATTTTTGGGATTAAAAGCATACTATCCGTTTAAACTTCGCGAGGGAAGGATCCAAATTGTAGATCAGCTATACGCAAGGCTCGTTTGTGGAGAAAATGGACGACATGGGCATCAGTAGGGCTTAAACTCGACTCAAGGGATAATTTCCTGTGGTTGCTGTATGACCATGTCAAAGGGCGTGGAGAATTTTTGGCCACAACCCAAAGAAGGAAAAGAACAGTGGGCAAGTCCAATCTAACATCCAAGATTATCTGGCAGCAAAACCCACGCCACATTTACGATGGTCGGAACCAGATGGATAATCATGCAATTACAGATTGAATCTTGTCGAGACAACGACGTGGGAATAGCAATTGAATTAAAGAATGACACAATAGTGGTGCTATCTACTCATTTGCCCCTTTCCTTGAGATATAAACGCAGAGCCGGAAACCCCCCTTGAACACCAAATGCAGTATAGCCCCTTCCTCTTAACATAGAAGTGGCTAATCGGGAGATATCGCCGTCATAGCAAAGTATTAGTACTGGCGAGTGTTTTGAACCGATTCGATGTCCTTCTAGATCAAACTTGCTCTTCAAGTTGCCCCAGTGCAAGTATATAGCGTTGGGATCCCCGAAAACATCCTCGGTCATTTCGCTCAGATTCTTCAGAGGACTGCTAATTGAGCCCTGAATATGACCCTTCCTGAAATCGCTGCCTTGCCGTATATCCAAGACAGTGGGCTGTGTTCGTCGATAACTCCTGCATGATGCTCGCTCTCTGCAAGATTGGCGGTTGCAACTTCGGCGGAGGGGGCCTTGGTTATCTTTGATTTTCCGGGACACAGCAAGGACAGCTTCCTCAGGTGTGAGCTCCCAGCGCTCGTCATACCTATCCTGGTCACACTTGAGTAAGATCTAGGATTGTGAGTATCGATATCTTCAATCTGGTTGGGGAGCCTCACCTCATTCATGATCGGGGGAAATTTCTCGTCTTGGAGCTTTTGAAAATAGCCATCCATGTACTGATACGGCAGATCACAACAGATGAAGACGCAAGATATCTCCCGACTCGAGTTATCCGCAAGATCTTGTAGGTTTCCCTCGTCCTTTATTTTCTGTAGATACTGGATCAAGCCACAGAGAGCTTCACCGGAGGAGGGCCCGCAAATTATCCCTCTTCGGGACATCTGCATTGACATATCGTACGAATCCATGGATGCCACTGACTCAAATGTATCTATGGTATCTCTCCACGGAAACCTGCTACTTTCAAATCCTGGGAAATGTCTAGGTCCGGGTGTTGGATCACCGAAGACATTACATACCCTTTAATCCGCATTAGTTACATCCCCTAAGGAATAAACAATTTATAGGTTTGATAACTTACCCCACGACTTTGACAGATTTCTTCTGCGATTTGAGGTATACGCCAGTTCCTGTAATGCACCCTAAACTATAGTAGTAAGTATGCTGCAACGCCGGTTACATGCTTTCCCAACCAACTTGGACCGAGTGCCACTGACCTCCAGTTCCAACCGTTGTGCAAAGCACATTTATCTCTGGCAGTTGCTGAAGAATCTGTGGTCCTGTCCATCTTGTATGTGACTTCCAGTTCTGAATGCAGCCAAGTAAGTAATTGTGTTTGGTTAGCCTCGAGACAATATAAACCTGCGTACGTACATGATCATTGTCATACTGTCCTGGATAGCAAACGCTCTCATCGTGTTTTGCCAATTTCCTAAGCCTCCACATGATTCCTCTCGGATCATGCGGTTCTTGCTGTGCCAAGCCGCCATAAAGCGAACTGTCATGCCTTTAACTTGTGCTTCGCTAAATTTGACCCTAACACTTACACTTTGAGACCAAAGAATCGCAGGATCCGCAGCTGATCAGGGTGCTTTTTGTTGGTAACATAGGCACACACATCCTCGTTTCCCCACAGTACGCGGGAGGCCATGCTGAGAGAGAGAGCCGTGGACCCCGAGCTCGCTTCAACGATCGACTTGGACGCTGCGGTTGGATCTTGGAGGAGCATGTTCAGTGCTAAGATAAATCTGTTAGTATTTATGCCTCTTTATAGATATTGTCTCAGTGCGGTTACCTGGGAACATCTTTACGTTTTGGGCTGGTAGCGTCGTGAGCATTTTGGCGTAAATACGAACATTATCGCCTCGGAAGGGATTCAGCTCGGGAGGAACCTCTACCAGAGGCAGTGGTGGCTGTAAATCTGGATTGAAGTAGTTGATAACTGAGTCTGGTCCCTTGAAGACATTCTGTACGTTGACTTGGGACATTTTCCTTGAAGGGGGATTGATGGTTTGGACTCAAGTTGTTAATGACAGTTAATGGAAATGCCAGGGGCATCAATTGCTGTCAGGAGATTACATCAGGTTCAAAGGAATGACACAAAATAATAGGGGACATGTTCCTTCCCATATCCGGAAAGCATTCTAATAATGGTGCTGAAATGTAAATAACTTCCTTCTACCCCTATATCGCCTTGGCTTCCTCAGTCCAACTAAGACTTTTTAACACTCTCAAAAGTGCTCTCGTATCTTCCGTAGGGATGTGACGTGGTCATCAACAGATCATCGCTCGTCATCCAGACGCGGGAAAAATCAAGGAGGGGACCCATTGAGCATGCAGAATAGTTAGGTATAGCTAGGAGTAAGGTGGACCATGTGATAAAGGGGCACACGGGACGGTGCGACTCTGACGGTGCTATCCATGCTAGCATCGGTAATGGTGTGACAGTCTACCCTCGGGAACGTGGAGTTGCTGCGGTATCGTTGCGTGGTAGCAAAGTAGAGAGAGCCATAGAGAGTAATGCCATGAGGTAGAAGAGCCTGAAGTGTGGGGGCAGAGGGGTAAATCGTGTCTTTAAAACATGGTGTTAGACTAATTAGCTAACCTCGCATACCTTTTACCCTATGCCTCTTTTATACGGCTCAGCTTACAGTCTTACTATATATGAATATTTTTCCTTGGCCAGGACTAGAATATACACTTGATCTAACACATAGTTAATAGCCATGTTCCATTAATAATCCGGATCCCGTAGATGGAGGGTTAGAAGGAGATGGATCATCAATTATAGGGGTTAAAATGATCCATCCCGTTACTAATTGCCTCCGAAGTACCACAAATTTGTATCGTGAAAGATGGAGTGTAACAGACGAAACTATATTACTTCCAAAGGTGCCCGGACAGAATCATGGAAATTCCATGGCAACCCCCCACCGCCAATCTGTGCTACCCATCATTGGAAGTTATTATATAATCCCGAGCTTACTTGGGCATATAAACTCTACCAGAGCCTGATTCCCAGGTGCTACTCTAAAATGCAAGTCTCATGCCCTCTGCATTTTATATTACCGACGAATGTCCTAACTAGGCTCCTTGCAGAGAATTATGCACCGACTGGCATGATGAAAAATTACATGTCATTAGTGAGAAACCCATAGCTCTATTGAAGTGACATGGTTCATGGCTTGTGAATTGCATGGCAGTCAGAATCCCCCTGTGTTACTCCCTCCCCTTTTGAGACTTTAGGGCGTACGCAGTATAGCGGACGGGTTGAGGCCCCTGCCAAATATGAGTAGTGGGTTGAAAATTTCCAGCTATTTCCCTATGCGATGAAGGAAAATAACAGGAGGGAAGAGAACAGAATGTGTTGACGAGATTCCACCAAACAGAGGAATAGTGATGGAATAGCTGATATGACAATTATATTTACTTGAAGATTCGATCCCGATTAAAAAAACATCTACATAATCAAACCATGGTCTCTTCAGGTTGTATAATCTCCTTAACTCCCATCGCCGCAGATTTGCCGTTGCAAAGCGCCCCCTTCTGCTCCTTAACTAACACGCAAAACCCCCTACCCACGGCCTCCATCCCACCCTTCATACATTCAGCATTCGCCCCTTTTGATCTCAAGATGGTAGAAGCTACTCGCGCAGTATCGCCGCCATGACATACTATCAGCACTCTCTTCTTCTTTGAAAGATCTTTAGCTAAATCAGAGGCTGTATCTAAGCTGCCCCCGCCGAAAAGTGCCTCCATCTCCCGCCACTGCGCCGCAAACAAATCACTGTCCGAGAACGGCGAAGGACTACCGGGTGTCAGTGAGTCTAGGGGGATATTCGTAGCTTGAGGCAAATGCGAGACCGCAAACTCAGCCTCTGTCCGAAGATCAAGGACTGCATGGCCGTTACGAAGGGATAAAGGTAATGCCAGCGTCAGTGGATCAGCGGTGGCAGGTGATAGCTCGTAAAAGTCTGGAATTACAGCACTAGGCTCGCGTTCTCCGACCTCTTCGTAATTGTTATATAGATCAACTTCAGTAAGGTGCCTGTTGTGGATTTGGGGAAACCAGGTGCTGTCTAATTTGTCAAAGTAATCGTTCAGATATTGGTATGGTAGATCACAGCAGATAAAAACACAATTGATATCGCCATTTGGACTAGCAAGGTCGCGGAGAGTGCCAGCTTCTTTGCGCTTTGAGAGAAACTGGCAGAGACCTGTAATGTTTGGTTTATAGTCAGCTCAGAATTTGATGGTAGGATATAAGGAAACAGTACCTTTAAGATTGAAGCCAGATGAGGGCCCGCAAATAATTCCGGCTCTCGACAGCTTCATGGATATACCGAAAGAGTCGGTTGAGCCAACTTCCTCCATAGCGTCAATTGCAGCGCGCCAAGGGAACTTCACAGGTTCCATGAGTGAATATGGACGAGGTCCAGGTACGCGGTCCCCTACGGCTGTGAAGACTCTAGTACAGGCTTAGTTTCTGAGGTTCTCTCTTTTGAATATTTGAGAAGATAGACATACCCTACACGGACAACAGAGGGCCTTTTCTCGCCCAAATATGTTCCTATCCCTGTCATCGTTCCTGAAGTGCCAACACCAGCACACATAACGCTGAGATCGGGTAACTGTTTGAGAATCTGCGGACCGGTCCATTTGTAGTGTGCGCCCCAGTTGGCATCATGCTCATATTGGTTGGGGTTGCACACAGTCTCGTCCTCCAGAGCCATGCGTCGTGCAACCTGGATACCACCTCTTGAATCATAAGGCTCGGGTTGAGAAGGGCCAGGAAATAGGGTTCTATCTAGAATAAGCCCAGAGCCTTCGGTCGTTAAAGAGGAACGCACATGTCAAGTCCAAAAAACTGCATCAGCTTAAGCTTTGTATCGCCAGTCTTGTTGGAGAGGTAGGCTCGACAGTCGCTGATCCCATGGACAACCCGTGCTGTACCATTAGCACTGGGCCAGATGAAGGTAGCAATTGAGGGAAAATTTACCTATCATAGACATTGAAATGATGGTCGATCCAGAGCTGTATTCCACAACAGTCTTCGTCTTCTCTGGCTTGACGCATTGTGCAAGCAAATCAAGTGCTTGCCAGTCGATTAGTTGGTAATTCTTTTGTTCTGGTTACAATCTCATACCTGGCAATGCCTTGACGTTATTTGCTGGAAGCATAGTCATCATTTTCGCATAAATGCGCACTCCATCTTCCCTAAAAGGATTGAACTCGTCGGGAATCTCAACCAGGGGTAATAGAGGGGCAAAATCGGGATCAAAGTATTTTTGAAGCGAGTCTTTGCCGGAGTAAATATTGAGGGGGTTATGAACCGACATTGTTGAAACTGTACGTGGAGATGGGTGCGACTGAGGTTTTGAAGCTCTGTCTACTAACTTATATATCAACAGGTTTCAAATGAAGCTATACGGAAAACATAGTGGAAGCTGTGTTTGATGGGAGGGGAATAATGTCGGCCGAGGTGCGGAGTTACGCAATTGCATCCACTCATCATCTCCAGCTACGCTCCCCCCCCATTAAGCGGCCACGGCATAGGAGAGACAAATATTACCGTAAACCAAGTAAAAACATACCTCACTAGAGTTATTCCGGCCGCAACCTTCACATGTCTCTGAAAGCTCATATGGCATATGACCTATTTAGGCTTACTCCCTGTTTCCATGCTTGTATATAGCGCAATAAGTCATGGCCCAAAATGAATGGCGTAGGCATTATAAATGTAGAATTTGGAAAATATCCAAAGCAGACTAAAGCCCTACTCAATAAGCAGCTACTTAGCAGGCCTTCATTTAACCAATACTGCAAAAGTACTAAGCCAATACTCTAAGTCTAGTGGAGTCTTTCACCATAACGACTCTATTACTTAATCCAAGTATATATGGTGTCTTCAACAATCAACCGAAGCGTGGGGTTCAGAACTTTGCTTCGGGGTTCTAGTTCCTTGTCTAGTGTGAGTCGAACCAATGTGCCATAAGCTCGGGAGTTCTTGCCGGTGTTTGGAAAATGATCATCAAGTGATTCAAGTCACACGGTCGAGACTGATATGCAGTTGCAGCTGCAATGCCGTTGTCAATCCTATATTGTGGCGTTTAAGTAGTATTAGCCGACTCCTTGACTAAGTCAGTTGGGGAGACGAATGAGTGTCTTCCATCACTCCGATCTAAATTCCAACCGCATCCATCGTTAAACGAGTAGGCCAGCACGGCAGTTACTGCCCAATGAGAATAAGCATTAATTCGTGAGAAGGTTAAACACGCCTTTTTTGTTCTTTCTGGTTAGTGCGCTATAATGAGCACATAAATTGCGAAACAAGCATTGGGGCTGCGGGGACACCCGTTTCCTCTCGGCGCGCTATAATGAGTGCATACTTCGTAGTTTGTAGTTTCAACAAGTAATGAGTGCAAACTATCGAGGTGGCTTTGTACACCCAATGTATATCTTCGCCCTATGTGTTTCTGTTGGAGACCTGGTGAGAGGCCTTGAGCTATAATGAGCAGATAAATTGCAAAATGCAAGGTGCAAGGAAGGTGCCCATGCCATGGACCCGCAAAGCACCCTGTAGATCTCAAATGCGGAGTCTCCCAACAACGGCCCGCTGCGACTGGCTTGCATGCATTGCCGGGACTAACAGCCCGTAGTTGTCAATTTGGTTTTAGGCGCCGTTTGCCGCTCTTTGCCTTGATAGGAAGAAGTATTCTGCTTCCGAAAGCGGAGGAGTTTTTATGCTTGTTTATAATTGATGTCGTGGGGGAGATACTTTAGGAAGTAGAGTCTCGACTTAAGCTGTTGTATCGCTTTAAAGAACTTGTATAATCGCAATCATGGGGAAGTCCGAAGTTGAACAACGGGTGGAGAGCGATCCAGTGACACCAACAGAGGAGTTAGCAGACGGAACCAGTGAAAGGCCAAATGTGGAGCATCAGTTCAATGAGCAAACAAATTATCTGCCAACGGCTAGAATTATTACTGTGCGTGGTATTGGAGGCAGTTTTGGAATTGATGAGCTAACACAGAATAGATTTTCCTTGTATGCGCTTCCATCGACTTCTTTACTCTAATGGACCAGACAACACTGGCTGCCAGTTTATCAATAGTCAGTTCACAGCTCGGTGCAGGGAGCCAATCGTCCTGGATTGCCGGAGGGTTCTTTATGTAGGCGGTATTCCAGTGGGAAAATGGGTGCCAGGGCTGATGACATATCATAGAACATCGACATCATTCCAGCTGCTGTACGGGAGACTGTCGGATATCTGGTCGCGGAAAAACATATTACTTGTTGGATTCGGAATCTTCTTCTTCGGCTCTCTTGCGTCATCACTCGCAACAAATGTTGCCCAGCTGATTGTATTTCGTGCGATAACTGGGATAGGGGGTGGAGGGTTGATGACCATCGCGCAGACGGTCATAAGTGATGTTGTGTCATTGAGGGAGCGTGGAAAGTACCAGGGGATTTTTGTAAGTTGGTGGAATCGATGGTTCTAAAAATTCATTAATCGCTGACCTAAAAAGGGTGCGTTCGTCGCTCTTGCTAATGGAATCGGTCCAGTTATTGGAGGAGCGTTGGCAAAACATGATTGGTAATGTTTGTGATACCGGAATGTGTCAACCAGCCTAACATAGATCCAGGAGATGGATCTTCCGGTTGAATCTCCCCTTAACTGCAATCACTATGGTTGGTGTGATTTTCTTTACGCCACTCAAGAAAGTTGAAGGAGACTGGAAGAAGTAAGATGCTCCACCTCCCTACCACCGAAAATAGCTCGACTGAAAAACCGTAGAAAAATCCGAGCCATTGATTTCCTTGGTGCTTTTTTTGCTCTGGGCGGATCAACACTGATCGTGGTATGTCTGAGAATCAGTATTACTTATTAGCACGGAATATTCTGACGAATTCAAGCTGGCATTAACCTGGGGAGGTGGTGAGAAACTATGGGATTCAGCGGCCGTCATCGCTTCCTTGGTTTTAGGAGTTACATGCTGTGTAGCCTTTGTGCTTTGGCAGTGGAAGGGAGCAACTTTGCCCCTTGTACCTCGTATGTCTTCGGCTGCAAAATAAGCCCCAATGCTAATGAAAATTTAGTCTATATTTTCAAGCAAAAGGTGGTTAACGGCGCTTCGTTAACCATGTTGTAAGAGAAAACGAGCATCACTTACCAATCATTAGCTAACAATTCGTGCGTAGTATCAACGGTTGGGGCTTCGTGACCCAGGTGTACTATATTCCCACTTTTTACCAGCTAGTGTATGGCTACTCGACGGTAAAGTCGGGTGCTCTGCTGCTGCCAATTACCCTTACACAGAGTACGTACTCGCCAGCTTTGCGGCCTATGCGTGTCTAATTAGATCAGCTGCTTTCAGCACGTTGTCAGGTTTGCTCATTCATAAGACGGGTCGATATAGAGTGAGTCATTCCTTCCGGTTGCTTCATTCTATGTAGCTGCTGATAAAATGCAGGAGGCTATTTTGGTTGGATGGATTGCTTGGTCAGTAGGGCTTGGTATGTTCTCCACACTGAACGAGACCTCTGGACTGGGGAAGCAAATCGGTTATGCCGTCTTGACTGGTTTTGGGGTGGGTTGCACACTGCAACCGTAAGTTGGGCGCGTAATTTTGATTCGAATGCAACTGATATTGTGTAGGTCCCTAATTGCAATCCAGGCAAGCGTTTCGAGAAAAAACATGGCTGTCGTCACTTCGTTCCGGAGGTACGTCTAGTCTGTGACAGCTGCTATATCTTGATCTGACATACATACAACAGTTTTATCAGGAATCTTGGGGCCACCTTCGGTCTCGCAGTTGCGGGAACTATTATGTGAGTATTTATGATGCAGAAGGAAACCACGCTCACGGCCACAGCAATAATAGTCTTCGTTCAGCATTATCCGGCCTGGCAGATGTCCAGCCAGAAAATATACAGTGGCTACTAAATCATCCGGGAGATGTTCTAAGTGGATCGGTCGTTTTACCCGGAACAGAAAATTCAATCAATTTGAAAGGAGTATTCGTTGAGGCTTACAAGAAGGGCTTCAGAACGGTGTTCCTCGTTGGCGCGGGGCTTGCAGCCTCAGCATTCGTGTTTGCATTCTTCCTTCTGCCACAGATTGAGTTGTCGCGGCCAGACGAGGAAAAGCTCAAGGCAGAAGGCAAAAAATATGATGAAGAGCTAAGGCAGAAGAAAGAAGCAAGGTCGACTCAGGCACTGACGAGTGCGGAACCAGCTGCCGCGGAAAACAAAGCTGCGCAAGTTGAAAATCCTTAACTGGGATAGGACTTCTGGCTCTCCGCATCTGTTCTGGAAAACGGAACTTCGTCCTTGTTACGGGTCTACCTGCCCAGGCTCCCGTACTCACTGCGGCCCGGAAACGGTGGGAAAATTACTGCATGGGTAGCATGGCCAGAGGGATATTTATCGCCATTTGGACGCATGATGGCGATGACGGAAGCGTGCGGGGATGAGGTGATTGCAAAAGACAGATTGTGGTGCTGGGCGAGACTTCGATTTGGAGGTCGTCGAGAGGGAATTGGCTACTACAGTTGGTCTTGGAAGCAGATATGCCGGGGTATACGACGCGTGCTTTGGAGCGATGAAAAGTCCGCGATCAGAGGTGTTACATTGCTTCATATTTATATTTATGAGGCAGTGCATCGACGAGGGTTTACGGTCCTAATATATGTTAGTAATTTTCGTCTATGTTGAGAGAAATAGAAAGAACTGTAACTTCCATCACTATAAGCGTACTTTCCATGGATTACTCCATATGATGCGTACCATCCACGCCCTCCACAACATTGAGCAGGGCCAAAAGATCGCGATTATATAGCCGGATAGCAGGCCAGGCTAAGGAGAGAGTCAGCGCGGCCTGAAAGATAATTGTAGCTCCCAGCGTGAGAGTAAGCTCTGCTTGCCGCTACTACCAGTCCAAAGCCGGGTGGGCGGTCCCAAGCTGGATGCATGGTCGAAGCCATTGATGCTTTGGAAGAAGGAGATTGTCGTCGCACGCGATGGATGCTACCCCCTCAGCCCCTAATTGGTCTACGGGCCCTCCAAAGCCCTACTAGCCCATGTTGTGGTTCGCGTACAAGTTGGCGCAGGGGGCCGCGAGCTGGCGAGCTCACGGCACGACCCATAGGGCGCTTCTCTGTTTATAGTTCGTCCCTTCGTGCATGACCCCGTAAAGGTATAGACTTCGAACTCTCCCACCGCCACCTTTCTGCATTCCACAACGGATCGACCGCCTATCTTTCCGACGTCTCTATCTGCAAGCGTTATCATCTATAAGATGCCACTCGCCATGGGCGGAGCAGAGCTTGCCCGCGAGACACGCGGGGTTGAATACATTCTCAAGGCTTATGCTTCAGGGGTACCGCTCTTTCCACGGTCATTACTAGAGGACCTTGACCGACAGCTGGCACTAAACGGAGACTGTGTGTATATTAACAACATTGACAATATCCCACAAGAACACTACATTAAGGTTCCATCCGTTTGCGGAAACTCGAGGTAGGTGTCGGATCCAGTCTTGAAAATATGCATTGCATCCTATCCTATCCACAGACCAGCTAGTGACCCCCATGGAGTAGCGTCGCTAGTTGCCGCTTGAGCCATGGTTTAAATGATACGATGTCAGCCTGCTGTCGCGAGAGTTCCGACGTAGGGTTTTGCATATGCTGACGGGAGCTTTTCAAACAGCACCCATACGAGTAGGATCAGGTACCACTGCTTCCAGTCGCTTACGAATTTAAGACCGGCATCACCAGGGGAGGAGTTACATTTCGAGTTAAACGCTATAACGATCAGCTACACAAAGCATATTAAGCCCCCAAAATTTGCTCTCTCGGAAGTGACAAGCGCGTTCGGGCAGGCTCGCCAAGCGTGGCAGAAGAGCGATGCCTGTAGGTCACTTAAGCAACATCTCGCCACAGCAACCTTCTCTGTTTCCATCAATAAAATTGTCTGCTTCGGCCTTGGGTCTCTGACCGGAACGGATAAGCCCCACCCTTCCCGCTCCAATACCCAGCACGCCGCAGTTGAGACGATGGCAGAGGTCTTGAAAGAGAGAAGTGGGAGGAGTATACATTGCTATGCTCAAGAGCCGGAGTACAACGCCGTCGACAAGGAATTCCTCGAAACCATTAAAATCACGCCTGTTGATGACCCCAAAGGTTTTTTGGAGGTCGACGCCAATACTCTGGTCATTTCGGTCAACCCTAATGTACCTGTGAAGCAGATCATTGCTGATATTCAATGGCCGGCAGCAATGCTGTGGAATACTGTTGAACCAGAAGAAGCAGAGACGCGTGAATGGGAAAAGATGGAGTCAGGCGCTTGGCTCTCGTAAGTAACCTGCCAATCCTTTATATAATACCTCATCTGGAATGGCACGAGCATACGGCTCTTCTTAACGCGAGGGTTCCGCCATGCTTAACCAACTTCTTATGGCGGTACCGTGGCACAGTGCCTTTGAAAACCAATATAGTCTCTATCCTAGAAATAATACTGACTTTGCGGAGTCCTTACTCTACAGATCCTGATTCCCCTCGACTTCGGTTTATGGTCCAGTCCTATCACCAACAACGGTTTCTAGATTCCGAGAAGCTTTTTGGGAACCTTACAATGTATATCAAAAAGTAACTCAACCGCCGTTTCTAACACAACTCCAACGAAATAGCAGAGCGACAGAGCCCAATATACGCATACATTTTTCAGTTGTATTGCTCGATCACATCACCGATATCCTGTCCCAAAAGATGAGGCTCGCATTATTGATCAAGCGACGAACACCCTGGGAGACTTGCACAAGCCGCAGGTACCTCCTTCTATACCCGTGGAACTCTGAATTGGTTATGAAACTAACAGCACGGCAGAATTATGATTACTGGTTTGGGAGGCGCGAGGACCCTCATTAGGTAGACTTCAAGTGGAATACGCGAAGGACGATGCAGGCCAACATTAAATATGATGCGTTCTACTCCGAGCTAACGAGTTCCGGAGGTTCGTTTCTCAATGTATCAGATCTCGATGAAGGTGGAACAACAACGCCAACCTAGGACCAACAATCGAATTTCAATATCAGCACATTTTTGCACTGGCACACCTGTAAAAGTGCGCTGGGGAGTATGTAAATCAACGTGAATGTAAAATAAAACAGAATTAGGGGGTGAAGGATAAGCATAATATAAAGTGCACTTAAGGTTAGCTAATTAATATGACAGAGCACTATTGCCGTGTTACAATTAGAAGAAACACGGGCTGTTAGATTGGTATTAGATTCCCCAAGCTTGGTCTTAAAGCTGACCATGAACTAATCCTAGCCTCCTAGAGTTACATATGCTTACTTGCTTTTTTGGGTATGTCCATATACTTCCTCGCAACTATTAACCCAATTTCTGTAAAGGAGACACCGCCCAATATCTCGAACACAGCAACAGCGACTCCCAACGTCTTCGAAAACCAGTTTCTTAGATCAACCGCAGTTAGTGAGTCAACTCCATATGTATGCATCGGCTGGTTCAAATCCAACCTCGCCTCGTCAATTAATAGGGTCTTCGCCACCCGCTTCACCAATGCTTCCATGACAATATCCCTAATCTTTTCTATCGTATCCGCACTGTCCAACTCTGCTGCGATGTCCTGGTTCCGTTCTGATGGCAGTGTGGTTTCTGTTACTACGGATTGAACTTGGTACATATGAAGCCAAAGGGGCTGGCGCATCGAATCCGGCAGCTCGAAACCCTTGGCCAAAATTCCCCCAGGGGTTTGGCTGCCAATGATCGGCTGGCATTCTCTCCTAGAGAGTCGCAATGAAGGGTCGCACGCGGAGTCGAACATAGCGAGAGCCTCATGCTCAGGCAGCGGGATATACTTGCCGCCCATGAGGAATCTGTGGAACTGTGCACGGTCATGGGCAAGCATACCGTGGTCTTCTAAAGGCCCAAAGCAGATTGATACGGCCCTTTCACCAAGAGAAAGTCGGTATCGCGCCAGACCGTCCAAGTAAGTGTTTGCCGCTGAGTATGCAACATGCGAGATACCACCAATGACGCCAGCAATAGAAGAAGTCATAACGAAAAAGTCGAGGCCACTGGGTAGGAGGGAGTGAAGATTCCAAGCTCCTCGTGCTTTGGCGCCCATAAATGCACTCCAGTTAGAGTGAGGCATATTTTCAAATAACATATCCTTCACACGTTATTAATATTACGAGATACATTATAAAATTTGTGGGGGTCTCACCTCTCCATTATTTGCGAGGTGAATGCATCCTCTGACTGGCGGCATTGTTTCCTGGCATTTCAATAGCACCTGTTTTAAGACTAACAGATTTGTGATGTCACATTGAGGTGTCTCAACATGGATACCCAGGTCAAGCAAGTCGGATACGCACTTCCTGGCTTCCTCAGTTGTTGGGCCAAAACGGGAGAGCAGGATAAGGTATTTAACCCCTTTTCGAGCCATCCAGTTAGTGACGCTTTGACCGATGCCTCTGAGTCCGCCAGCTATAACATAGGTCGCGCTGGCAGAAAATCTGTACGTGTCTTTCTGAGCCTTAACCATCTAGAAAAGCAACATTGTTAGTAAATTCTGAGGTTGTATATCCACTGTGAACTAACCTTGACTTTATCATTTGTATCGACACTCAGCACAACTTTGGCACTGTCTCCCATGCTTTTCAATTGCTCAAAGGCTTCTTGAGCCTTGGATAATGGGTATGTCTCCACATTAGAAGCCTTGAGCTGCCCTGCCGAAGCTAATGCAAGTACTCTCTCTATGGCTGCATGCATTAGGTGTGGACGCTCTTGCTTCACCACCGCGCTATTGATGGTAATGAAAGTTACATTTGAAGCACCGTGATGATTTCGAATCATGACAGTGGGCTGTTCTCGATGATCGACGATATCCACGAAGACGCCAAATGGCGATATGCACTCGAAACATTCGTTGATGGCATCCGGGAGAGAGTTTAGGACTATATCCACGCCTCGTCCCTTTGTAAGTCTCTTTATCTCATCACTAAAGCGCGTCTCTGATATTATTCGATCTTTAGGTATTTGGTACAAGTCTGCGAAAATATCCTTTTCTGCTCCGTATCTTGTGACAACATACAGGTCGATTCCCACTTCTCGAGCCAACTGTAGGGCAGCTTCCTGGATCATACCCGTGGAGTGGATCAACACCGAGTCACCTTTCTGGATCCGCGCCGCCTGGTGCAAAGCGTATGAAGCAGTAACGGATCCTAGCGGTAACGCACATGCTTGTTCGAAGGACATGTCCGGAGGCAGCCTGGAAACTAGGTTCGCAGATGATCGGGCCAAAGTTCTACAGGTCCCGGTGCCCTGCATCCATACTCTGTCTCCAGAATGAAGGTCTAATCCTGTATTAGCCCTCCGGACGACGCCAGCACATTCGGTACCAATATTGGCGCTTTTGGAGCGGCCAGATGTCACTGTATAATCGTGGAAACTCAGCCCGATAGCCTTGACCTCGATTTCCACTTCATCAGCACCCAGCGGGAGTTTGGCATCGTCATCTTCTATGAAGTGCAATGTGTCCAGCTGGCCTGGAACTGTGATGTTCAGCAACACTGGCGGGGCTTCCGCAAGTGTTTGGATGCTCTTATGCTGAGATATTCGGTCGATAAAGTCTCCCTTCAGGTCGTTTGCCTCCACGACCCGATTGATGTGGAGCATACTGTCTCTCTCAATGTACTCTCGCTCATAATGCTCATTTCCAGGAATTCGGAGCGTTTCTGTCATGACCTCAAATATGCTTTCAACCTGCCTGGTCGTCAAAGGGCCCCCACCCTGGAGCGCCAGGACCACCAGTTTGATGTTACTTACTTCTACCCGGAACGACCTAGCGAAACCGTCAATGATTGCGTATGCGGGATTTTGAGGATCTCTCCCGCCCCCTCTGGTAAGCCAAAGGATATAGCTTGTATTGTATAATACCGCTTTAAGCAAGCCATAATCCTCCTCGTCCATGTGCATTAGAAAGGGGCCTTCGACCTCGGGAACGAATACACAGAGATGTTCGCTCATGTCCGCGAGGGTTGCTGCTGTCTGGAGGGTTATTATATCGCAAACATAGTTCGCTTCTGACTTCATATGGATTTGCAGCCGTTCGGCCACAGCTTGTTGGAACAACGAGCCTTTTTGTACTATGATCCTAAGACGTTGGCACGGTAGGGCGTCCGAGCAACTAATTTTCTCAGAGGCAGCTTTGGAGATCATGAAACTCATTTCACGACAGGATTCGCTCTCGCAATCACGAATCACAATTTCGGTGCCAGTAAAGCCGGTCTTGAGAAGCAAGGCGTTCCAAGTGTCCTCGTCAACTAGTGGTGATAATTTACGGTTTTCTTCGGTGCCTTGGGAAGTTAATTAAAATCTCAGATGGAAGCTAGATACACTTACCCAACCACCACCCTGGTAGTATGCCGAAAACGAACCCAGGCATGAGGTTCATTGGTGTTATAGGTTCCTGAAGCAGCAGAGTGCCCCCCCTTTCATTATTAGCAATTGCCACATATCGCGTTTGATATTATCTTACGGTTTCAGTAACTTCCGGACGTTATGTAGCGTTTTTTCGAGAGTCTGAGTAGCGTGAATGACCTATTGAAATTAGTCAACAGCCTTTAGTGATTCGGGGCAAAACAAACTGAAATTGCCACAATAAGATCATACGATTCTGCCTCGTAGCCCTGCGACACAACGTCCGTTTCAACATCCAAAACGCTGAATCGCACCTTGTCCGAGTACTCGGCAAATCTTTCTTTTGCTTGTTGGATAAACGATGAGCCGATGTCTGTGAAGTCATAATTCCTGCACCGCAGGACTCCCGCGTCTCCGTCTAAATGGTGTTGCAGAGTATACAGGATATACTCCGTGAAGGTGCCTGTGCCTCCACCGATCTCAAGGACCTTCATTCCAGGATTCTTATGTGCCATAAGGTCAACGTACTTCAGCAGCCTCTTAAAGTACACTTCAGTCTGAGCTTTCTCACTATAGTAGTTCTTGACAAGATCACTCTCAAATAAGAGCTGAGAAGAGCTTATTTCTCCACTAAGTACCTTGGGGAGCTGTTTCCCAACCTCACAATATAAGTGTTCTTCAGCGGATCGTTCGCGTTCGATCTCTCTTGAATATTCCGAGTCATATTGTATGCTGGACTGCTTGAGATGGAAATCCATCCACTCTATGTAGGATTTTATGTGCGGTGGCAGTATTTCGGAAGTTGTATTGCCGAGGAATCGCTTTGCATCCAGGAGAGAGTGAAGTATAATATTTTGCAGCTTTACACGCCGCGCGATGGGCGCACACGGTTGGGGATACTCTCTTGACAAGTAGTCGATTATTTCTTTACCACTTACCATACCAATATCAATCTTGGTATCTAAATAACACAGGACTTGATCGGCTGCCCGAATCGAGGGTGAGATATCCGCTGCGGTGGCGACAGCGGTTGTTTCCACTCCATCCAACTTGAGAAGTACTCGCTGACCATCGGGGCTGAGCACAACAAATGAAGCTTCTGAATGTCTGTAAGATTCTAGGGTCAACCTTGTGAAGACCGTTACTGGCTCCTTTGTAGCAGGATTCCCAAGTCCGACGGCTGAGATCCACATGGAATCAACTTTAGTGGGGATGAAAGTTCCGATTTTCTTCTTGCAACCTTTTGTAAGAGCAGCAAATTCAAGGTGCATTATCGCGTCTAATGTAGTCGGATGTATAACATGAGCCTGTTCTATACCTGTCGCCGGGTGGCTGTCTCCATACAGTGAGACTTCCGCAACCGCTTCACCATGATCATTATGTTGAAGGTTCAGTATCCTTTGGAATGATGGACCATAACCATACCCACAGTCATCAAGGAAACGATAGAAGGAGTTTTCGTCAACCGATTTGGGAGTAGCGCTCCGCAGTATGCCATTTTTGGAAACGCGGTCGTCTTCGACATGGTAACCCTCGTTAAAGTAGACGTGAATCATACCCCGGCAATTTTCTGTCCACTCTCTACCCGCATAAGAGCAGATCACAAACTCGAACAGATGGCCGTTTGATCCAGAAACATTCTTTTGCGGGTTCAATGAAATTTGGGTCTCGAGCTCCCCCTGATTAGTGGATATATCTAGAGCGGCCGAGAAGATAACATTGTCAAGTTGGTAGCCGACAATATCTCCCTGGTCATCATTGATCTGTCGGGCTGCTTCAATTGCCATGACCAACATTCCAGAGGCAGGGTATAGAATAACACCATTGATCTATATACTAGTTAATCGGAGGACTCAAATTACTTCGTGGGTTCACACACCTTGTGATCCTCTACCCATGGCATATCCTTAGTTCTAAGGAAATGCCGCCAACGAGGAGCGAGCGGATTCCAGTCCAATGATTGCTTTCCTAATAAGTCGACATGGCCATGCTTTTTGTGCTTGAAGTCCCTACTAATTCGACTCTCATACCAATATGTTTGCGAGTGGTTGAACGGATACTCTGGCAAATCAACTAAGGCGGTCCCAGCAGCCTTGGAAGATCCGGCACTGAACTCATTCACTGCAAGTAAATCAACACTATAGCCGGCACAATGCAGTCGACCAACGGCATTCAAAACCGTGTCTAAAGCTGAGACATTGCGGGACAGTAAAGAGTCATATGAGACCTCGTCCTGGCGGGGGGTAGCCCTGAGAATATCGCGGATCGGGCCCTTCAATGTTCCATGAGGCCCTACCTCCAGAAGATAGTCAACAGCAACAGCAGACCGATGGCTCCTATCTAACTTCCTCGTTAGAGACTTTGGGGTTCTTGAGCACATATTTTCGACAGCGCGTGAAAATTGGACAGGGCAGACCATATTCTCAACCCAATACTTGGGTTGGGATAGAATATGGGCTGAAACCTGATCACTAGTGACCGAGGATATCATGCCTATAGGTCGGGTACTTCCGTCTGCCCGAGTGAGCGTTTCCAACAAAGTCAGATACTCTGCTGCAATTTCCATCATCTGAGGAGAGTGGTATGCCACGGGCACTCGGAGTTTTCGATTAAAGACAGATGCCCCATCGAGCAACGATATCAACTCATCGATCTGCTCCTCCGTGCCAGATACTGTGATGCTGCTCGGACTATTGTAGCAAGATACAATTGGTGACCATTCTCCTGGGCGCAAGTGAACCTGGGCGAAATAAGGGGCAACTTCCTTCGCAGAAAGGGCAACAGCTAACATAGCTCCCGTGTATGAACATCTTTCATGTAGAGTTGTGGCGAGGAGGCCGCGATAATAAGCAACTTTCCATGCAGACTCTTTGGATAAAGCCCCAGTTGCGTAACTGTTTCGCATTCAGTATATGTTCATAATGCAGGGCTGAGGAAAACTAACGCAGCGGCAATTTCTCCTGATGAGTGCCCGGCGACCGCTGATGGTGTGATACCAAAAGATTCCAATAGCTCAACCAATGCTACTTGAAGTACTGTACATAAAGTTTGACTAAACACTGGAATATCGATGTTTGTTTTTGATGACGGCTGGGTAAACTCATCTGTGAACTGTTAGAGCGTCCCAGAAACGTCCAGATCACTTACCAAGGACCGAAAAGCTACATCCTAATCCCCGCAGAAATACGTCTGCCTCGCGAATGCTGTTCTGGAAGATTGGATATATTAGGAGCTCTCGTCCCATGGCATACCACTGCGATCCCTGTCCGGTAAATAGAAATCCAATTCGTGGGGGACTCTCTCTCCTTCTTGAGGGAGGGGATACATTCTGGTCGATTCCTTGGAGCTCCGTCGTAGATCGCGCTACGCAGTAAGACCTCCATGGGAGATGTGTCCGTCGAGAGCCTAGTGTGTATGCGAGATCATCCAGAAAATCCTGTGGATATGGCTCTTTCCACGCCGCACTTTTAAAGTGGTCAGCGTAACAAGTGACCAATTGGCCTACACTAGTCTCGCTATCAGCCGAGAATACGTATAGCTTAGGAGGGCAGGATATTCCATTGACAGCGAGAGGCTTCGGGGTTATGTCTGGCTGCTCTTCTACATCCGTCGAAACGGAGAGATTTGTCAGTGTTCTAGCTTCTGGTGGTATTTGTACCGTCCGATGCTTCCCAGGTAGGTTACGTATTTTCAAGAAGTTGTATGCATCATCAATAACAACATGGCTATTAGAACCGCCGAAACCAAATGAGTTGATAGAAGCTCTTCGTAGACCATTAGTCGGCCAAGGAATCGCAGTAGTGGGGAACTGAGAATCGTCCTGATTAGCTGTTTGATTGGATAATACTAGAAACTTACCTTGAGACAGAGATACAAAGGATCTATCTTGCGGTTAAGATTCTCAAAGCCTGCATTGGGTGGAATAATGCCTTTTTCCAGAACCATAATAGTCTTGATAAGTCCGGCAATACCACTAGCTCCTTCAAGATGTCCGATATTGCTCTTTAACGCACCCCTTTTCCAGAGTCAGCCATGCTATGTTTCAGCACCCGATGATTCAACCTAGAGTAGAAGGTGATACATGGGATCTAAAATATCATCTACTGCGCCAGTGGGAATCAGGTAGGGTGTCGTGTTTACTCACACAATCAGTGGATCCTTGGATGTCCGAGAGTCTTTGAAAGCACACCCAACAGCCATTGCTTCAATTGGATCTCCCAATGCCGTCCCTGTGCCGTGTGCTTCGCAAAACCGCGTCATTGTCATAGATAATCCAGCTTTTCGGTAGGTCTCGCGGATTAAAGCTTCCTGTGCAACACTACTGGGTTGAGTAATGCCAGGTGTGCGGCCATCCTGATTGCAGCCAGTGGACCGAATGACTCCGCGAATGGTATCTCCATCCGCAATTGCATCTTCAAGTCGTTTTAGGATGACTACACCAAAACCTTCGCCTCGGGCGTAGCCATTAGCCCTGGAGTCAAAGGCGAAAGACCGACCATCGTGAGACAGCATATTCAAATTTGTTAGTATGTTAAAGTAGTCTGGAGCGTAGGTCAAGTTACAGCCTCCGACAAGACTCTATTACGGCAAATTCAGCGAAGAGCTAACAATACACCCCCCTATAACGGTATTGTGGGACTTACCATATTACAGCTGCGGTCCCGCAGGCCGGCACATGCCATATCAAGAGCCATGCCGCTACTCGAGCAAGCTGAATCCAAATTTACACTCGGCCCTTTAAGATCAAAAAACCAACTAAGTCGATTGGCAAGGAGAGATGCACCAACGCCTGTGGCAGCGTAAGTTGGTAAGGACTCAGGATCCTTCATAAATTGCAATAGATAGTCGGTACTAAAACATCCGGTGTACACCGAGGTACTCGAACCGGTCACTTTTTCGAGAGGTATCCCAGCTACAAAGATAATAAGTAAGTGATTCCCTGGTTAATACAGAATACAAACCATTTTCAAAGGCCCGATACGCAGTTTCCAGTAGTATTCGTTGCATAGGGTCCATAGCTGAAGCTTCTGCTGGACTGATGTTAAAGAAACCAGCATCAAATGCTCCAATATCCTCCTTGACGAAATTGGCTCCTCGCAAAGGAAGCTAGACAGTGAATCAGCTTCAAATATTTCTATAAAGACATCACATAGCTATAAATGCCTTGACATTAATGTTGTAGTACTAACCGCATCCTGCCTCTTAGTACCTGGAATGTGAAACGACTCAATATCAAAACGCTCCTTCGGAATTGTTGTCATAGACGAGCGTCCTTCCATGAGCATTTCCCAAAATGATGTAGCGCAGGCTGCATCTTGAGGAAACTTGAGAGAAAGGCCAACAACGGCAATCGGGCCAAGAATATCCTCCTCGAGATTGTAGCCAGCGGTCGAGTTTTGAAGACCTTCGGTCAATTCAGTATCGGTCATAACACCATTGGCCATGTTGTACATTGTAGTGTGATAAGTGCATGGAGGCACGATGTCATGAGTAGATGGACGCGAAGAAGGAAATCAAAATGCTCCTAGCGGGCTGTCTTTGATACACTGCCATATTTAAACAGGATTCAACTCGACTGGACTGAGTAGTTAATATACTAGCTGGAGTGGTAATTTAGTTAATACGGTAAACTCAGATTTGCAATTCCCTGAATCTGAATCAACAAGATCTCGCCCCTACCTTGTCACTTATCAGTGCTCGTATAACTTAACGCGTAGCCGGGATATAATCCAGATCTGCCACTGCGACTTAACGGCGCAGACACATCATTTTAAGGGGTATCTGCATCCCTGGAGGGTGTCGGTTACGCTATGAATATACCCGCGAATGTCAGGCATCAGGCGATATCGCCAATATGGCTCGTAGCTACAGGGCTTCAATCTCTGGGTCGTTTGTTTAACCCAACCTCGGTGAGACGGGTGCCAGGAAAACCATAAATAACAAACACTTACTATGTCCTTCACTCTCAAATTGATCATCACCTCGTAAGGTCCCCTCCCTACCCCCCTGCCGCTTTGCTTCGTTCGTATCTTTTACCTACCTAGGCATATTGTGTGACAGGGTTATTATCTACAACAATGCGTTTTCTATGCCTCCATGGAGGCGGTACAAACAACCGAGTAGGCTCGCTATTTCTTGAACTCCCTTCCTACATTTCTCGTCTTCTCTCCAGTCGGACTGCGGCTATCAATGAATGAACCTAACGTAGAACTCTAGATTTTTGAGGCACAAACAGGTAAATTCTCCTGAAGGAGAGCCACATCGGAGAGCCATAGTGACTTTTGCATCCCATTAGCTGCTCTGCGATATGAGCTTGGTCCGGGCCACAGCTTCGAGTTCGTTGAAGGTCTCATGCTATCTCCTAGAGCCGAAGGTACGGTGATTGGATTTTGATATTGCCCCGGCGAAGTTGGTCCCATAAGAGCTGATCTTGAGGAATCGTTTCCCCTAGGATTTAGGAATCGAAACTTTTGCAGCTCCAGATGACGAGTTTTTTGCTTACTACCATCCTAAGCAACCCGAGACGCTCGAAACCGCACTTCGAGAGCTACATAATTATGTAGTTGAAGAAGGGCCGTTCGATGCCGTACTTGCATTCTCTCAAGGGTGCGCACTGGCGGCATCCTTCATCGTAAGGAATCAGGCAGCAAGACTATTGCCTCACTTCAAGTTCGCCGTGTTCTTCTCCGGTGGGCCAGCCTGCTCTGTTGAGCAGCAAGGAGGAAGGCTATTCGAGCAAGGGGACGCAACGATCGACGGCTTCATCACAACGCCAACTCTCCACGTATGGGGTGCAAACGACCATCACAACCCTAAAGACAATCGACTTCTTGGCGAGCAATGTAGCAATGATACCAAATCAATATTCGTGCACCAGGGCGAGCATGAAATCCCAGGCTCTGGTAAAACTGACGCGGTAGTTGAGATTACGCATAGGATCCGACGGCTCTTTTGCTGATAGCGCCGTGGAAGTGGTTAAGGATAGATAGAGGTGCAGCATGTTGCATTGCTGCTACGAGTACTCGAGTAGGATTCGCGCTATTTCTTAGATCGGTAGTTCGTACGGCGTATACTCGAACTGGTAGGGTTATAGCGCCAGGGATGATAATTACACGATTAAGCCTCCTTCGCAATACTTTCTTGCGCAACAATAGCCACGTATGCTCTATTATCACATGTGAAATGCAGTTTGTTTACGGAGGTATCATTCCATGTCAGGTTATCTCGTCTCGTCCTGCATCCAGGTTCGGGTCGCGCGGAGGCGTATTGCGGCGCAGCCTCCTCCCAATGGCTGCGGGGTAGGCCGTCAGCCTGCCCTTAGGCCACAACGAATATATCAGAAATATCAGAAAGGATTCCACGTATGTACCTACGTACATAAACTCCCAACTACCAAGCATCCACATGCATAACCATCACATCGTACTGTATCTACCCTGTTGGACTGTTTGACAACGACAAAATAAGGAATAATCCGAATAAGTGGTTCCACTGAGATACTCCCCGAGGACTGGCATTTAACCGTCGTTGTGGCCAATCTTGTCTGAATACCTACCTTTAACTATAACCACGCCACCTGATCCTCCTCTGGCTGGAAATCTATACCTATATCGCACCCTTTGATTAGATCCTAACCATCATGGCTCTGAATCAACTCCCTGTCGCCGGCAAGCTTTTCGAGGTTCAGGACGGCACCAAATATGCTTACGTACATATCCCTAGTGCGGTATCGAAGCCAACCTTCTTGCTCCTTCACGGCTTCCCTAGCTCCAGTTATGACTGGCGTTTCCAGATCAAGACGCTGGCGGATCTTGGCTACGGTGTTATTGTACCAGATTTGCTTGGTTATGGCGATACTGATAAGCCCGCCGAGCTCGAGAGGTATAAGTTCAAGAAAATGGCGTCAGACATTGTACAGATTCTGGACAAAGAGTCTATAGGGACGGTAATTGGTGTCAGCCATGATTGGTAAGTTCTCAGGGGATCGTGCCCAGGCGGCCAAGGCATAGCCTCTCTCACCACGAAGCGGCGTTACAACTGCCCCTCTTATTCCGTGGATTTTTATATTCTTCAATTTAACAAATGCAGTATTGTCTGCGCTGTTATACATGACATAGGCTAACTCTGATGACTTGAAGGGGCTCGGGGCTTTTATCCCGCCTGGTGAATTACCACCCCGATAGATTTTCGGCTCTTGTTTTCACATCTGTTCCTTATATGGAACCTGGACCATTTGACTTGGGTAATTAAACATCTTACGAGTACAAATCCTTCCTCATGCTAATCTAGCTTGCGGCTAGATGGTCTGAATGCCATGACAGAGGCGGCCTTTGGCTATCCTACTTTTGGGTACCAGTACTTTTTCAATGAAGATGATGCTGCCGAGATTTGCAACCGTAACGTATATCATCCTTTTCAATCCCACTGTATGACGGCAGCTGATGGATAACAGAACGAATCTCTAACATCACTGGCCTATCCCACCAATCCTGAAATCTGGAGAACTCATATGGGGCCCATTGGGGCTGCCAAGGCCTGGGTAACGGCCAACACTATCAAGCCACTACCTGCATGGCTTTCTGAGTCCGAAGCGGCTGTTCATAATCAAATCTTTAGCAAAGGAGGCTACACAGGTCCACTCAATTGGTAAATTGTGTTCGAAATACATTGTTTGGGCTCTTGCTTATAATATTGACCTTAGGTATAAAGCCGCTATACGCGGCCTCAACGCGGAAGACGACGCCGAGATTCCTGAAGAACGGAAGTTCGTTAACGCTCGGACTCTGGTTGTCGTCTCGGACCAGGACTACGTTACCCGAGCAGAAGTAGCTGAACAGCTCTCTGCAGTTCGTCTGCGGGATTTTAGCATCAAAAAGGTCGTAGGGTGTGGTCACTGGATTCCAGTGGAGAAAAAGGATGAGTTCTCCGAGATCCTAGTTCAGTTCGCAGAAGGGGCTGGAGGCGCATGATTGAAAGTATAGACCTTCGCCTTAAATTCAGGTTGGAGTTGTGATGGCTCGTAGTGTTCAGTATGCAACACCAACTTGAGCGAGAATTTCCAAAAAAAAAGAATTACATCTCTATCTCCGCAATTCAACATCTCGATCTTAGTATCGTCTTACGTTTCTGGCACAGTACGATCATGCTGCGTTTTAATCTCGATGAAGTAGTTGCTTGAAAGTGTAAATGCGGGTGCTCAGCTAACACGGAGATTCCGAGATAGAGGCAAACTCGCGCAGAACGTAGACTTGTAGGATGGTACTGCTGTAAGGCATCATTAACTGCGGAGGAACCAACTAGCGAAGTGTGAAGTTCTAAATATAGGAAGGCCAGGTCGCCTTTATAGGAGGCGTTGGCAATGGGATGCATGCTAGTTTTTCAAAATTGATTGACTCAACTACCTAGCCTGCAGGAATACGTGGGGTGGTACTTGTAGCACTCAAAGCCCGGAAATACCTTAAAGAGCTAGGCTTTCATCTCCGTAAGGTTCCCCAGTAGTCTTAGGCTCTATTTTTGCTAGCAATAGTCTAAGAATTTCCACCACAGGGGAGAACTTTGCTAAAGATATTAAGGATAGTAGCTGTTTTCATAGCAATCTTTTATGTAGAAAATAAGTTGACATACGTTTTATTACACTATATATATGAAGATGTACGCAAAACATGAGGTACATGTACATGTACATTTTCGGCTACAAGGAGACCACTATACATATATGCGACGTCCGAACACTGGTACCTACGTACCGAGCAACGCCTTCCAATCCCTCTCTACTCATAAAGACCTAGTAACTCCTCATGACGCGACATTAAGAATGCATGACCTGCCCGTCAGACAATATCGACCGTCCGCTGGACCCTAATACCATTAGAAGGGTGCCTCTCGTGATCACTAACTTGATCTCTCTCCTTTAGAGATGTCGCCTTTATCCCCACCAAATGAACTTCGTCTCCGCTAAATTGGGTAAAGTTCTTATAGTCCCTTGAAGTCGAGGATATATGCGGAGGGACAAGCTCGAGTCTGCCACCGTGGGAATTTGACGCGGTCCCTTTTGAACTGAAGCCCGAGCCCGAGCCCGTAGCTGAGCCATAGTATTTGCGGAGGCTGCTTGAAACGATCGAGGCGCTCTTGGTGTAGAGGTGGCGAAAGGAAGGGAGGCAAGCGCAGATTATCGCGGTACCGGTATGGATGTCCAGCCAGATCATATCGACGGCAAGATCCACTAAGGGGGGGTTAACTTAACTTGCGTGACAAGTTTGTAGACGCTGTATACGCCGAAGAAAGAAATAGAAATAGGGGTGGCTTACCAGATTGTTGCCCTGGCTCGTAGCACACAATGATACGAACTATGCCAGTGGCGATTACACTACAGACATGCTGTCAGTCATAGATTTACTCCTTCCTCTTCAAGGTAGACCCAACGAAAGGGGAAAATGGGGAGCAGCTCACAATCCACCAAGTAAAAAGACAAACGACAGCATGAGCTTCTTCTCCCATGACAATTTCAGTTTCATAATCTCCACGACTGGCAGGGCGAGGATCATAAGGTCTATGAGCAGCTCAAAGCCCATGATAACTACAAAGTAGGTGCTATAATAGATACACTTTTCGGGTATTTCCAGAGGATTGTTCCACAAGGTGTCCGTAGGCGTGCACATAAAGGTTTCGCCGAAGAACCCAGGGATAAACCAAAGGATTTGGAGTGCTATTAATGCTAGAGAGAGGCGGTTGAAAGTTACGCCCACAGAAAATATGCGGCGGTAGAACATCAGGATTGAGATGTTCGTAGCAAGGACGATTGGGAAGTAGAACTCTCCGCAAATATAGACATACTAAATGATATTTTAGCGACATGATGAGAGGGACTGGGTAGCTCTTCGCGATTCAAAGAACTCGAAAACGGTATTGCTAACCTTCATGTATGTTCCCAAGTGAGGATCCATCAGGCTAGTGGCCTTCCGGCCTTCAAGTATACCTATTGATCAAATAAGCGATGGAAGACTAAGATTTGCTAGAATGTTTATGATTTACCGTAGAGTTGCAAACCGACTTGCGGATACCAGAGTACCTGAGCCAGTATGAGAAACAAATCGTCCATGCCAAACTTCTGTTTGCTCAACCATTTTGAAACCAGTCGCAGAGTCACAGCAATTGTCGTGAATGTGGTCATCACAACTAAGGTAATTATTATACCATGTTGATATTTCAGAACTGAAGATAAAGGGTCCAGCATCTTGCCGGCAATACTCTCGAAGTCGTGGATCCAGTGTTGGTGCGTTTTCTATTACTGGCTGTAGTCTAGATGGTGATGGTCCAGCGACACGGCTCCACCAGCTTTAGTTATCTCTCGCCGGCCCACGCGGCACAGCCAGCAGATGATGGGAGCAAAAATCAATTCCATATCAGGGTTAATCGCACCAAGTCTCTACTCGTACTCCATCACCGCAGAAGGAATGTACCCCAGTGTTTACCGTGAAAGGATTCGGGAGCTAGCACAAGTGGGCGATCCCGGCACATCAGGAACTCTGCCACGCATTGGGGTAACGAAGACTTGTTAATTATCCATATAGCAGTACATCTACTCGCGCCACCGCTCTGCAGCGCCGCCCTCCCTCCTACTCGGGCACCTCGGTGGCAGCTCCATTCAGCATCAAACAAACAAATGAGTAGACGCCAACAAGCTGCATAAGTATTAATACGCTTTCCTTGCCTAATAGAGCGACAGCATGGTCATAATGTGGCTTCGCTACCGGCCCCTTGCTATTGAGCATCTCCATAGCAAACTCATAGGCCACTTGTTCCGCGGGACTGAGCCCGTCGGGGACCTTGCCCTCACTCGCATCCGTCACTTGCGTCTGCGACATGCCAAGCGCCGGCAGAAGTGCAACGCGCTTATGTGCATACAATTCGTACGGGCAGTGGTAATGGGCGCCGACTGCAAGAATGGCGAGTTCGCGGGCCCGGGGCTCCAGCGCGGGGTGTGAAGAGACCGTCATGATGTGGTCAAACCATGCGGTGCCGAAGAAAGGGGCGTGACTGTTCCCAAGTTAGAGAGGTCTAGGGGAGAGTACCACGCCGCCACGCGCATAGCACCATCATGATGCGACCTACATCATCATGGGAAACGGCCCCAGTAGAGCTCCAGTGTGATCCTTCATAGTGAACGGCGGGCTGGATCCAGAAGCCGTGTTGTACACAGAGTCGATGTGGTCATGGATCGCCCGTTGATCCGGGGTGAGGGACTCTGGAGGAATGGGAGCAAATCGAGGCATGATTTGATGGACCTAGGGTGGCAAAGAAGATACGAGTGACGGGTTTCGGTGCGAAAGAATTGGTGGTGTGGTGAAAAGGTAACTTCATATTCGGGCCATGGTATTCCTCCTTATGAGGCTCGCCATCGAGGAATCGTCCCCTGGAAGGCCTCGCAACTATCGTACGCTGACTTGCTGAGGCCAATTCCAGACGGCGCATGTTAGTGTCACCTACTAAATCAGGAGTACCTGTAAAGGACGTACCTCCGTAAAAATCACGTATTTTCTATAAGTACCGTACCTTTACGTACTGCGTACCAGGTAGTACTTGATACTCCCGCGCTGCGTGCGAGGGGCGCGGTCTATATCGATTGCGTTAAGTGCAGTACCTACCCAGGTACGACTCGGACGAGAGGGTTGGTCACCGAGGGTGGCAGACATAAACTTTTCAGAACTCGGCAATCGCTCCTTAGTGGGTGGTAGTGCGCCAGTGCCCCCGGGCCTGGTACGCCTTGGGTAGTAGCACGGACGTGATAACAGAGTAGTATGAGGATTGACGGTTTTAAGTTAAGAAGATCTCGTCCGTGACGGTACCAACGATATTGCGGAGCAACCCCTGCGCCTTGGATGTTGATCCTCTCGGGGACCACGGGTCCAGCCGTTCGCTTTATTATGCCTCTAGTAGAAACTTGGCGTGGGGCGGGACTGCTAAAATTTAAGGATAATTAAGTAGTCGAGTAATTATACAGTAGAAGGCGAATTAGGTGTCGCGAGCATTTTAGTTATGCTTTTTTTTACAGACAGACCGCGGGGTAGGCCTGTGGATGGTCGATATTACCAGGACCCGTGGCCTTGTGCTCAGAGCTTCTACAGGTTCGAGCTACCCACCCGTACAGGCTTCCATGAGAATCGTCCCTCTACTAAGTAAATTATTATTAAGTTATTCGGACTGTTCGCTTCGGTCACGACGATTAGGTCATCCACCGCGGATATGCGCAATGGATCTAAAGGCCAAAGCGGATAATGCGCACTATCGATAGAGTGAGTGACTTCTTAGCCTTGTCTGAAGAGTTCGCCGTGACCGCTCTCCATCTGCCCCCTCTTCCAGGGGCACTGTTTTCCGCGTCACCGGTCTTCTCCCAGCTTCACACCCCGACGGCGAGCTAAACGAAGCCTTGAATGCTGCCATCGACGACAACCTGGCTGAGGACGAGCAATAGAAGCTGACTGTCAATGTAGCTACTGTGCCCTCCTGCTACGACAATGAGGAAAAAGTTGCGTTGGTCGAGTTCTATGGCGGAGTACCTACATTCCTGTCCGAGCTGATGGCCAGCCCACTGGGCGATTGGCAGGTCGAAATGGGCGACACGGACATAAGTTTCGATCAACACTTCTTCTTTGGGTTCACCCAGCTGTACACGCAAAAGCCATGCTCGCTGGCTACCGCTAAGTAGATAATATTTCTTCCCCAAAAATATATATCCGACCTACCGCGTAGTATAATTGCTATCACGGGCCCCGAAGGACACGCATATGGCTCGTGGAGGGGAAAGGGAAACCTCGGGCGTATGTGGCTGCGCGACTTCCTGCCCAAGGGCTTGTCATGCTGCCACACGATGATCTACGGCTACAACTCGAAGCTGTCAACGCATGGGGTCGACATTATCATGGATTACGGCCGAGGGTTGATGGAGGAGCTCAAGATTAGGAATACAGAACAGGTAAGCGCTATTACGGAGTGCGGCTCTAGAGCAGCGGCATCAGGCCAACGGGCTCATTCCACAAGCTAAGAAAGCGGCCCCTGTTCTTCATCGCGCATAGCTTTGGCGGTATTGTCCTCGCTCACGTAAGTCAGCCGCTACGATATGTATACATAAAGCTAAGTAGCAGCATAGTGCATTGTCAGTCCAGGCAGACGAAGACGACCACCCAACAATAGCGTCTCTGCACAGAGCTACATATAACATGCTTCTGTTTAGGATCCCACATAAGGGCCTAGTAGTAGACGATATCCAGAAGATGGTGGCAGGACAGGACAATCATCCACGGAGTGCGCTGCTTGAGCAGATCATAAGTAAATCTGACCTGTTAGCGTTTCAGCTAGTGGATTTCAGGAATCTCATCCGAGACCAAAAGGTTGTAAGCTTCTATGAGATGGTCCCGACAAGACAGCTTCAGTTTGTATGATGCTCAAGAGTTACTATAGCAGCAGATCGCTAATTGTGTGTAGCAGGACAGTGAAAGTAGACGATGGAGAAGGGCCGGCGACTTCGTTACAGCGGTAGATGCTGACTCAGCTCTTCTCCAGTTGCCAGACTCAATGGAGGACAAGATCCCTCTGGATGCCGACCATTCGATGATTGTCAAGTTTGATAATAAGAATAATCGAGGCTACACTAGCGCGCGGGATAAGATTAGACAGTTTGAGCAGAATGCCCCCAACGTGGTTGCAGCTCGGTTCTGTACGTAGCATTCCATTTAATGATATACCATATCGAGATCAGGCCTTATGTGCCGTCACTGTGTTTGCTCCTAGCTAATATCAACTGAGTGCAGTGCGAGCGCAAAATAGACCTAAGCCTTCCTCGATAATCCGTTTCCAAAGAGATAGCTCATTCGTGGGACGAGAGGATATCCTGGTGGAAATAGGTGATAAATTCGAGCAGGCGGCATCACAAGACCACAGTCGAGTAGCCCTCGTTGGTCTAGGCGGCATAGGGTGAGCATGTCTATACATTGTTGTCGGCGCAACTCACGCTTATGCTTTGGCTAGGAAGTCTCAGATTGCTATCGAAAATGCGTATAGGGCGAGAGAGTCTGCACCCCAGACCTAGGTGTTTTGGGTGTATGTGAGCAACGCCACCCGATTTATGCAGGCCGATACGAATATTGCCGCCAAGATTGAGCTGCCCGGCCGGGACGATCCAAAGGCTGATATCCTCCGCCTCGTGTATAACTGGCTATGGGACGAGCGGAACAGTCGATGGCTTATAATACTTGACAACGCTGATGACGACCGGGTCTTCTCCTCTACAAGCACGGACTCGGATGGTGCCGCGCATGGAGCGGAGGCTCCTCGTGAGGCGCCGCCCTTAGAGAGCTTACTTCCGCAAGTCTTCGAACGGATGGATACTGGTCACTTTACGAGACCTGGTTGCAGCAGTAAACCTCGTAGGGACGAGGCTCAATGTTTTTCAAGTGGAGCCGATGGCGGAGGAAGATGCGCTGATGCTGCTGAAGACTAGAGTCTCAGTCGGCGAGGCTTTTGAAGACGATGCAAAAACACTCGTACATACACTAGAGTACATCCCCCTTGCCGTCACTCACGCAGCAGCGTACCTTGCAGTGCGAGCGAAACAATCACTGTCTCGACCTACCTTGAGCTCTTCCGCCAGAGTGAGGAGAACCAAGCACACCTCCTAAGCAGCCACGGAGCAAGAGACATGCGGCGAGACGGCAGCGTCTCCGACGCGGTCATCACCACTTGGCAGATATCGTTTGAGCAGATCCGGAAGACGAGGCCCGCAGCTGCAGAGTTACTTTTGCTCATGGCCATGTTTGACAGACAAGGGATTCCGGAGTCTATTCTATACGCTGGTAGAGATAGGATCCAGTTCGAGGATGCGGTCGCACCGTTAACAAGCTCCTCTTTGATTAAAGCCCAGAATATGAAGCAGCCAGAGCAGCAGGTCAGGGAGCATCTATTTGAGATGCACGACTTAGTGCAGCTGGCGACGACAAAGTGGCTGGAAGTACAGAAGCAGGTGGGCAGGTGGCAGAAGACGTCGCTACAGATTATAGCTACTGCTTTCCCGAGTGGACAGCATGAGACATGGGCGGCTTGTCGAGTGCTCCTTCCGCACGCGCGAAAGGCGCTTGGCTACGTTCTAGAAGAGACGGAGGCAAAACTGGATCGCGCAAGGATTACAGATAACACAGTATTTTATTTTCTACTCGCAGGGGAGTATGCAGCAGCAGAGCAAATTGGGCGGACTGCAGTAGCAGGGAGAGAGGAGGTTCTTGGAGTAGAGCACCCGGACACGCTCACTATCGTCAGCCATCTTGGGTGGGTGTTAGAGAGGCAGGGCAAGTACGAAGAGGCAGAAGCGATGCACTGGCAGGCTCTGGAAGGATATAGAAAGGTGCTTGGAGTAGAGCACCCCAACACACTTACCAGAATGGCCAACCTAGCCTCCACTTTGTGGAGTCAAAGGAAGTGGAAGGAGGCTGAAGATATGGAAATCCGAGTAATGGAGACGAGTCAAAAAGTGCTTGGACATGAACACCCAAACACGCTGATGGCCATAGGTAACCTTGCGTTCACACTAAAATCCCAAAGCCGCGATAAGGAGGCTATTTCACTAATGGAGACATGCTTTCAGCTACAAGAACGGGTCCTTGGTCGTCATCATCCTAACACGAAGTCTTCCCTTGAAACTTTGAATGAGTGGCAGATGGAGAATATCGAGATAAGGGTTTAATGAGTGCTGCTTTAATTAGAAGATAGAGGGCCAGGTGCAAATATGGAATAGGCCGAGTAGTGTAAGTATGGGTACGAGAAATAGTACGGTAATGAAAGTGACTTAGCGCTATATATCGCCACCAGCTGCAGGCAGTACAGCTAACCTGCCGATTCTGTACATTCAGTTAAGTTAATGTTTTTTAGTACAAAGTCATCAGAATATATACTTGTAAAGCTTGGGTGTGAAGCTCAGAATCGCCAAGAATCGGCTCCACTTGCGATGACAATTAGCAGCAGTACCTTTTGAGTACAAGCAGGCAGGGGTGCACAGCCACAGTGTCTGGAAGTGGTCATCGCTAAGAATTACAGTCGCTAACAAAATCGGCTTTCTCTCTAACTTACTCTAAAAGTTTCAGCCCTATTCACTAGTCAAGGATACTACTAGCACCCTGTTAGAAGTAGCTAGACGCCACATAAAGTCGTTGGTAGTGACAGGTAGCTTTAGTTTCTACAATACCACTTGAACTACCAAGTATTCTATACTATACCCGCACACGCCCTCGCTATATTCTTAGCTATATTGTTAACATATAAGCTATTTAGCGTACCGAGGTACTATCTATTAGTAAACTATTAAAAGTAAGTAGCGAGAAGAGTAATAACTAAGTTTTTAGAATATTCTAAACTAATTTATCTAATACTTTCGAAATTACTTAATAGTATATAAATATTATTTCCTTTAAATTTCTCTTTATTAAAGTTATAAAAATAAATATAATATAAAAGAAATAATTAATTAATATTTTTATATAATAGTTTAAACTTTAATATATTTATTCTAAGAAACTTAAAGTAGTAGTATTAGCTATATTCACCTCGGCGCCTTTCTCGAGTAGTAGCTTGACGACCTCGACGTGCCTCTTCCTAGAAGCCCAGTATAGTGGCGTCCGTCCGTATTCGTCAGCTATATTCACCTCGGCGCCCTTCTCGAGTAGTAGCTTGATAACCTCGACGTGCCAGTTCTCAGAAGCCCAGTATAGTGGCGTCCGTCCGTATTCGTCAGCTATATTCACCTCGGCGCCCTTCTCGAGTAGNTTGATAACCTCGACGTGCCAGTTCTCAGAAGCCCAGTATAGTGGCGTCCGTCCGTATTCGTCAGCTATATTCACCTCGGCGCCCTTCTCGAGTAGCAGCTTGATAACCTCGACGTGCCCGTTCTCAGAGGCCCAGTATAGTGGCGTCCGTCTGTGATCGTCAGCTATATTCCCCTCGGCGCCCTTCTCGAGTAGTAGCTTGACGACCTCGACGTGCCCGTTCTCAGAAGCCCAGTGTAGTACTGTGTGTCTATATTGGTTAGCTACATTCACCTCGGCGCCCTTCTCGAGTAGTAGCTTGACGACCTCGACGTGCCCGTTCTCAGAGGCCCAGTGTAGTGCTGTTTGTCCATATTGGTCAGCTGCATTCACCTCGGCGCCCTTCTCGAGTAGCAGCTTGACGACCTCGGCGTGCTTGACGTGCCCGTTCCCAGAGGCCCATTGTAGTGGCGTGTGTCCATATTGGTCAGCTGCATTCACCTCGGCGCCCTTCTCGAGTAGCAGCTTGANCTTGACGTGCCCGTTCCCAGAGGCCCATTGTAGTGGCGTGTGTCCATATTGGTCAGCTGCATTCACCTCGGCGCCCTTCTCGAGTAGCAGCTTGATGACCTCGATGTGCCCGTTCTCAGAGGCCCGGTGTAGTGGCGTGTATCCATATTGGCCAGCTGTATTCACCTCGGCGCCCTTCTTGAGTAGAAGTTGTACAACAGATGTAAGACCAAAATAACATACAATTAGCAAATGACTGCTGTCTTCACCTGGTAGACTATCATAAGGCCGATGTTGTTCCAGTATCCGAAACCATAATAAGAATCTCTGGGTCTTAGAATTGCAAATTTGCAGCGCATTCTCTCCTAGCTCTTTGTCGGCTTTCTCTCCGGCTTGTCGGAAGTGTAATGTCCAATTTAGTGATGCGTATAAGAGAAAAGGGGGATATTTTTGCGGATCGCTTGAAATATCTTGAAAGTCCAGTCGAAGGTACCACAGACACGCTTTTAACGCCTCTAAATGCGAGTCTTGTAGCGTGAATCCATTCTTCCAACAGGAAGAACTCCAAGAATTGGTGCTACCACTTTTGTTAATAAGAAAATCTTTGGCCGTTTGGTGAATCAGGTAAATCTTTGAACCAACAATGGTGACAAATAGGCCGCAAAGATTCACGATCTTTTTTCGAAACGCTTCTTCCTTGTCTAACACGAGGTCGTCTTCCGAGGTACATTTCTGTCCCCTCTCTTTCATGTCCAGAATCTCGAGGGCAGTGTTCATCTCTTCCAAGGTCAGCGGCCTTTCAGCTGCCAGAATTAGACATAACACCTTCTTGGTTTGGTCCGGATATGTGGCTCTCTTCAAGATCTTCTCGTATGCTTCATCAATAGAAGGGGTTATTGTTTCAAGGAGTCGTATCAACTTCCGCTCAGTTGACTCGAGTGATTTTGATATCTCCTGGAGCATCAGATACACCCAGAGATAGGTTCGATTTCCCTGATCTTTAAGATGCTGTATGAGTCTGGCCTGGGTCTTACCGTCAAGTGGGGGTTGGCGGGCTCCGCCAATGCGCGAAATCTCATGGTCAATCACAATGTCAATCTCTTCGCAAATTTCTTCTGACATTTGATTTCCATCGAGGTGGATTGATGGCAAATCATCAACTTTGAAATCTATTCCCAGTTCGTGATAAGGCCGGCTAGTGACAATAAACTTGAGTGTCGAGGGGGACGTCTTAGAGGGGCAATGGAAGCTGCTGATATTCTTAATTAAAGATCCTCTCGTCGATGTTTCGCACTCGTCAAGCGCATCCAAAACACATATAACAGGCCAAGCATCCGCATCTGAGACAGCTTCCATCAGAATAGCCCATAATGTTGTAAAAGAAAGGTTGCGGCCGTTAGCCTCGTAGTCCTTTATCGCATATTTAATGAGCCATGGGTTCTGTTTAAATAGCTGATGAAGTATGGAACGGAGAGCATTGACTCCGCTCCCTCGCTCTGCGTCGTCTTTGAAAAAATAGTAACAGACTGAAGTTGTCTTAGTGTCAGGGTTATCAGGATAGAGTAGGCCTTCATCCACTAAGGCCTTTGATAGGACAGACTTGCCGCATCCCGGGCCTGCGGTAACCCAGAGAAGGTCTGCTCTAGTATCGCGGCGCCACACGAGGAACTTTGGGTGCTTTAGGAACCATTCGCATGTTCCCTGTACCCGTTCTGGGTTAATATCTTTTTGATCCTGGTAGAGGAAAGAAAGTGCCCGCAAGCACTTTATCTCTTCACGTGTTAATGATCGATCGGCGCGGATCTTATCCACTACATCCTTGATTCTACCGGACACAAGTTTAAAGTTCGGGTCCTCGGGTCCGCGATATTTATTCATCATTGAGTGACGGACATCAAGCGGGATGTGCTCGTGGCAATCCAAACACGCGGAGACTCTATCTACTAGCTTCATAACATTTAGTACCAGTAATGTTTGTAGCGGGCTTTAAGACTTACAAGTATTTCCTCGGGTTTGATTGGCAAATTCCGACTAATCGAGTTGCACACCTGGGTTTTTCGAGTTTCATAAAAACATCGTATCTCCATTCCCGCTTGCACCCGATTTTGCACTGTCAGTTTTCCGAATTCTGCCATGAGGTTTTCTAGCCTGCTAGAGTTCGCTTCTAGGTCGTCAAGAAGCGTGCATGAGGACTCCTGGTTCGGGTCCAGAATTCCAAAAATGAAGTTTTTCCAACCCGCGAAAGTTGCTGTTCGAGTTCCTCTCAGCGGTGATCCCAGAAATATAACACCAGCGGTCTGGCCAAAGACAGCCTTCTTGTATTCATCTTCCGCCTCGCGGGATGCAGCCAAAAGCAACTGGTTTTCATGGGTCAGCATTCATTAATTCAGAGCCCAGCAAATAGAAGAACAGCCAACGTTTGGATTTTGTTACCTCAGCAACCACAATCCCTCCATAGCATGATCCAATGAAGACAATCTTTCTCGACTTAAAATCATCGCGCCTGTCCTTGATACAATTTAACAAGGTCGCGGCAAGACCATCAATCCGTACTGTCTGCGCATCATGCGAATAGTTTGAGTTATAGTCAAAGGCCCAAATTCGAGCTCCCTTGATGACTGAGGGTAGCATGTCGGCATCCTTCAGCCAATAAAATCCACGACCCTTTGGTTCTTTGTCCTGCTCATATGCGATCCATGTTTTTGGAGAGGTAGTTTCAATACCGTGGACTGCGATGATGCTAGTTACGAATTAGTCTCCTTATTTAATTCAAAACATAGCACATACTCTATAGTAGTATCGCCTTTCAATCCGTCGGTGGGAAATATTGCAGAAAGCCTTGGAAGCTGGATGATCTCGAAATTATCAGTGTGTGGGCTACCAAGGCAAGTAGCAGAGGGACAAACAGGTGACGGAGTTAATGGCAATTTCTGTTGAGAATCAGAGATCAATCGGTGGGTATTGCTCGATCCGAATAGAAAAATCGAACCAAAAACACGCCATAAGGGACGCCAACCATGATATGCCAACCATGAGGCCATCACAACAAGAACAAAATAGGTCCAGGGGTGATATGCCAACCAAGAGGCCACTACAACAATAACAAAATAGGTCCAGGGACGATATGCGAACAAAGAGGCCATTGCGAAGGACAAATTAAGTATCAGAACTCAGGAAGTAGCAAAGGGTTCCTGAAGTGCTGAAGAGGCGAGCCAAGTCGAGCAGATATGCTGACTAGCTCCACTTCGTTGTTTAAGAGGCCGCCGAAAATAGAATAACAGCCAAGAAGGTAGGCAGTTCATATAACATTAGCCTCAACAACTTGTCGTCGAAATCGAAGAGGGATTGAACGTCGTCTGACGTTGTGAACGGACGCCCTGTTATCGTTGCGTTGTTGTGCTGGTGGCGGCGCTTAATAATAATTTCCTATTGGTATCGCGGGTAGAGGTTTTCAGCTGCACTTGAGAGAACATCTGTCTCTGGCAGAGCGCCCAAAAAGGTTGACGTTAGAACTCCTTATCCCTTAAATTAATCTCAGTCAGTGAAAATATTGAAGATGCCTATAATTAATATCAAAATCGAACTTAACAAAGATCTCTCCCTTGTTACATCGGCGAACGGCGAGAACAACCTCCGAAGAGCTGGTCAAGACGACCTGAAATCCCTCCCTGGCCAAGCTCGAACTTCCCTCGATAACGATCCTCTTAAAAAATACCTCAAAGAAGCGCTCCTAGCTCCGAATCTCGACAAGATGGCTCCATATCTTTGGCTAGTCCGTATAATAATTGACTTGGTGAGTTATATACGCTAACCATTAACGAAGGCTTTCACTCCAGACCATGCCCACATCTCCCCGCTCCACTTGCAAGCCGCTCGAGGCCGCAGCGTTATCGTTGCCGAAAATGTCTACCTCCACCTTGTATGGTATTATGATCGCATATTCATCAAACCTCTCCCGGCATACCTCCTCTCATCAGCCTTCTGGGAATACATCGAGGAAACAGACATAGAGATCTGGCAAGGCGCGGCTGGCTTCATGCGAACATATGCCTACCTCATAAAATACGAAATCGACTTTCGGAAAGCCCAGAGTACGGAGCTGGGACTTATACCAACTAATGACGGCAAAAATCTCATCACATACGAGCGATTTGCAGCATTCATCGCTCCGTTCGCCGAGCTTGATGACGATAGAGTCAGGCCCCGGTACCATTATGGAGAGATGCGTTTGACCCGCTTGAACTGGTTTGCGCGCTTTATGCTTAGGAGATTGACCTATTATCACATCCATGCTCAATGGAATGAGTATCTTGGCAGGTTCCTAGCACCATTCCTAACTGCATTCGTACTCCTCTCCACAGCGCTCAGCGCCATGCAAGTAGAACTCGCCGTACAAAATGCCCCTCAAGGTTCTGGGAATTGGGTCGTGTTTTCTCAGATGTGCCGTTGGGTCTCTATCATCATTCTTGTTCTTGTCCTCGTGATTTCTACCCTCTTAATATTTCTCGTGCTATTTATGTTTATACACGATCAAATCTTTGCACAGAAGGTTTTGCGTGACAAAAGATCTAAATATAAAAAGTTGGAGACTAGTTTAAAATCTGGCGTGGTTTAATGGTAAGTTTCAAGCAGTATTACTAGATATCTTTGTATATCTAATGTGACGACTCAGCCTTGCTTCCAGATGGCCACGGTAAATCGAGACTTGAATGCGACGGTTTAGCATTCTACAACATTGCTAACTACGCCCCACTGGCTATCTTACGCACCTAGTTAGTTATATCTCATTTGTAGTGATAACGGTTTGTGCGCGCACTGAACTTGGTGTACCAAACTAACAATCGCAGTAGCTAGAAAGGCGGGTATGGAGTTGACCTTTTGACTCTCCAACCCCTCCTTACTTTCTCCTGGCACATCCTTCGACCACCTCTCAACCGCTGCTCGAAACTTCGATTGCAAGCCCAGGCCCCAGCGCTAGCGATACCACTTGCACAATGCATCTCCGCTCTCACTCAATCACGATGACTATGAGTTCCTACAAAAAGTTTGACCTGTTCAAGAAACTCCCTCCTGGACTTCGAGTGGTGACATGGTCCTTGCGGCTCCCACAAGCAAGCGTGTTTGTATGGGTCCTATGGTCATCGCGATCACGAAACGTTGTCATCCACGCGCTCTCATCAAGTTGGTTGTCGTAGCACCCGGGTGCTTCATTGTATTCTTTTGTGGGGACATTTCAATATGTACTTATGGTTAGAGGGTGAACATGGCAGCGCTAGTTCAGCTTTGGATATTACTACCAAAATTTATTAGTAGAGGCCACCTGCCCTACGCTTTCTTAGTGTGGACATACAATAAGAACCAGAGCCTAACCTGTGAATTAATGCGCCTCTAAACAGCTCGTCTTGTAAGAAGCATCATCCTTTGTAGCCCTCTTCGCTGCCCTCTACTCCTCCTCCGCAAATTTGCCCTCGCGGTTTGAACTGAGCTACTCCGGAGTTGTACTATGTACTATCTCTGCGCGGATTTCTACCCAAGGCTTGATGGATCTCGCGAGTCCCTGCCCTTGCCACCGTATCTATTACCCTCAAAACGAGCTTCTGCGGAGCCATTGTTATCTATATCTCGTGCAAATTTTGCCGATGGACTTCCGCTTTGAGCGATGGGTTTCAATTGGTGTAATGACTCGCGTTGGCAGAGTAGTAAATGAATGTACCAATTCATAGTGCATGTGTTCGGAGTTATGCTAGAGAGAAAAGTGTTTTTGTAGCTTGAGTTAACAGTCTTCGTACTGGTGTGCATCTAATTCAATCCCAAGCCAGGGTTCGTTAGTAGATATACTGTGCACTTTGCGTCTTCTAATTTCTGCAATAATGCATGAGATGGCAGGCGTCCCAGTCTATTCGTGGGTTGGGGGAAGAGTCAGCGGTGGGCTCGCTGTAAATAGTTCAATGGATACCCGTAGATATAGCTGAGGCGGGCATCGCCTGTTCATAAAAGGAGCATCGTAGCCGAGAATTCTACAAGTACCAGGTACCCTGCCCCTCTCCTCCCACCCAATTTCTCTCCTCCCACTTACTCTGTCTCTCTGTCTGCCAGACCAAGGGATAGATATATACGAAATTATGCACTAAATCATACATAATATGTATAATTATACCCATGGGGCCTCATGAATGGGGCAGATTATTTTTACAACCTATTCCCATACCCCATAGGGCAGAAAACTTGACGCCCTACGAGTACCCATGGGGGCGCCATGCTGCACCCTAATCACCAGCAAAGCTCGTTCGATCTGGCATAGTAGCCCTCAGCACGACTGATTCCAAAATTCGAATTTTGACGACTAGGATGTAAGGGAAAAAGCCTGCCGGTGACCCTAGAGGGGTTTATGCGCGAATACAATAATCCGGGTCCAATGCTGCGGGGACCAGAATGTGTGTCTAACTTGGAGGTCCGGGCAGGGGCCGCACCAGGCGAGCTCTTACGCGCCAATGGGGCCGCACCTTCCCATCAAAACCAATGCATGGCAAACATTTTGGCAGCGGATTTTGGCCGCAGCAAATCGCTGATAATGCGGCGGAAACAAGGCAAATAAAGGCAACGACTTTTGGGTCGCAAAAGGTACGAGTCCCCGAATGATATTTGGCAACTCTCCTAATTGTCTTTGGCCCTTTCACTTATCTTAGAGCCTGTCTGTACTCAAACATATTCGCAACTGAACTTCATTTACCCAAGTTTTAACACCTCTTTCCTACTATCGAAACATGTACTTACACTTGTGGCAGGTACCTCAGGCGAAAGCTCTCGAATCAGACATGTCGTCGTGGCATTCTAGCGAAGAGTGCCTTGTGTCGCAGGAACCTATGGCTGCGTTTCGAGTCAGTGAGCCCTCGGAGCTTCCAGGTCTGGCAGATGAATCACCTGGCATAGGATCCTCAATAATGTCGGGTACACGAAAGATTCCCGAAGCTGAGTGGGAGGTGTACAAAGAGGAGATCAAAGTCTTGTACTTGATCATGGACAAAAGCAGAGAAGATGTTAGGGCCGCTATGCAAAAGAACCATGGGTTTCAGGCTAGGTTTGTTGACCATCGCCCTTTCATAATTTGTTTGACGAGCTGCGCTGATCGGTGCAATAGTAAAGCCCAATACATACGGAAATTCGAGCTATGGGGCTTCAAGAAATACTCGACAGATGAAAGTTGGAAATACATTGCCCGCAAAATACAGAAGAGGAACCTAGAAGGCAAAGAGAGCGACACGTATGTTAATGGCAAGTTGGTACCACGGAAGAAGGTCAAGAAGGAAGTATCAAGGCACTCTCTTCTATCTTGCCAGTTCATGTCAATTCCTGGTATGCATCCGGAAAATGCTTTACAAGTCCTAGACTTCCCCAAGATCTGACTTGTCAAAGGACGCAGCCCAACCCCTCCAGGTAGGGTCGAGATTCGCACACCACCACGGGACCATAATTTCTTTGTGCAGTATCTGCATATTCCATGGTTTGAATTCGAGACGCTTGTAGAGCCGCAAAGTATGCATTCATCATTTGATGCTCGTTAGAACATCTCTCACAGTCAATAGTTAGACGCCTCCGTGCGTTAACTAGCGGGCACCATATAGAACCCTCCATAATCTACGAACAATCCGCCCAAAGGTCTCATAACCTACTAACGTGGGTCCCATCTCCCCGAATGAGTACTGTCACAGGCCAGAGGCAGGACCAAACAACGGCGCCCTGGGGTCAAATGGGTAGTGCCGTCCAAGGACTCGAAAACTACCAACAAGCACAAAATTCTTTTCCATCGATTCAATTTCGAGAAAAGGCTCCAGGCCCTAGTTCAACCCCATTACACGACTGGGAAGCTCGGCGTCTCCTTGCCTGGATCCTAGAAGGGAATATCAATCCTAACAGCCATGAGTACCTTTCAAAAATCACGTCTCGCCTAGACAATCTTATTATCGAGCGACAAGACGGTGACATCACAAAAAATCTCCAGAGCTTTTTCGGCTCTTCGGCCTTCGAAATTACACACTTCAGCTTCTGCGCTATTCCGTTTACCTCTCGTCGAATAACTTGCTCTCCGAAACCGACACTGATGAGCTATTGCAATTAATAGTTAAAAGTGGACACTTCGCGGCTATTGAGAATCTAATCAAGCTGAAGACAGCAACAACTGAGATTTTCGCATCGAACATCCTCGTAAGTGCAATTGGAATAGGGGATATACCAATCGTAAAAGCTCTCATCGCCCTCGAGATTGATATCAATGTCCCTGGAGGCTCTCTTGAGAAGAAAACGGCACTTTCGGTGGCTGTAAGAGAGTCGATGAAGAAAAATATTTCGGGAGAAGAGGAAGAATTCCCTCTTGTTATGCTTTTGTTGAATGCTGGGGCTGACATTAACGCGAAATCTGGCCGTGACAACACCTCTCCACTTCAAGAAGTGATATCAAAAAATCACGTTCAATTAGTACAGATACTTCTCAATGCTGGGGCTGTTTTGGATGTTGCAGCGAATGAACCGAATTTACTCCATACTGCTCTCTTGGAGGCGGCAAGAGATGGTGATTCCAAGCTGGTAAAAAAGCTTTTGGATGCGCTGACGCGACCATCAATGATTACGTTGCTCCAAGATGAGGCAGAGGCAGCAAGCTTGGGTGACACGGATACTATTGAAGCTCTTCTTGATTTTGGAGCAGATGTCGATGCACCGGCAGGTGTTATATATGAAGCCGCTCGTAAAGCAGCAGTCGAGTCCGATAATTGGCAGCATCTGCAATCTGCAGTTCAGATTGCTGCATCTCACGGCCACACCGAGATGGTACAGATGCTTCTAGAAGCTGGTGCGAATGTAGATGGGTACTTATTTACGCAGGAAGAATTTTCGACTTACGAATCGGTCTTCCGTCGAGACGTTGAAGAACGTTATCGCAATCGAGAGGAATTTGATTGGGAGGATTGGGACGATAGCGGAGATGACTCTAGCGAATGTTGTGATGACGATGATATCTATCTCTCTCATTTTTACCGGACACCACTTCAGTCCGCAGTGGAACTGGGAGATGAGGTGCTTGTACGGTTTCTCCTGCTAGCTGGTGCGGATATTGAAGGGCAAGGTCGCGGATTAACGCCTTTGCAACTCGCTGCATTGGGAAATAAAGTCAAGCTTGTGAGGCTCATGCTTAAGAAGGGTGCTGCTGTTAACGCTCCTGCACGTGGAATCGGAGGAAGAACTGCGCTTCAAGCGGCTGTAGAAAGTGGTAGCACTGGTCTTGTCGAAATGTTGATAAACGCTGGTTCCGACCTCAATGCCACTGCCAGTCCAAACTCTGGCTGCACTGCACTGCAAGCCGCAGTCAAAATCAACCATGTCGAGTTAGTGAGCAAATTGATTTCTCTCGGGGCAGATGTCAATGCTGCAGCTAGTCCCACCAACGGGCGGACCTGTCTTCAAGAAGCGGCACGGAAGGGCCACCTTGAGTTCGTCCAAATCCTTTTGAACTCTGGCGCTAAAGTGAATGCTGCCGGAGCAGCCAAATATAGATTCACAGCACTTCAAGTGGCGGCGAGGGCAGCCCATCTTTCGGTGGTCAAGGTGCTACTTGCTGCTGGAGCTGACGTCCATGCACCCGTTACAGAGAGGGGCTATTCTACGATTTCTGCAGCTGTCCTGAGAAACAGTCTTGAAATAATTCAACTGTTTTTGAACGTAGCAGGCCTTTATGGTGATCCAGATCCGGTGCCTCTGATTTTCAGAACTTCAAGAAAGGGAGCAACTGAGATAGTTTAATGTCTTATTAGGGCAGGGGCAAATATCAATGCACTTTGCACCGATAAGCCGCCATCAGGATACGGTTATCCATGCACAGCACTTGAAGCAGCTTTGTGCAACGGCCATTATCATGTCTTCGAAATTTTATGGGATGCTGGAACGGACTTTAATAGCCCAGTCCCAGGTTTGAGGGCGGCTCTAGGAGCAGCAAGCACCGCTTGGAGATACGGTTTCGACCCCACGGAGAGGGACATCGCTAAAAAATTGCTCAACGCTGGTGCTGATGTCAACAGGGCCTTTTCAAATCATGGGATGCCACTTCACAACGCAGTATATAGTCATAGATTCGAACGACACCTAGTTCAGATGTTGCTAAACGTAGGGGCAGATGTGAACGGTAGAACACAGGATGGAGAAACGGCGCTTCGAATCGCCGTTAATATGGGCAATGTTGATCTAATTGAAGTCCTCCTGAATGCAGGGGCAGACATAGAGGCATATGCTCCAACAGATACAGGCCGAACGGCTCTTCAAGCTGCTGCACAACGTGGTAATACCATTGTCATCCGTTTTTTATTGGAGCGAGGGGCAAATTGCAACGCATCCGCTGCAAATTCAAGAGGGGCAACTGCACTACAAGCGGCTGCGATTGGGGGAAACGTTCAAATTACTTTGATGTTGCTGAAGGCTGGGGCAGATATCAACGCTCCAGCAGCCAAAATTCATGGGAGAAGCGCACTAGAGGCAGCTGCAGAGCATGGCCGCTTGGATATATTATCACTCCTTCTCAAGAATGACACCGATTCTGATGGACTGAAATCTAGATGCAAGGACGCGGCAAAGCTAGCAGAGAGGGAGGGACATATCTTCATTTCAAGGATGCTGAGGGCTTACACGGAGGTTTGATTCCAAATTTCTATACGGATAGTTGAGAACGAGGAGGCATTGCGCACAATGTGCTTGACAACGAAGAGTCGGCTCTTTTCATAGCTGTACGTAAAGAAAGCCTGTCCACTGTTGAGTTCGTCTTGGATGCTGGGACAGATGTGGAATCGCATTGCCAGGCCCAAAGATGTCGCTATTACAATCTAAATTAACTCGAAATCAGTGAGATACTGCCAAACTTCTTCTAGAAAGAGGTGCAGATCCAAACACCGTTTCTAGCAGGGAACTGCTAGCACTATGATCCAGATAGCTTCGACTACTCAAGACACCGAGATGGTTAGATTACTACTATAATCTGAGCCGAATTTTGACCTCACCAAAGCCCATTTCCGTGCTTGGAGTCTGAGCACGTCGATGAATCAGCTAGATCATACTCAGGGGATCCTCTTCCAGCCCCCTCGCAAATGGGTTATAATTCCATATTGTCTAAATACAAATCTTGTTAAGGCTACTCCCTACAAAATCATGAGTAATCGGCCTCCACCAAGCACGAAATGTGATGCAACTTCGCCTCATCATTCTCAATCTCCACCCGTGTTCTCAACCACTGCCATCTCGTGCATGAACCCTTCATCCGAAAATAGCAGGACCACAGCTCCAATCAACAACTCCAGTGCGAAGTATCCGGTACTCGAGGAGTCAACAATTCAAACCCAAGCGTTATATAAGCAAGTTGTGGTCAATGGACAAGGAACATCCATAACCAGTTCGGGTGATTTCACAGTAGCAAATAAATAGGTCATGGTTGGAAAATGTGGTCCGTTCAGCACAATCTCCTTCACAAAATCTAGGCTTTCAAATTGACCTTTCTAGTTACAAGAGTCAAGGGTATTAGACCATCTGTTGACGTGTTCGTTCAACAGCAACGACAGAGCGAGTTCACATGAATAGCCAGGCTAATAATCAGGTAGATCAAGCAACGTTGCGATGCACTATCCTTAGTAGCCAAACTTCCAGCATGACACCAATACGATCTCCATCCTCAAATCCTCTCGTCAAGACGTAGGTAACATTAACAGGCATCTTGCATCCATTCTGGGACCGTGATTGGTAATTGTAGCATACAACAATATCTGGCAGTACACCAGGAGCCGACTTTACGCCCATAGGACTGTGAAGCAATTCATCTTCTAGGGAAAATAATTGGACCTCAAGGTTCACGTTGGAGTTGGAGGCGTCCAGATATTTCTATGCAAGTATTTGCTTGTCCAAGCATGGTCGACCGAGACGCGTTAAAAAATCAGGCGTAGACTTTAGCGACGATATGAAAGATAGGGCTCTGAAACTAGACGCATAAAATGACGATCGAGGATTGGTCGGCGTTGATTATTTGAGGCGATCCGGAGAGTTGCAAGTAGTACAGAGTGTGTATGTGATCATGAAGGAGAAAAGTGGAGCTTACTCTGGAGATGCAAGAGATTTGAGTTGCGCATCAAAACCATCGAATTAATACACTTGGATACGAAATTTGTTGCTACCTCGTATTTCGCGTGGGATCAGTCATGAGTATTGAAATTCAAGCTTCGCCTGATCACAAGCGGGCGAGAGTTCAGTTTAATTAGGTAGATACCCAGGTAAGTTTGCAACGGTTACTAGAAACAATGCCTGGTTCAACCGATGGAGCTGAAGCGATGAACTAGAGTTGGAGGGCAAACAATACCTTTCCGGTGGAGAAAAGTTTGCCAGTTTGGCACCCCAAAAAAAACTGATGCTTATCCACAACTACTCAGCCCTTCTCACTTCGATAACTTTCAAGGCCACAGGATTGGTCATACAAGCATTCCAGGTCTAACTACCTACCTAGGTACTTTTTATTAGGTTTTGTTACACTAAAGGATAAAATAGAGTATTTCGGAGTTGCGATTTTGGTGATAGCGCACGGGCAACTTTATTTTTCTGCCAGAATGAATGCCTGACAGCTGGCACTAAAGTCCGTTTCTTTACGCGACAATCGTGGCAAAAAGATAACGAACTATAAGGAGAAAAAAAGAAAAAATTACAGTCGCGTGATCATTTTGATGTGATCATTATGAGGATCGAACTCATGACCTTGGCGTTTCATATAGAAGTATATTAGCACCACTGGAACACATTAGTATTGGATTTATGGCGAGCTTATGCGGACAAACTAACCGCTCTAACCAGCTGAGCTAAACGACCTTAGACTTTTTGACAATATTTGTTGATTTATGCATATAAAGTACAAATTTTTAACCGAATCTTAGCGCATCAGCCGGAACAATTCCCGCTTCTTCGCAGCGAACAAAAATCGAATGTCCGATGATACCTACATCAACCTTTAGTCGAAAGCCAGCTTATGCGGTGCGCAAACAGTGAAAGAGACGTCCCCATCAACTACACATTTGGCCTATGGGCTGGATGGGGGGCTATATTGCAGATATATTTTCGCTATTGGTTTGAGTTCTAGATGATGGATTGGGAGGATGTGATGCGAGCATTGGATGGACAAGGATATAAAATTCGTGAACAGCACCTCACACGACTGGAACCTGAGTACCACTGGCCTCTTTGACCGTCGCGTTAATCCCCTGTGGGTTCTGGGCCTTCAGCTCTAAGAGGTTACCCCCATTCAGCAGCTAACACTCGGGGGGAAATATTCGACAAAGTGCACTCTCTGAGCCATGGGATTCTGACAGAAACACTATCAAAAACTACTAGAGCTCCTGGAAGAAAGACTGGCAAGCACCTGCAAAGAATATAGCAAAGATCACATGAGAATATCTTTGTTAATAACACCAATCATCACTCCTGCTCAATGTATCCTGGGTCTACTTCAGAATGTCCAGGATAAAATCAACGGAACTCATCAAGATGACGGCTTATCGAAATCAACGGAACTGCTTTTCTTGGCCGAGCTTCCAAATTTCAGTGCACTTGCAGAGCTCCTGGGACAGGATGATGATGTTACGCCACTTCTGGGCAGGTTCATGCAGGTTGACATGGGCAATCTACAACCATGGTAGCAGCCCTGGATGTAACCATGCAAGCTGCCTTCACAGTCTTCACTGACTGGTTCAGATATACAGATGGCTATGGACGCAGATATACAAGACCAAACGCTCTTGGCGAGGAACATGGAGCTGTCGACCCTGTGCAAGTAGGGAATGACTGCGATGGCGATTCGTATGGAGAGGGAATTACAGATTTCGAAAACGCGCCAAATTCAGCCTGTCAGGACAACACCTGCCCCTCTACTAGATTTTACCTACTATTCCCGGCCCAAGTACGCCGCAAAATCCCCTGGGTGAAAGTTTTCACCGGCTAGCGAGCGCCCATAACTGGTGCATTAGTTGGATTCTCACCCGCCAGATTCGACAGATTCAACGTATCGTTATAGAACCCAACTTCTTGATCCCCCCATTTGGCACATTCCGGTCCCGGCTCCGATCAAGATTAACCAGCTAGCAACAAGGCGGAAAGGGGACTGTTCACGAACAAGCGCAGACAGTCGATAACCACCTTTGGGGCGGCTTCTTTAGTGCTGTGTAAAGACACTACACAACTACTTTCCATAAGCCTGTAAAGTATTTATAGAATATTGTTCACTCCTAGGCGGCAGAGGAAAACTCTAGTACACAATTTGTCCGACAATTGCCACATGTTCTTCCTAACCGACCGGAGCAGGAAGAATTCTACCTTAATACATGTGGTCAGCTAAGTTCAGAGATTATGAGGGTATATTAATTAGATACAGTTCTAACCCGGAGATTTAGGCCGTAGACCTTTACACTTGTTAGATTGTCATTTTTGCCCTATTATTATTAGCTTACATTTGCGATTTAGTACGTAGATAAGTACGAGTAACTAGGCTTTAAAGCTCCTGAATTTCGTTTCTCCTTTTACACACACACAACGAAACTAATAGTTAATTCGGGGAAGCCCAGGCACGGTGGGTGTGGTGTTGGCTCCTGAGACTGACAACACAGCGCTGTTCCGACGAACTGTTATTCTACTTAACAGTTCCCTATACCTTGGGCTCCTAACCAGCGATCCTATGGCTTGTTTTATAAACTGTATTTATACATGTTTCCTCCTGGTATTCTTAATGGTCCTTTCTTCTCCCTGACGATACGAGTATATTTAATTCTCTTAGAGAGTATATAGAAAAATCCAGATTTGTGTATTAGATTTGTTAGCGGCTTTACTCATTAGAGATATTTTAAAGCGGTAGGCACGATGCACGTAATATAAAGACCTCTGAGCTCTAAAGGCCCAACTACCGGTTAGGTGTAGTCGGTGGAAGTAGGAGGAGTGGGGCGGCCTAGGGCTAACGGGAACTCTTTTTTAAATGCAAATAAGTATGTTTCGCCAACTCAAGTTAATGGTCGCTTAGCTCAGCTGGTTAGAGCGGTTAGTTCCCGCACAGTTTCCCTGTAAAAATCCAATCTAACATCTTCCAGTGGTGCTAATATAATTTATGTAACGCCAAGGTCGCGAGTTCGATCCTCGTAGTGATCATAAAAAGTTTCTTTAATTTTTTTTTCTCTTTTGGATTGTGACGATTTTGCATTTTCCTTACTAGAAGAAACCTTTCCATAATATACTCTGTGAATTTAGTTCTTGGCAAATTAAATTATTTTTCTTTTTGAGAATTAAAACCCCCAACGCTCCCATTGTATACGATAAAGTATTATACCTTTGCTTATTATAACGTGACCTACATCCATTATTCCTATTTCTAACTAATGCAGACCGAATTGCAGTATTACAATTCGTATTGCTCTAGCTTGAAGTAAACAAATTCAGTACGAGTACAATACAACACGGCGCACGGCGACTGTTAACCTCAAATTGATATTCCAAGTTAGGAAATTTTTCATGTTACGGGCTCAGAAGTTTCTCTCTTTAGATGATTATCTTTCTAAAATCGACAACCTTTGCGGGTTGCCTATTTTGCCTCCGACTGTGACAATTTCAGCCAGGTCAAGAGCAACTTAATAGTATAATATACTTCAAGAATTATATAGTAATAGTCTATAGAGTCGACCTCCGACTTAGAGTTTTTCTTTATTAATTTCTTTTATCTTATAACTTCCCTTCTTTAAGTATATCTTATCGGGAGTTATTAAGATTTCAATCTTACTAAAGTTATATTTGTACTAGTAGCGTTTAGTTTAGCTGGGAATTGGAGTTATATAAGTATATGATAATATAATATTTGATACGGAATAAATCACTACTGAAAAGAATTCCCATCTACTATATATAAATTTCTACCTGTCGCTCTTGAGTAGAATCTATAAGTAAAGCGCAGCCCAACGAGACCAGCTCGGGTACAAGATCTGTCGAATGACTCTGTGGCATAAGCGTCTCTAGAATTACGCAGAGAGGATCAGGGCGATACTTGGATGGACGGGTTGTCTCCATGAGGGTTAATTTGACTCGCCTATGTCATTCAGAGGCAAAGAGTCGAAATACACCTTGCTATTGGATTTTAGACAAGGTAGTTGAAAAGCGGTCTGCCAGAATTTCTGCATCCTGTATTTGATAACTATGACTTGGATGTATCGACGACTCAGAATTTGGAATGAATAAAAATTGGCTAGGCACTGGCTTCAGGACCGGACAATATAAGAGTTATAATTATGCCTGCCTTCTTTCATCTTCACTCGAGACTAAAAGCATGTTCTTCTACCGGCACTTAGTGGCTGAGACAATTACATGTCTTCTAGATACCGTCTTCGGTTGACCAACGATGTACTTGCGAGCGGGTAAGGCTGTGACAAACATATGTAAGGTGCTTCTGTATGGGTAAAACACGCCACTGTGAGGATGCTGCAAATCAATACACCTTGATTGGTCATTTCCTAAAATTCCGACTGCTAGCCCTATTTTCTACGACTCCATTTCCCACCTTCCGTCCCAAGAACGAGATCCCCATGCCCTATCAAGCGACACCTACCCAGCGGGGCCCAGACAACACCACACAACCTTTATATACAGGGACACTCTCCGCGGCTTAGAGAAGACGCTTGCACCCATGGTAGCCCAGGGACACGAAAGTGACAACCCTGTTCAATCGTAGTCTGAATCGTTCTTCCAATAAGGATCACGTCTCCTACGGTAATATTCCTCCTCCCACCGCTCGTCCTCCTTCTCTTGCTCTCTCTGACATTCGAATTGGAGCTGTTCCTCATTATACGCGTCGCAATCCTCTTTATTATCGAATTCGACCCGGTCATCAATACTGATCCAAATCGGCTTCGGGAGTTTTGTGACCTCGATAGCCCATCCACGGTCGCGTATCTTCTTCATCCGATCATCGCTTAGATCCTCTTCGCTGTATACCTGGAAGTCGACAATGATCTCTTTCAGTGATGGGATACCCTTCAAGCGCGTGTCGAGCAAATCTAGCGTCTCTATTGCCATGGACGAATCGTCGAACACGAAGTCCTCACGGTTTGGGGGTATCGATAGTTCAAGAGTAGTGATGCTTGTACACTTATCTCGGATGAGTTCCAGATTTTTGATATTCGATTCGCGAAACCTAGCTCCATCATACTGGGGATCGTAAAAGCTAGGATAAGTAGGGAAGGTAATACAGATATAGCGAATAAGGCTTGCTTGGGATCCGATTTGGGAAAGGAACGGGGTGATGTGAGCACTGTCGGTTGCAGACGATATCGAAGTAAAAACGTCAGGAAATCGAAAGCGGTTATTGGAATAGAGGAGTGGGCTTGCTTCGCTGTGCGCCTGCTTGTTGAGCTGGAGGAGTGCCGGACAGAGACCATCTCTTTTGGATCGAAATAGAGGCGGCGACGGAGGGCCATGGTCTGCTAAGAAAACGATGGGTTCTAGGTGAACGAGGAGTTCTGAATAGATCTGGAGCCGGATCTCCTTAGGGAGGCCGAAAAGATTCATTGTCATAGTAGATCGTTGGTCTTGCTTCACGTCTGACTGCCGTTGCTCCGCTCCCCAGTTTGATGCTGGTGTTCATAAGTTATGATGATGATGCTTATTTAGCAGACAACCAACCAAATCTTGACACGGCGAAAGCGACGTGGTTCGAACCAATTTAGAAGAAATACCACCGCCATCAGCAGCCCCACGTTGTTGTGGCGCACTGAAACTCTTCATTAAGCCCATAGAGGCAAGTGTGTGGCTGCGCATCAACCAATTTCACCTCATCAGTTGTCTGATCCTAAAATAAGGCGGCAACAAATACTTGAAGACGAAGCCAAATGCTTAGTGAATGGATGTCTGGAATGTGACGAATAGCGAGGCTCTTTGATTCAGCCCTGCGCTCACGGCGACGACGACAGCTGCACGTGCTAATGAGAGGAAGCGAGTGGACAGAGGGAACGCCCTAGAATTGCAAGGCTCACATTGCTCAATAATTATCGTTCCCCGCTCTCTGAAGGTAGATACTGAATAGTCAAAATATATCTCTTTAGCTTAAAGTCAATATGCCAACTTCTCAGCCAAAGTTACAGAACCCCAGCCAAATAGCAAGAAGAAAAAGACGTTGATTGAGAATATCATAAACTTGCAAAACTTCGTGGTATAAATGTGGCGTTTACTATTCGTCAAAATGGACAGTATATTACTTATCAATCCGTCGACCGAGCAGATTTTCCACCATCAAAGAAGCAACTAGTAAGTACGCCCCAGGATTCGATAAATAAACCAAGTTAATCTGTCTTAGATATGTTTATATCCTGTTCCCAATACACTGCTTCCCCATGACATCGAAGCTTAGATCCAACAACGTTCTACAAAGAAGCCTTAGCTAGATTCGTCAAAGGTAGAGAATCAAAAGCAGAATTTGAAGCGGAATAAAGGTATTGCACGAGTATAGAACAATTCCACAGAAGAAAATACTTCATATTTTGCCTACAATTGAGTAGTGCGTAGCTAGCTTGCAGCAATACCCCGCTTTAGGAATAATGAGAAAGATCATGCCTTCGATATCTGACTTCACATTTTCCTCCAAAACACGCGCCATTCCGTCAGATCCTTGAGGATGTCACTTCTCGGCCGATCTTAGTCACCGATATAATGAGTTTCAAGGCTACTCCAAGGCACCAGTTGTCTCACAATGATAATTATCTGTTGACACAAACTATTCACAGTTCGAAGGTTCGCCCTCTACTGACTTCCAGCGAGTTTTTGAGGAAAGAAGCCGACATAATAGTCCCGCTTACCCAGCGGCAACCCCTCCTTTCGTAGAATTCCATACGCGGTAGCAAGGTGAAAGTAGATATTCGGCAAGGCAATGCTATGGGCATACGTAGCGCCGCTCATATCAACCGAGTTCTCTAGGCCCATCTTAGTCATCCCAGATATGTCGCCGTGTTGGTTGACGACGATCTTGTCGGCCTCACTGAGCACTTTCAGCACCGTCTCAATACGCTCGAAACATTTGGCAAATGTTGTGGGACTGCCTTCAAAAGTCACCGGCTCCCGACCCGTGAGTCTTGCGACCAGATTCTCTGAGAACTGGGTTGCGAGGCGGAGTTGATCGGTCAATGGGTACATGTCCTCGTATAAACGGGCCTCAAGCAGAGTGCTAGCATCGGGGCGTTGCTCGGCTTGGTGGAGGATGTGGGATAGGGAGCTGAGGATGCCTTGGACTACCACGATGGTTCCGTCGTAAAGAGTGTAACCCATGGCTGAAGAAGGATATACGAGAAGTAGTTGAATCTGCCACTACCAAGATAGGATTATTATTCGAGAGAATCGCTATGTTGGGTTCGCAAGAGGTTGACGGAGTACTCGCAGTACTTTTTGTTTTGCAACAAGCGCACGGACCCTCCAATACGAATTGATGACATAAGCATCGCTAAGCTTTTAGTGTATTACAACACGGTTGACGACGTTCGATATATCTCCAATCCAGAAAATGCAAAAACACTTAATTCTACTAAATTCTTTGATTCTTCTACTAAGTATAGGCGCAGTTGTGGTCCCCCAAATGCCTCCCCAAACCGGTCCACTCTCGTCACCTCAGCTGGTTAATCTAGGGGGAGAGGCGGAGATGGCAGCCCAAGTAGCACGCCCTGTGGTGACCGACTGCCCAAGGTTATCAACATGACTATGACTAAGCTGACTACATATCAGGTCGTTTGTATTCTTCTCTTTCTGTATCTATACCTCATTGCTCACTGTTATGCATTTGTAGACTGACTAGATGCCCACAACTTGTCGACCTCATTCTGCGCGTCGAACCCCCAGAGCCACGATTGTATCGCAGGATCAGCCCAGACGAACGGATTGCCTCGAAGTTCGCTGCCTCGCAGTTGAGCATCTCTCTCAACTTGCTCAGGACCGTCGGGCATTTCTAGAATTCGTAGCGAATAATGACTCAGCTCCCGAATTCTCGAGGCCCGTTGCCATCGGACTTCGCTGTAAGCCTGAAGAAGCTCGGGTAGGTTATCACGGCTACCAGCCCTGGAGAGTAGCTCAGAGAGTATAAAGGCAGACTCAAAGCCCACAGCGGCACCTTGGGCACTAACAGATTGCGGAATTAGTTCTACTTCGTCAAAAACTTCGGGGTTAACGGACTTTGCTGGAAGAACAGTACATGCCGCATCTCCGACAAGAGCAAAGCTGCCTTCTGCACTTGTCCATGGATTGATCAAAAAGCTGTCAAGCAAAGGCCACTGCAAAGCACTTTTGGCAAGCTCAATGATTCTCTGCACTCTCGGTTCCCAAGCTTGGAAGTCCATACGCACTTTGTCCAAGTCTGCTTCTTGCACATCAAGATTAGTGCCGTCATGCCCGAGCTGGATAATCACGACGTTGAAAACTCCTTGTAGTCCATAGCAGACTATATGCGACAATGGACCAAGCCAAATGTGGATTCCGTGTGGCTCAACAAGCTCCCGGAGAAGTGGATCCTGGCGTAACTGGCTCATATCCAGACAAATCCTCTTGACCAACTTACCAGTTGATTTTGGTGGGACTGATCGACCTAGAAGCCTCTCTCGACAGACAGAGCGAGCACCATCCGCACCAACTATAACATCTGCAGTCAATGACTCTCCGGTTGAGAGACTGATGCTCGGTTTCTGGAAATTAATCTCCGTGACGTCGCAGGAAAACTGTACTTCGGCGCCATCGTCTAGTGCTTTTTGGTATAGAATCTTGCACAGATCAGCTCGATGGGTTACAAGTAAGGGATACCCATAGGTCCGTGTGCAAGTTTTCAGGTTGAGAGAGCGGAGTATGGATCCATCGGTATATGAACGCAGCGTGATAGCTGGAGGCTGCACAGAAACCGCTTTGATTAACTCAAAGACTCCAAGCTGATGGAGAGCATTGGCAGCATTTGGCGGGATTTGTATACCAGCTCCCACCTCAGTTTCTATTAGCCAGTCTTTTATGGTTAAGCAAGGTGGAATAGGCACACCTCACGAAGCTCACTAGACCTCTCCAGCACCGTGACTCGGATTCCTACTTTACGGAGTCCAATGGCTGTCGCTAAACCGCATAGCCCTGCACCAACAATCAGAGCACTCATCTGACGCTTAGACTTGCCGATGTCCGTCAGAAGATGGTTAAGCCCTTGAGAGCTTGGCCTAAGGATCGAAAGCGGGCGTATCATGTTAGCCTATGAATCAATACCGGGGTTTGCCGCTCCTTATGATGAAGTATGCATAGTTCAAGTAGGGTCGTAGGGTCACTTTATACGAGGTTATCCAAAGTCAGCTCGCACCAATGTTCGCACGCCGAGGCCAAGCAGATCCCGCGAATGGCCATGGGTCATTACCCATTTTCATAATTACGCCCGAATTCCCAGGAAGGGCTGTTGTGTACATCTTACGTACCTGTTGCGGACATGTAGATCGCGCGATCGTGGGGATGAGCGCCTCAATAGGTTGATTGCGTACGGCGCAGGTGTTGTACATGGTAAGTTAAGTGTATCGCTTTAATATGCCTGTCCATTCTCCTTGTCCTGAAAGGATTCTGGTGCAGTATTACGCATTGCATATGTGCTAATAAGGCGTTCGCTTTAGCCTGCAAAAGGGACACCATTCTCTGTACTCTCGGTGTATTACGGAAACAACATTCTCCTGCCTTTGCTGTTGCACACTGCGAATCCTTTTGGATCCTGGTTTCCAACTGTTGTTGCACCGAGTAAGTGGCTCCCCGGTACTTCGTATAGGAACCGCCGCTTATCCAGAATTAGTCGTTACCTACCGGTGCCTTGCGCCTCATCGGACGGTAGCACTCGCCTCGAAAAATCAATTTATATCTACCTTATATAAGACAGTACCTCGGGTCATATTTGGAAAGGTAAGAAGCGTCACTTTGTATTGAGACAGCAGCTCACGATGTCCTCCCTACCAGCCAGAAAGCCCATCGATAGCAAATGCTCCTCTGGGCCTACCTACTACCCCCCAAGTACAGGACTCGTCTCTTACCTTCCCTCCTCCTTTGTCCCATATGCAGAGTTGATGCGCCTCGACCGGCCAGCTGGTATCTACCTTTTCTTCGTCCCCCATCTTCTCGGAACGCTCTATGCTGCCGCGCTCTCCCCCAATGATATCCGGGTCCAGTCTCTACTCCAAACCCTCCTCATCCTCTATGCCGGAACAGTTTTCATGCGTGGAGCCGCCTGCTCCTGGAACGACAATCTCGACCAGGAATACGACCGGCAAGTGTACCGCTGCAAGACGCGGCCCATCGCGCGAGGAGCGGTGAGCACGGTTAAGGGGCACATATTCACGGCATTCTTAACCGCCATTGCGGCAGGATTCCTGATGCTCCTGCCGCGGACTGTCATCCCCTATGCCATCCCGAGCATATTTCTGCTCTGGTTGTATCCCTTCACCAAACGCTTTACCGACTATCCCCAAATCATCCTCGGGCTACAAATGTCCCTGGGGGTTTTTGTAGGTATTGTAGCCACAGGGGTAGATCCGATGGAGCAGCCTCTGCCTAAGCAAATCTCTATGATCGCGCTATATGGCGCGTTGGTTACGTGGACGGTCATCTACGACACTATCTATGCGTGCCAGGATAGCAAGGACGATGCCAAAGCGGGCGTCAAGTCTATGGCAGTGAGGTTCCTGCCCTGGATGCGTCCGATGCTTTGGGGGTGTGCCGCCGTAATGGTATCCTTGCTTGTTACTTGCGGGATCGAGGCGGGGTTCAGTGAGGGCTATTATCTGTTCATGGGATGTGGTGGTGTCACGCTCAGCTTGACAGCTATGATTGGGACAGTGAATCTGGACGATCCAGCCAGTTGCTTGTGGTGGTTCAAGAATACTTACTGGCAGGTTGCCACGCCTCTGTCGCTGGGCTTTTTGGCGGAGTATGCGGCGTGAGCAGCAGTGCTCAGTGCATATGATGTTGTATTGATTTAGAACTCTAGAGTGGCGTCTTCTAATACTCCACTTTGTCTTGCCTCGTTAAGAATCAACGCTTCATGCTCCTTACTTCTAACCTTGACCTGTACAGGGAAAGGTTCTCCTGGTTTCTGGTGGTTCAGAGTTCGATCATCCAAAGGGCCAGCCTATAATATTATTAACAAAACTGCTAGTGAACACTCGGTCTCCAAGACTTACGGCTTCATAGTCAAAGCAGTATATCAGCCTGGCTAAAGCAATAAACAACAACTGCTGGGCGACTCTATACCCCACACAAATCCTCCTCCCGCCACCAAAACTCCAATGTCCGTGACTGACATTGCAAACATCGTCATCAAGCCATCTCTCCGGCTTGAAGTCATCAGGATGCTCGCACTCCTGACCAAGAGCGATAGCATTGATCGCAAATATTGTCCCCTTAGGAAAGAGATATCCCTCGAATTCCAGGTCCTGCGTCAGCTGGTGCGGTGGAATCAGCGGCACACTCGGTCTCCATCGCATTACCTCCTTCAGTAGAGCACAAATATAGGGCATCGACTCCATATCTTTCATCCTAGGAAGCCTCATATCCGCGCCCGTTCCGCAGACACCATCAACTGCCGCCCTCGCCCTGGTCAGTATATCCGGATACCGCAGCGCCGCCATAACAAACGTATTAAGAACTTTCCGGGGATTATCCGCACCAGCCCCAACCACCGAGGTAGATAAATACATCGCATCCTCGTCACTCCCCGTATACCCCGTCTCTTTGGCCAACAGAACATCCCTCGTCCAGCTCGGCGGCGCTGTCCCCCCGTCCACGGCTTCCTTAACCTGCCTCCACCAGGCCTGATAGATCTGCCGATGCCTCTCGCCCATATCCTTCCACCGCCCACGCCACATGAACTGGGGAAACACTGTCGCCACCCATGGGAAGAAATCCACGGCACTCGCATTGATACTCGCCACAAATTCCGCCGCCGCAAACACAAATGCCTCCACCTCGCGCGTGCGGCGCCGCACACGCTGCCCAAACACGATCCGATACACCACACTCAGCGTGTACCGCGTGTGGTGAGCAAACCAGCGTTCCGGACGCTGTAAATATGCCGCCAGCAGCGCGGTGCTCTCAAGCTCGGCCCAGGCGCCGTACTGCGCGAGGTCGGCACTGGAGAGGAGGAGCCTCTGCATCACGCGGCGTCCTTCTCTCCATGCGGCGGTCTGGCGGAGGACGGTGCGCTTGTGCTGGCTTACGAGCCCGCTGGCGACGGGGTAGTAGGGCCGCTCGCTGGTGATGATCCCGCGCTTATCAATGAGTGCGGCAACTACACGCGTGCTGTTGAGGGATATCCAGGTTGCAGACCCGAGGCGGATGGTGGTGAGCTCCCCGTACGTGCGGAGACTGAGGAGCCATGCTGTGAGGCCAGCGCTGCTTGCGGTGGCGCGGCGGAAGGCTGGAAGGGCGCCGACGAGTGGCCAGCCGCGGGGGCCTGGGGGGAGTCTGCGAGTGCGACCTTGGAGGCCGAGGGCGAGGGTGAGGAGGTAGATGAAGGTGAGGGAGGTGGCAATTAGGAGGAGAGGAGCCATGGTGCAAAGCAGAGCTGCAGGTGTACACGACAAAGGCAATCTTAGGATTAGGATGGCCTGGGCTATGATTCAGGATACGATGCCACTATTCTAATATAGCAGTACGAGAGATCCAGTGTACCATTGAGCAAGACGAAAGTCGTCTGGATATCGATCGATAGGTGTGGTGCTACAGCGATGATCGTTCTTCTTGGCTTCCCAAGTGCCGCTGTCACTCGGCATATGTTGGCTCCATAACCATGTCCGGGTCTTCTGTAACAGCTGAATGCTTGCGCTGTGCCGTCGGAGTTGGAATTGCCTCAATTTCCATTTGCCATTCCAGCTCGTTGCAGCCGTGTGGGGGCTGTTGATGCCTTCCTCATCCATGACGTGCATATCAGCTTACCGCAGCCGGGTGAACTGTGTATATCAGCTCGCTGTGGACGAGTGGCATTGCTGATGCCTTCTTAAAAGGGATACGATAGCCATTGACAAGAAATGATATGCCTATGGTAACCGCATTCACCACAATATTAGCTCTAGAAGGGCTTGGTTAATCAAGACTGTACTCTATCTACGGTTGTACATGTACTGTACATGAGCAGGATGCGAGTTGACCATGCACATAGAAGATGACTTCCTACAGGGCTCTCGCAGGATTTGAATATAACCTGCATTCGCGCGCTGCCATTACCTTCGAGATTTCGGCGAGATTAGGACAGAGCGCAGGTCTAGCCAGCGGTAGTATAACACCTCTCAATGGCAAGACTTCGCTCGCCACTAGTGACCACTTTGTAGGCGGCGCACCTGAATCTAACATGTGAACCAAATTCTATATTAAATGCTTACTCGTATTAGTTCTTACGATAGTGCCTCGGTTCTTATATTTGTTACATAAGCTCTTCTAAATTAGACAAGCTACAAGTGCTAGCACGAAAATAATCAATACCAAATGGCCCGGCAGATTATAGAGAGTCAGAGACTAACGAGGGCGCAAAATTAAGTAGTGCCGACGTGATCTGACCTACAAACCCAGAATCAACAGCGACGATGAGATTTCAGGCCATCAGTTCGCAAATCTTGTCGTTTAGATCCAAGGAATTTGATCATACCGTTCGCTACTCCTTGACGCACTCGATGATGCTATCCCTTAGGCTTGCCGTGTAGGTGTAGATCTGATTGATCTTGAGCCCTGCCTTCTCGATCAGTTCATACCATGCTTCCCTCGTCCTCTCCACGGATGCTAAACCGGCCATCAAGGCAATGTCTAGCTGTGTCGCATGCCAGTGGGCACCGACGTCGGGGATGACCATATCATCAATCAAAATGACTGAGTCTTCTGCAAGTGCCGCGGCTAGATTCTTCAAGATGACAATAGCTTTCTCGTCGGGATAGTCGTGGATAATGTTGCGAAGGTAGTATATTTTGGCACCTTTATGCGTCAGCGAGTTGATCGCCCCTCTCATTCGTGATGGGAGGGAGCAGCATAACTTAGTCTAAGCTACTGTTCGTGCGTGGGTGGTGTGAAGATCACGTCTTACCTTTAATCGGCTGCTCAGTAAAGAAATCGTAGGGCATCTTCTCAACTCCAGGATGTTCGATCGCAAATTCGAGAACCATCGGTTGCTCCTGAAGCAGGATCCTGTTCTTCAGATTCGGCACCTCACTACGAAGCGCAATACTTTGGTGCCCAAGCCCACCTCCAACGTCGACAAAGAAGGTCCGCTCCACATCCCCCTCTATTGCCTGAGCCTTATCTTGATAGGGATATATGTCGAGCCAAATCGGCATGCCCATATGCTGAACCGTCATCCAATTATTAAAGTGTGCGAAGTTACTGGGCGCGGTCTGAATCCACAAGAAAGCAGGCAGGTTAGTATTAAACGCCTTTTGGAGCGGTGTATTAGCAACATCAGCGATCTCGTGATATTTGTTCTCCTTCAGGAAGTCTGGAAGGATCTGGAGGACCGGACCAAAAGTGTCAAATCTGCTTGAATCAGCGGTGATATGTATCGAAGCCCGGGATACATACAGATGGTGCACGCCGCCCTGAACTCCATCCATCGCAAGTGCCTGCGTGATGTTGTTCGCCTCGAAGGTATCCTTCTCTACTTCCTTTATGCAGCCTACAGATGAGAGGTAGCGTAGGATCCGTCCTATGGAAACCTGTTATTGAGGGCATCAAGTCGACAATTTTGAAGCTATACCCATGAGACCAATCGTGGCTTTGGTCTCCTCCGCAAGAGCTGTGACTGTCGTTGATCCTTGTTTCTCCACGAAGATCTTGAACAATCTGAGATCATATGCGATTCGGATCACCGTAGTCTGCACATGCTGTATCTAATTAGCCCACGCACATTCATACGGCTGTTCCATATCCAAACCAGAAACATGATTCGCTGCATTGTGTCCTGTGGAGTTTCGATTTCGTAGGAGAGGTTCCGTAGCGAATCGAGTAGCTGCTTGCGGCCATTTTCATCTGCCGACTTTGCCTCATCTCTGGCTCTGGCGATAAGCTCATTCATTCTGCAAAGCTTCTAGTGTTTCTGATCTATCTGGAATTGACTTCGCGGCCAAAATAATAGGATTCAGGGCTCGGTTCCAAAAGGCTTCCGGATGCTGGAGAATGTAATTGAATTGGGCTTCCTGAAATTGCTACCAAGCTTCGGCCGTGTAAGACGAATGCAGCACGGTTGGTTGTCCCATACAGGTGAGTTGAGTCAACGCGAGCCAGCGTGAGATGCAGAGTTGGTAAGTTGCTGTGCAGTCGTATTATGCACGCATGGATTTTTACCGTGCGGCGTAGTCTCGTAAAGAGAGCACCAATGCTCGTACTTGTATGAAATGGAAGGTAACACAGTCTCTATGTTTCATCAGGCTGTTATTGGCATGCAGCAGGTCACCAACAATCCTACAAAGAGACTACAAAGAGAGTCGCATTCGTGCATTTGCAGCGATAGGCGGAGTGTGGGGTGTGGGGTGAATAGAAAAGGGGCGGCTTCGGCTGTCTGCACCCTTGTCGCCGGGATAATCCCAGTGCCGCTTCCTATCCCTGCCAGCTGCGAAGGATCTCCCGCATTGTTACGCCAAAAGCTAAGTTGGGTATGTACGAAGTTACTCGTAAGCTCAAGGTAATCAATCTCCATATTATCACTCAACAGTTGCCGCATCTGTACCACGCCAACTCATTACTCCGTAGTGCACATGGCAACAACATCAACCCTAATACTACTCGAGCAAGACTCTGGCGTACTCGCCTGCCAATCCCAATGCAATGGCCCATCCAACATAGAAGCGATTCCCATCTTCAAACCACCAGCCACAATTCGGAGGGCTCTGCAAATCAACCAGACACACAACGACTGCAAGCATTGCGGACGTGGCAGATACAGTACCGATAAAGTATACAGGACTGCTGCCATTCAATAACCCTGCGATCGACAGCAACACAACCTGAGCAATTGCAAGCCCAGCCAGAAGCGGCCGCGTCTTGAATTGGACGTTTGATCCATCAATCTTAGCAAACAGCAAGACGATGTTCTTCACGCCTGCCCTTATATCATCCCTGGCGTCCATGTGGGAGTAGATGATCTCGAAGATGATGACCCACACAACGTGAGCTAAGTAGAAGGCTACTGTTGGCGAATCAATAGCGATGCTCTTGAATGACGACACGAACTCCGCAACGTTCTTTGAGCGAGACATGCCCGTCGCCACATCGCTCAAAGCCAGAGGATCCAAACCTAGCGAGGATACGCCGAGGAAGATGCCTATGCCCATTACTATACCAAGGATAACTTGGGGATAATGGGTTACCCCTTTAGCCAGAGGATAGAATGCCGATCCTATGGCCATCGGGATGGCATACAAAAAACATGCTGATGGAAGCAAACTCAGCAACCACAGGTAGGCGAGTCCGTGCGTGACCATGAATAAAAGTGCCTTGACAGGTGTAATAGCTCCTCGAGCTATGGGCCTATTCTTACATCTCTCTACCTGACGATCTAATGGGGCATCCAGAAGGTCATCCCAAGTGAGAATGATACCAGCCAGTGGAATGAGAGAGGCGGTGTGAATAAGGTTGACGCGTAGAAACTCAGACAAAGGTGTCTTTAAAGTAGCTGCGGCTATAAGAGTGCCATAGAAGTGAGGTAACCAAAAGTACCAGTAACCTTTTGCATGGTCGAATCGTAGGAGCTCAAAGTATGGGTGAAATGGTTCCGGCAGAAAATGCTCGACGCATTGTTGCGGTGTTGATAGACCGACGTTCGAGTCTAGTGATGCCTGCGGAGGGACGGGACGCTGTTCTTTGTCCGCCATAGCTACCCAGTGGCCTTCTGAGCTGTATGATTGGCTATTCGCTGTAAGCCCTTGATCTTCATAAGTAGAATATGTTGTATTCCAGAGAATACACAGACAGGAACGAGTGGATTATTTGGGTTTATACGAAGTATATGTGTCGGATACATTGCCCTGGGTATAGACAGCGGATGCATTGGCAGTCCAGTACGGGAACAACGAATTCCGCTGCAAGTCCAGATCTCCAGATCGTTGTGCCAGTAGGAGTGTCCGTTGAAGTGCCGGCTGCTCCTGCAGACTGTGCCACAAACCCTCCAACAGATCCCGCAGACGCTCGAGCAAGAATGTGGCGTATAACGACGGCTAAATAGCCTAGAAACACTACTCTCACGGGCTTACCCCCCTTCGTATATACTACAGGTTACACAGGAATGATTGCTTCTGACCCCCCGTGCTTGCAACGTTAGATGTGCCTTCCTATTCGGCCAGTGGCCAGTCTCTACCACCTTATTTCCTATTAGCAGCGAGATTCAGGAGGAATGGAAATGGAGAGCATAGCCTACCTATGTAGCATAGGCCTATATCGGATTTCCTTAAACATTGGTTTCTCCCTTCAAGTTAGACCGTTCCATAGCGCCATTTCGCCAGCTACCTTGGCCAACCAACAGTTATAAATGACATTAATATCCTATACTCGACAAGATGGCTTATTCCATCCATACGAAGAATCTAATCATCGTGTCTGTCGTCTTCGGCGTCATCGCCATCGGCGCAGTCGCCTTGCGACTAATCGCCAGACGGCAGAAGCGTCTCCCGCTCTATTGGGACGACTGGACCATGATCGTGGCGCTGGTCATCGCAGTCGCACAATGCGTCGTCTGTGTGTACGGAGCGACTGAGGGAGGAATTGGACATCCTTCAGAAACACTGACCCCGCCGACGTTGGTCAAGCTCTTCAAGGTAAATGCGGCTTTTGCTGGATATGCTGCGAGTATCCTGTCTAATAACTACCAACAGGTCCACTTTTCTGTGATACAGATGCATCTTAGCGCCCTAACATTTATCAAAATCTCGATTCTCTGCTTTTACCGGCGGATTTTCACTATCAAGTGGTTTACGAGGGTGGTGGACGCAACGATTGGGTTTGTTGTCGTTTGGTGGCTTACCTTTTTCATTGTAAGAAGGACGTCCTACTGGAATGAGAATATACTAACTCGTTTCAGGCCACCTTCTTTACTGCACGGCCGTTGAGCAATTTCTGGAATACCTTCCTGCAAGATCTCGCATTCGACATTGCCCCTTATGTATTGGCCATCGCTGCGACCGACGTAGCTGTTGATTTCTGGACGCTTCTCCTGCCTCTTCCCGTCATAGCAGGCCTACAGATGAAGAGCGCTCAAAAATGGCAAGTCGTCGGCATCCTATGGCTAGGAGTCTTGTAAGTGCATCCCGCCACCAACCGTGCATCGGCCGTTGCTAATTGGGCCTGGATAGCTGTGTTGTTTCTGCTTCTGTCCGATTATACTATATTCAACAAGTCCTGGCGTTCAAAGTCCTTGCTGGCGAGAAATTCACTGGTAAGTAGTATGCTGTTTAGTTCGTTTCTTGCTGCTAACTACTAGCGAAGGTGTTCTCACAAATAACTTCGTATGGGCTGTCATTGAGCCTTGCGCATCAATCCTGTGCGGCTGCTTGCCGACTTATGGATCGCTTGCTACTGCGTGTGCTGGTCATATCAAGTCTGTTTGGAGCTCGTATGGCCTCTACGGATCCCAGGCATACGGTTCTGGAAAGCACCCCAATTCTGGGCTGAGCGACAATGTCGATGATTCGGGTTCGAAGCGAACGCGAAGAGAGTGGTTAGAGTTACAGGACTCTCAGCAAAAGCTGACGGCGTAGAAGAGTATCGTGACGGACAGTATCGAGGAATTAGGCTTCTACGAGAGGTCGTGAGAATAATGCCGAGCCAGAATCATTTAGCTAGCTCCGACGTTATTAGAGAAAGCATACTCCATTTAACAAAGCATGTATAAGTACACACTAGGAAGTCGAAGCATCGTGGACATTTTGCAAAGAGCTAGGCGTAATATAACATATTCTTTAGCCTTCAATAGGCATGTAAATCAAATCCTAGAATCCAAGCTTTCCCGTTTCACAACCTCAATAACACTTAGTCTCATCGCGTGTGTATACGTTCTCAGACTCCTAACCTTAAGGCCCGCTTGTTCCACCAGCCTGGCCCAAGCATCTTGCGTCCGCTCCGCACTGCCAAACGCACACATCATGAGAAGATCCGTCTGAGTTGCATACCAGTCCACCCCTTTATTCGGCAAGACCATCTCATCAATAAGAAGCACACTATGAGGCTCCATAGCATCCGCAATATGCTTCAGAATCTTGACCGAATCCACATCGTTATAGTCATGCAAAACAGCGCGTAGATAATAAAACCTCGCTCCCTTGATAGGCTGCGGGTGCCAGAAATCATGCGGCAGAACCTCTACTCCCGCGGGAACTTTAGCCTGCGAAACGACGGCGGGCAGGTCTTCGAGAATAATCCTGCCCGCGAGATGCGGAAATCTCTCACGCACTGCCGCACATTGCTGGCCCATTCCTCCTCCGACATCGACAAATACCGGTCTGTCCGCTGGCCAGCCTTTGCTCTGCGCCTCGAGATTGAGGACGGAGAAACAGTTGTCGGTGCTCATGCGCTGGGCGCGCATGAAGTTGTCAAAGTGCGATGTGTCGGCGGCTCGGGCGTGAAGATAATCCCATAGACTTAAATCTGTATTGCGTGTGAATTGGAAGACGGTGCGAGGGTTGTCCATGGGGTTGCGATATTTAGTTTTCTTAAGATATGCCGGTAAGTTTTGGTATACGGGGCCAAATGCGTCGTTCCTATATAAACCCGTCAATGTGCTAGGACTTGATAGCTTGAAGGTTCTAGTCGTAGCTTGGTAGGACACAAAGTCTTACATTAGACGAATCCCAGACTGTATTTCAGGAATTGAGAGGTTCCTGGTTATGTTGTTTGCGGCGAACTGATCTCTCCCGGTCTCTTCGATCATTCCTAATGAAGCCTGATGCCTCATGAGACGGCCTATAAAAGTATGGTTAGTACATCAGCTCCTAGTGTGGTGAGACAACAGCCTACCTACCTAGCAGGTCGGGATTTGCCCCGTTACGCCCTGTGAGTTCCTGTATCGACATAGTCTCCTTCGTTGTCGTCAAAGCCTTGTACACATCCAAATCATAGGCCGCGCGCACAGAAGCAATGGTCAGATTCTACCTGGAGTCAGATATTGGCCTCACTTCAATATTGTCGACTTGAGCCGTATGACGTGCTCTCACAAGTCCCTTGATTCGCGATCGTACCTGATGGATGGTTCTCTGCATTGTCTCCTCGGGAGGCTCTACAGAGTACTGAAGGTCCCGCAGTGCATCTAGCAGTTGCCGTCTTCCAGCTTCATCCGCCTCATCATACGTCTCTTTGACCCGGTCTTTCAGAGACGTGATGAATGAGAGATCTACCACAGCCATAATGCAGTCGGCTAGTAGTCAAAAGATGCAACCACCGTCGTCGTTGTTGCGGTAAGCGGCTCCTGGAGCTGCACTGAACAGCTTCCAGATAATTACGGCGTTTCGAAAATAAGTATCGCAGTACTAAAAGCGGAGTGCAATACAGCGGTATTATTTACTGTACGATGGCGTAAGAAGAAATCAGGAGTCCAGGTTGCGGGATAATGGAACACAATATAAAGATTTGTTAAGTTCTTCTAAATGGTAAAAAGAGTTTAAGGTGGCAGCGTGTTAGAGTGAGTGATCTAAGGATGCATTTCTAGGGGGGGCCCCGCTTATTTAGACTCCCTGAATATGGTCGTGTTGAGTTGAAACTTTCGCACGGCAGAACCGAATAATGAGGTACTGTAGTCACTGAGCGAAAGCAGGAACTTTTCTCTACCCCCCACGAGCTGCAGACCCCTGCCTTCGTATTGCATTCGCATTAAATTAGGCAGCAGCAGCCTTACTTCCAAAATTTTAGACTTCATGAAAATTAACATATTTATTCGATAGCCTTCAACGTTAATCGCTGTTTATCGAACTGAAGATGCCCCTCTGCGCGACATGTGATGGTGTGGACGTTCGTAACCTCCTTCGTATATGCCTTTCGCAATGTCGAGACAAACAAGAAGCTCTATCCGATGGCGAGACCTATGATAACAGACTCAACTATGAGGGATCCGAAGTTAAGCACCACGACGACATTTTCGAGATTGAGAAATCAAGCCAAGACTGCGGTCTTTGTAAAGTCATATTTCAAGCCTTTAAGAGAACCAATGTTCATGATGTAGAAATTGCAAGAGGGTTGCAGATTATCTTCCGTGCATCCTACAACAAGATTGAAGTATGTTATAATACGGATGCCAAGGAAGGATTGATTAAACTATGCGGCCTTGATGTGTACATGGATGGGCCTGATGGCGAGTCTTACCCCTAATAATTGTGTATTGGAACTTATTTTTCTCTGTAGTCGAAGAACTTTTCCGACTACATCAAATAAAAGAGGACAATTCGCCGCCTATTCTAAAGATAATGGAGAAGGACCCTGCCTCTAAAAGATCAATTGAAATTGCTTCCCGCTGGTTGAAGAACTGTGTAGAGAGCCATTCCTCTTGCAGGCCTCCTACTGAGTTACAGAAACCGCCCAAACGGCTGATTCACGTCGGCAATAAAACTCAGAATCTCTTTCTGGTAGAAACCTTCCCTGATCTCCAACACGTGGAATGGCTTTCGCTAAGCTACCGCTGGAGAGAAGAGCCTTCGAAAAAGCTTACTGGTGACACTATGAATGAGTTGAAGAATGGAATCCCTTTGACCGACTTTGATGATACAATTCAAGACGCCGTATCAGTCACTCGAGACTTGGGCATCTCGTACATTTGGATTGATGCACTTTGCATCATCCAAGGTAGTAACGACTCTACTGGGGAGTGGAACGAAGAGGCTTCCAAGATGAATGAAATCTATGGAGGATCAATAGTGACTCTTGTCATTGCCAGTTCAGCTTCTGTAAAGAATGGATTCCTGACGGAACGTGACCTCAATTACATTCCTGTTGCATATTCCACCAACCTAACGGAGGATCGTAAAGCAAAATTATTCTTATCACCAGAATGGGACGATAGTGAACGCGAATACAACGGGGTCTGGAGTAAGAGAGGATAGACGATGCAAGAAGGACTGCTTCCCAATCGCTTACTGCACTATACAGCTTCTCAAATTATTTGGAAATGCTGTGAGGAACAGAGATTCGAAAGGGGTGTAACAGAACGTGTCGAAGATATAATATCTGAAACCTTGACCTACTCTGATCATGACGACATATCATTTGGATCTGGACTTTTCTGGCAATTACCTGCATTCTTGAAATTCAAAGGATTTAAAAAATATTTACCCATCAGCTTGGATTATCCATTGATGTCGCACTCAGATACATTTCGTTTGTGGTACGACCTGGTGGAGGATTATACTCAGAGACGGTTTGAAAATATCAGCGATCGTCTCGTAGCCATCTCAGGCATAGCTAGAATATATGGCGACATGATTCGAAACCCTACATACGTGGCTGGGCTGTGGAAAGAGGACCTCATTCGGGGGCTTTTATGGCATGTTGAAGGTACAATGCTCATTCCTAAGCGTCCTACAGACGATATTCCAACTTTCCATAAGGCTTTTCCATCCTGGAGCTGGACCAGCGTTGGATATGAGGTTGTTAAAAATGACTTGAAGACTGATAATAGTATCCGTGCTTTGTCAGAAATCGAGAACATACAGATCGATCTTGTTGACCAAGATCCTTTTGGTGCTATAAAGCGTGGCAGTATCACTATAACTGGCCCTTTAAGGAGGCTACCAAGGCTTTATAACAAGGAATGGGCATCGGCAGAAGCATCGATGTCAGAACTTGAGCGCCATATTTCTGAAATCGTCGAGGAGGAAAGCCAAGGACCTGTTGCACACGAATACTCTTCTTCGCCTGAAGGTCATTTTAGTGTCCTGCTGATGCTTGAAAATATGAAATCTCTACATCTACTTGTGTTGGAAGCTACTAGTAAAATCAATGTATATCGCCGAGGTGGGATACTCGAACTCTGTTATGTTGATCCTTCAGGTTACACATCGCCTGAGGTTATTGCTACATTGACGAAGATGGAAACTTCAATTCCCGCGCAGCTCGGCCCGCATAAGAAGGCACGCACGATGCGAAAGACTGCTAACGCTGCATTTATGGAGATAAAGAGAGAGAACTGGGTGAAGGAAACAGTGATGATAGTCTAAGCGAGAGCTGAAACTCCATCTCATTAATCCATGGCCTTGGTTATGAACTTTGGCAGTTTCATAGGAAAGTTACTAAATAGAATGAGGCTAGTTAAGCTGCTACTAAAGCCCACCTCCACCATCATCATTAAATAAAATGTATAAGATCTCAAATATTCTTTGAAGGGATTCAAAACCCGGCAACAAGATTACCCCAACACAACTGCTTCCCGTTAAGCAACACCATTACGCCACGTAGGTTGATGATGAGAGAAGATTTGGTGGAGAAAAAAGATTTAATGGTGAAAACTAAATTGACAACAGGAGATTCGACAACAACAAAACTCTCAACCCCAGTTACCGCCAGCTATCCATCGCAGCACCTGCATCCACATGTCCCGCAGCTCTATCATTCAAAGTGAGGTTACGGATGCAACTCCCCGAGGTACAGAAGAAAGTCACTCCTCGTTAAGGATTTAATATCTAAAAAAGAAAGGGAAGCATATCGCAAAAGTATCCGGATCGTGCCTTTGAAGGGTAATGTCCTTGATAAAGGGAATAAGGTGTGGCTCAAGGACTTCGTATATATAGCGGATATTATCTACTCCTCCCTTTGACTTCCCCTTCTTATATTGGTTATTATTCCAATATACCGTGTAACTCTATAAGCTAGTAGTAACACTTAATATAGAAGTAGGTTAGGTAGAACAGATCAATTAATTTTAGACTAAAGAGAGAAGAAGCTTTAGGAGCTTCTACCCCCTATATTTGTACGGACCGGAGTAACGTATCTCCGGTCCCGTGACCGATACCCCTATTTTCTTAACAATTTATAATAAATTAATAATTATAATCTAGGACTCTGATTTATTTTAGAGCAATAAGATCCTTTACTATTAAGAACTTCTTTTAGAACCTTCTGGATCTATATCTATTTATTAGTAGCCTAATTTTAATCTGCAGGGACGAAATCTCACATCGTATTCTGCTATCCAATTGTATTTCTTACTCCATTTACTGTCGACCGTGGCCTGAACCGTGTCGTCGAAACCAAAGTTAGATGCCGAAATATGCGCGTCGGCGTCTGCAAACTGATCTAAAATTCTATACTTAATAAGTAGTTAGTATACTGCTAGTATAATAGGCATAATAGATGACTGAACTCACCAACTTTCGATAATAAGGTCCCCTAACTTGGTCAAATAGCTCTATACCCTCCTGTAAAGATAGATTCTGCTCGTGCGCCCAGGCAATTCCTCGTGCAAGCACATATACGTCTTCTAATGCAAAGCCTGCCCCAGCACCTAGATTACTGTTAGACCCTTCCATGTTACATTGACTTTGAGCTGAATGTTTGAACTACCAAATGCGCCTGAAAGAGCTAGAGAGAATATCCAAGTTAGCCCACGAGTCATTTTCTATTTCTAGAGGTAGTCTTACGATGTGAAGCGTCGCCGACCAGTACTACAGAACCATGTGCGATGATATTGTCCAATCTTGGCCCTGCAAAAAGGGCATACTGTTTTATTTCTTTAGGAAGAGCAACAATAGACTTAACAACCGGAGCGAAGTCCTATATCGAAGGCCATCAGTAAAAAGGACTCAGTAGATAGTGGAGAAGAGACTTTGCCTCAAAGTGCTTTGCGTTATCTTCTATCGTAGCATTTTGTCCCCAACTGACTTTCTCCTTCAGACTTGCCGGTTCGCGAGTGTTGGTCGTGATCTCAAATTTTCCATCCCCGAGACTACAAGTATAGAGCCACGCATGCGGGCCGTGCCAGAAAGTCACAGCGTCGGGCACGCCAGCCACAGTTGCAATCTCGTCTGAGGTGACAATTGTGCGGTATGACGTGCGCCCAATATATCCCACCTGGTGGTCAGGAAATGCGAAATTCCTCACTACCTTTGGGACACGTTACTGCATGTTCGCTTGTCGTTGGACATGTATCTTACTGATCTAACCCCGTCGGCTCCAACGACAAGATCAACCTCGTCTTTGAAGCCGTCTTGAAATTCAATAAGAAGTTTTCCGGAAGGCTTCTTCACAACGCTGACCAGCCGACTGGAAAGCCTAACACGGCTTTGATCAACTTCATCAATTAACGCCTGTTGAAGCTTTGCTCGATGAGTCCGCGCATGTAGCTGGGTTTTAGGAACGCCTGAAGAGACCTCAGGAAATGCTTGATAATAAAATTTGCAGAAGGGTTTCTTAAACTTACCTTCCTGGCCATGCGAAACTAGTAGTTCTCCCGTTCTTCCATTCCTTCAGAGAAATTAATATAGAGAGATTTGGCAATATGCTTCCAACTTACCGATGCTGGACATAATGGTTATCAGGGGGGCGATAAAAGTCTGCCGGTTGCAAGTTTGCAGCTGCCCCCAAATGTTCCAGCAGCCGCCAGGTGCTTGGCTGAATGCTTATACCTGCCCCAATCTCACGAAGGACTGTAGCCTGCTCATATAGCTTCCAGTCCACGAACGGCAGCTTGGAAAATTCAATGGCAGCACCTAAGCCGGCAGGTCCAGCGCCAATAATTGCGACTCGTAGTTGAGCCATTGGCTGGTCTCTCAAAGTTATTTTACTATCAAAAAAAATAGAGGGCGTAATGGTTGCGCAGTACGATAAGTGACTTAAAGTAAGAATGATAGTTTCGCACTCACCCGACTTTTTTTCAAACGAAAATAAAACAACAACTGATATAGATGGACATGCCTAACAGAGGCGCCAAACCAAGCCCCAGTGGTATGAGAATCACGTCAACCTACTATATTCGCCATTATTTCAAATCCGAATGCCTCTTAGCACTAAGAAGCGGGCTCGGAGAAGATCCCGTCTCTGGCGAATCAAGTCCCGCTGAGATGGTCTCTCTGCCCTTCTCCTGAAGCGGTCAGGAGATGGTGGATCTGGATACGACACTATTCGCGTTGTGGAAAGCGTAATTTAAAGATGTCGATGTTAGCGCACCTCCATGCACGTTTGCGATGGCGCCTTACCAGCGACATTTGATGCAACTGATAAGTGCCGGGGTTAAACCTTTATCCACCCAAAACTCCAAAACGGATGAATTGAAGCCTCCAGCGCCAGGTGGATCGTGTAATGGCAGATTTCATGGCCTGGCCTTATGTGATTTGAAAGAACTGGGCAAATAAAACCTTACAAATTAAAGGCAAAAATGGACTCAAACCCCGAATATCCACATAAACGACCGAGCAGCAACCTCCAAGCACGAGACAGAGTAGAGTCGCTCCCAAACACTACTGGGGGCGAGAGACAGCGGGAGACTTTGCCATTTCCTAGGAATTCCGATGCAAATCGGCATCGAGCCTCGATTGTAGGAAAATTGCATTCGGGATCTTGCTGCACATATACGCAACTGCTGATTATTTGTTGTCTGTTCACAGGCCTGCGAGACTTGCCGCCGGAAAAAAGTAAGATGTGATAGAGGGCAGCTGGCGTGTGGCTATTGTCGACGTCATGGCTTTCGTTGCGACTATCAATCGCAAAGCGGGCAGATGTATGTTATTCGCATCTCGTTCTTTAGTATAAGCCTCTAGCAACCGCTGAACCCAGGTCAGCGGTCAAGATCAAATGTTTTCACAGCTTCTAGAACGTCTGGGCAAAGTTGAAGAAAAGCTAGAGACTCTTTCCACTTCAAGTGGCCCAGATAGGCCGCAACAAGATCTCGATCGTGTTATAAATGACTGGACAATCTCAGCCTCAAAAAATACAACCCCATCTTCAGCAATTCAGTCAAGCCAGTCCTATACTCTCATTTTGCCTACCCAACTAATTGAGACTGGCACCTCGCTAGAGAATGAGAGTTCAGTGGCTTATACTGCGAAGACATCTTGCCAATCAAGCGAGAGCCCAAAGAGTTACGGGCACTTTCCAACGGTGGCTGAAGACTTTACAAAGAAAGCGAACTATTTGAATAGGACACCATTTTCCTGTGAAGAATGTCGACCCATACTGCCCGAAGCTATTGATGATGCGGATCGGACAGAATCAAAGGATATTCTGGTGCTGCTGGTTTACTTCTTCGAACATACCTGCACATTGTTCCCAATTATTTGTGATCAGGCGACATATATGATGGCATCAGTAGTGGGTGTAAGAGGATTCCGGGATGAGTTGCAGTCATGCCTCATTCTTCTGATGATTGCGCTATCAAAGGCATATAGAGACCACCAATCTTTGGAAAGTGGTCTGGCCGATTTCCAGCGAGCGGTTCAAGTACTGAGCCGGCTAAGTGTTCAATTTACCCTTCCATATGCTCAGGCTCAAGTTCTTGCAGCTCTGTTTTTGTTCAAAAAGGGGCGACTGCTTAACTTTTGGTCCTACCTCAATGCGGGGTGCACTGCTCTCTCTGTAATGATTCAACGGTAAGTGGTCACATGGTATTCTTAAAATTTCAAATAGTAGATTGCTGAGAGATTTACTATAGGGACGAAAATTTATGTCGGGAAAGAAGTCCAGAAGACATAAAAACTACCCTGCGCTTATACTGGATCTGCTATAATCTCGAACGGTAATCAAGTAGACACAACCCCCTTTTAACGGACTAGGCTAACTTTCCATAGCGATTTAGTCAATGAGATTGGTAGCTTTCCCAGAAGTTCACTGTATCAATTAGAAGACCGTCTACCGCTGCCCCTTGGTTGTGATGAGTCGGACACCGCCAGCCTCTCATCATCCGTTCGCACGGTGCGTACGTATACGTTCTTCCTCGCTGAAATGTCACTCAAGTCGACACTTGCTCGGATAATCTCCATAACGGGTGGAGACAGCTATCTAGAAACATCATTGAACAGCAGTGTAGAAATATCTCCGCTCATGCAAGAACTCAACGCGCAAATTGGTGAATGGGTCATAAGCCTGCCGAGTTTCCTCGATTGGTCGCCGGAGCCTACGAGAGGGACATGTTCGCCGATCGCCACGCGTCTGAAGCTGATCTATTGGTTTACACGGTTGTCGTTGTCCAAGTCTCATATTCTTCATGTCCTTCACGATTCGGATCACCAGCTCCCGTTCCTCGGCTGGAAATTCTTCCAAGATGGCATTCTGGCGGGGGTGAATATGATCAAGGTTTCTGTCATGGAAGAATCTGAAGTCGATGTTATCATGGGAAATAGGTAGGTTGTAGACGGCGCTTAATAAGTCGGCTTGCATGCTAATCATGTTCAAGATTAGCTTCTACAATTTCATTACTGAAAGATGCTACTGCGAAAGGCTGCTGTCCCACCCTGTCAGAGGAAAATGGTAACGTGATTTTACAAGAATGCATAGACATGCTATGGCGACAGTTAGCATATAAATCAGAGTGGATTACCTGCCGGCTTCACGCTTTGTAGGTATTTTAATATCATTCCTGCATTCGGAAAAGTTATACTCGATAGACTCTATAAGCGGGGCGAAATCATATTTTTAACACTTGACGACACAGGCGCCGCGGCTAAGGTCTTGACAAATTCCGCTTCAACGTCATGTTCCGTCAACCAAAGCTGATTTCGATGTCGTTCTTGAAATCTCCTAATCCATTCTTCCTCGTCATCTGCTGCTTCGGAAATATACGAGCCATCCGCACCGTCAAGCTGTATTTGAAGCTCCACTCGTGCCAAGAAGGGGCGCCGGGTGGCATCATACAGCTGAAGAGCTCGCTGCAAGTCATAACGACTTCGTGGAATATGATTGGCCGGTAAATCTGTCTCCATTACACTGGTTGGTTGCCAGTAACTTTCCTGAAGGGAGCGGAACAATGCCCAGCAGTCTCCTTGACCCATCGTCGCACCTGCTCCATAAGCACCAGCAGTAGCTATATTAGGTCAATAATTATACAAATTTCTAGGGAAGAATATTACGGACGGTGAGCTGCATCGCCAACAAATGCAATACGGTCATGCCGAACCAGTTGCTTCATCCATGGTGCCGAGTCAAGAGGGTAAGCATCAATGTCCGTCATCGTCTGAAGAACTTCGTCGATTATCGGATCCCAGGTCTTCCAAAGTCGTCAGTCAAATATTTTCGTACGTTCACAGCACCCAACCCACTGCAAAATGTTTCCGTAGTCGTTCAAGACCTTCCTTTCCGGTGCTATGTGCCCATTGAAGCGTTTCTGCAAATTCATCAGTTTCTCTTATGATGGCTACAATTCCGTACTGGCCGAGGCCTTTTCAATTTTTCAAAATTAGCCTGGATACCAAGATGCAAAGAAACAGAGTTTAACTTACCCAGCGGTGATAAAAACATCACCTCGCCATCCTTACGCCATGACGAGCTATCATTGTGCAAGCCCGTAATATGCGCAACTTGGCTTTGGGGAAACAGCTTTCTGTATGCGACAGAACCTCTGTAGCGAACTTCATCGGGAACATAATGGCGTCGCATTTTCTGGGCGTTATCAGCCTATATCAAACTATCTTGGAAGATAAACTTACAGAAAACAGACCATCTGCAGCGACTACAAGGTCGAATGTTTCTGAAGCGGAATACTTAAAATTCAACCGAACACCGCTTTCTGTTACCTCGTGGCCAACGACATGTCGATCATATTGAATAACACCTTGGGGTACATTTGATAGAAGAACGTTTAAAAGTGGAACTCGGTGGGTGCGTGCTTGATGAAACCGATTCGCCACGTGGGGAGACGAAGGATTACTAGCAATGATCTCCCCCGTTCTCCAATGCCTAGTCACATATGTTCCATTATGATCACCACGGTACAAAATATTTTGGACCTTCTCTAAGTCGATGAGTTTGTCTAAAATTATCAGACCTAGGGAATCAGTTCCTTGATATCCCGAAGTGTCATATCTTAAACGTACCTGAGACCGTGAGACTAATCCAAGCGCCTGTCTCTCGAGGTCCCGGCGAACGTTCAAACACTGCTACCGAAACGCCCCGTAGACGGGATAGCGCAATAGCAGCAGTAGCACCGACAAGTCCTGCACCGACGATGCTATTGGATTATCGCGTGAGCGATTTCTGAGTGAGACGAGTCTGATAGGACTTACCCTATTCTCAACGGTCTGCAAGTCACAAGATTTCCTTGTAGGTCTGCTTTGGAGTTCATTGTGTTATTGTTTATACTCCCTCTAATAGACGTACAGAGTAGGGTATCTTCTGGATTTTATTTTTATAAAAAATTTTATAAAAAAAACATAAGAAAGTGTCATGGTGAATGTTATCGCCGGCATAGAGTGCAGGTGCACACAGCCGCCAAGTCGTACCCGTTGCAGAATGCCGATGCGGCAAGCGCTTACTATACATCGCACGCCATTAGACATTAAACATACAACATCGCAAATCTAATTCTTACTATTGGCACCCTACTCCACGTCTCCTTACCAACCGTACTCCATTAGTTTCATTAGTTCCATTACCTACGATTACATGGCAAAAATGTTATTTCTGTGCTCTTACTCGCTGGGCACGGAGGGCTTCCGAGATAAAAACGAAGCTAACACCTGCCACGTTTTTCTGTGGTGAAAATCCAGGTCCTGTTCCGGGAAATAGGGTGCAGTAAACCAGGCCATTGATTATGTAGACAAGCTAGTGATGGTCTAAAGGGGTTTCGGTACATGGTATATTCTATATCAGATGAAATTAATAGCTTTCTTACCGCTAAACAGTACTGGTGTTACACCATTGGCCATTGCAGTATGTCGAGAATCTCCCTTCAAAGTACTTGTTCGGAGTAGTTCCCGAGCGAGTTTTTGCATACAATACTAATGACTATCACGCAATTCACAAGTTTGGCATCGATCCTTCAATTCCTCAAAATGCTAGGCCGAAAGTCAAGCGAAGCTCCGGGACCGAGAGACTTCGTGTTTACAAAAGTGAAGGTAGATCTGCATGTTCCAACTTAACTTCCATTCAATCTGTTACTCTCTATAAGTTCCTAGGGCCTTGTTCTTGGAAGCTCTATAGGCTGTTTACCACAATCTGGCTCGCCACACGATGTCTCACCACGAAAACAAGACCCTGGTACGGTGGAATCGCTCTACACTGTACTGTGGCTTACTGGTAGCTGCCACTGCCTTTACGTGTCCCGGAATTTTCGGTGCCTTAAATGGGCTCGGCGCAGGCGGCGGTGCGAGTCCTGAGATTGCAAACGCAGCGAATGCAATTGTGTTCGGCTGTCTTGCAGTCGGGAGTTTATTTGTTGGTGGGATTGCTAACCGTATCACTCCCAAATATGCACTTTTGGTGACCATCCCCGTCTCTCATCCCAGAAACCAGCTGACTCCTTCAGATTGGAACTCTTGGTTACACGCCGTATGCAGCAGGATTGTATTGCAATGATCGTTTCGGCACCAATTGGTTGCTGCTATTTGGCTCGGTCGTCCTGGGAATTTCAGCCTGCTTTTTGTGGGTAGCGTCTGGTGCCATTCTTCTAGGATACACGGAAGAGCACAAAAAGGGGAGAGCAAGTAGGTCAACGTCTCTGTCTCTTTTACGAAATTCTCAACTAAAATTCAATCACAGTGTCTATAAAGTTTGCCTTCCAAAATCTGGGTGCCTCGATAGGCGGTATAATCGCCCTGGCTCTCAACGCTGACAAGAACTTCCGCGGCGGAGTCACAAATGCTACATATATTACACTTATGACAATAATGTGCCTAGGGTTTCCCTTCGCATTGCTTTTGCCCACAGCCAATAACGTTCAGCGAACTGATGGGCGATCAGTTGTCCTAAAAAAGCAGCCCTCTTTCGCCGGCGAGTTCAAAGTTTTGAAGAGTATCTTCTCAAAATCCTGGGTCTGGGCCTTGATTCCACTTATAATATATGCGCAGTGGTTCTTGTCATTTCAGTGGCAATTCAACTTTGCATACTTCACCGTTCGCGCCAGGGCTTTAAATTCCTTTCTATTCTACGTCCTTGGCCTTATAAGTGCATTAGGCATGGGCCGGTTGCTCGACAGCACTCGTTGGAAACGACAAACTCGAGCGAAGATTGGATTCTGTATTGTCGTTCTCTTTACGGGGGCCAGCTGGATATTGGGCCAATCTGTCCAAGTTCACTACGACAAAATCAAGCCGACGATTGATTGGAATGACAGTTCTTACGGTCTTGGATCTTTTACATTTTGCCTATGGGGCTTCTCTGATCCTCTGTAAGTCCGACCTAACTCAAGAACCTGTACTATCCCTCCGATTTCATACTAAGTGCAACCACAGGGTTACTACGTATCTATACTGGCTGGTAGGCAGCTTCTCAAACGACTTGAACGAGACATCCTTTTTGGCTGCTATCATGAATAGCTTGGGATCAGTTGGATCAACATTCGGTTTCGTCGTCTCGGCGATGAATTTCAGTTACAATGGTGCATGTGCGATCAATTTGGTCTTGTTCTTCGTTTCTATTCCAGGATTAGCATGGGTGGTATTCACGCAAGTGAAAGATACTACGCATGGCACAAATATATCCGGTGCTGCTCTATTTTCGGGCTCCGAATCTGAGGATGGCCATGCTCAGTCGATAGAAAAGGATTTCGTTGAGACAAAGCAGGGAGTACAGAGTTCATCCGTCCCACTATAATTAAAGTTATTAGTATGAGACTCTTGGGACTTTTGCTCAATCGATGAGAAGGATGGGCTTTACTATAGAGAGCATATTTGAAGCGCCGCCTAGTTTAGCTAAATAATGGCAGGAGTTGACTATCACTTTTGGAATGGCTTCTAAGCGTGATAACCAAAAAAACATTGGATGTTACCATAGAAATGAGCTTAAGATCACAGTATAACAGCCCATCCTGGATTGAAATATTGGTCGGAAGCAATAGTAGCTATTCCTTTGCAGATGATGCAATACGCCCCATGTCGCGCTAGAGGTACACCAGATTGGCACTTCGGGCCTTGTTGGTAATTCAATATTGTGAAGCCGGCTACGCCTTTGATAGTAGAGTGGGGTATCTATTCAAGAGATAAATAGAAGGCCGACAGTCATTTTAACTTTGACACACACCTGCATCATGGCGGAAGTCCCACAACATACAGCTGCTACTGGCAGTCACAAAGCCATAACTGCAGCAGAGCTGATGAACCTGCGCTTTGTTGCTAACGGATCCCAGCCACCTTCGCTCATCATCCGTCATGGATCCGTCCTGTCGTCGTTCACGGGCGAATTTCTTCCACGTGATGTGGTGATATTCGGGAGACATATCGCTGCGATTACATCCTGGGATCATTTTCCTCCTGCTCTGGGGGCCACAGAGATCGACGCCGGAGGTAAATTTGTGACTCCTGGATTTATCGACGCACATATACATATAGAGTACACAAAACTCGTGCCTGGGGAGCTGGCAAGGCTAAGCGTGCCCCGAGGAACAACAACTGTTCTGGCAGATGCAAACTGTATTGCCAATGTAGGCAAAATCCGCGTATAGCAGGTGTCTTCTGTACATGGCGCTGATTTGTGACAGGTACTTGGTGAAAAGGGGCTTGACTTCATGGGTGAGTGGCACGCGTGGACCTTTAGGCAGGAGCTAATAAGAAGCAGGACAAACAACCACGCCTCTGCGGATTTTCAGACAGGTCTCTCACAAGGTGCCTGGTAGTTCAGCCGATCTTGAGTTAGGTGGAGCCTCTCTCGCCACATCAGAGATATGCCGGCGGGTAGGCCTGCCGGAGGCCGTCACGCTTGGGGAATCCAACCCTTTTTCCTTGGATTTTGCTTCGGCCGAGAAGCAAGCTGCGGCGCTACAGGCTGGAAAACGTATTACGGGACATACGGCTTTGCTAAAGAATGAACCCCTCTGGGCTTATGCTGCGGGAGGCATTGGAGACGACCACAATGCCTACAAGACAGAAGATGTCGTCGAGAGACTGAGACTCGGCTTGATGCTGACTGTGATGAGTGGAAGTATGAACTCAAATATTGAGAGCGTGTTTAGTGACATCGAAGGCCTTAAGGATGGGCTGGCACACATCTCATTCTGTGCTGATGACAAATTGGTGGAAGATCTCGATGCAACCGGTCATATTGATAGACATGTCCGCGAAGCAATTGAGCTTGGAGTCCCGCCGATAAAAGCATATCGTATGGCGACGTTGAATCCCGCTCTTTATTACAGAATTGATCATCTCATGGGCAGCATTAGTCCGGGAAAGCTGGCAGATATTCTCATTCTTGACAAGCTGGAAGAAGCACGGTAGACAAACCTTTCCCAATATCAAAGCAGAAAGCTGATGAGACGCTTCGCAGCCCTGGAACAGTGATTGTCGATGGAATCGTGGTTGCCAGAGACAACAAGGCGCTTTTCGAGAACGGCGATTCCATTCCTTTATTCACAACAAATACAATACATCTCAACCCGATATTCTTCTCGGCAGAGGCATACTCGGTGAAAGCACCGGGTCAAAAATGTTATGCATGGATCCAAGCCATGGAAATGTATGACGGCTATTTCAAGCGTGCCTTCCATGCACGTCTTCTAGCCGACACGTCTAGCAACCTATTATGCAACCTCGAGCTCGATATCCTCAAAGTCGTCGTAGTTGACCGCCACCACAACACATCCAACAGGGGTATCGGCTTCGTGCGTGGCTTTGGGCTGAAACGCGGTGCAATTGCCTGCACGACTAATTGCGAGAACCAGAACCTCGTCGTGATCGGTACATCAGACGTCGAGATAGCATTTGCTGCCCAGTCTATTGCCCAGCTTGGTGGGGGTTGTGTCACTGTTGCGGAGGGGAAGGTGCTTGCGTCTGTCAAGCTGGATGTAGCTGGGTGTATGAGCTCAGAAAAGTGGGAGGTAGTGCGGGATCAATCACTGCTCTGTGACGAGGCGGCGCGTTCCTTAGGCTGTACTATCACTGCGCCGTTCCTCATTGCGAGCTTTGTTGGACTTAATGGCGTGCCGGACCTAGGTCTCACTGAGAAGGGTTTGATTGATTGCCAGGCACAGGAATTGATTTCGGTTGTATTAGATGAAACGGTGCCCGAGGAATATCTCCGATCAAGTGGAAAGGAGACATTACACGAGTATTCAGTATCAGCACCAGTCAAAGTATGTTGTCGTTGTCCGAGTCATCAGAGCGACATTCATAGTCGCATCGCAGCCACCGTTGCTTTCTCGTAAGCATAACCTTATCTATAATCTTATAGAGAATATATACGTCTAGAATCAATATAAAACCTCTACTACTTTTAGAGTTCTTAGATATTGGTTACTAGTAAGGACTAGGCTTCGGGGAGTATTTAGCCCTGTAATATAAAAGGCGGGTTATTTAGTTATAGGTTTAGGGTGTACTTCCTTTTACTTAGATTGGGTCTTCTTATTAAGAAATATTATACTAGATAGCTTAAAAGAAAATAGATAAAGTTATAGGTAAAGGCAAAAGCGGGAAACTAGCCCTTTATACTATTTTCTTAGCTCCTTACCTTCTTTACCTATCTAGCTCACCCTACTTACATTGCTTACCTCGCTCACCTTACTTTATAGATATCTCTTTTATTTTGTTCCTTATATTGGTCTTCGGTGCACAATATAATTGTCGCTTTTTATAAGAGGACTGCAAAAAGATCTCAAGGCTCTTCTCACGCACTTGGGCAGATTGCTTGCCGAGGGATGCAACGAGAAAATCTTTTGGTGGAAGGACTAGGTAGATGTGTCGAACATACTCAACCGCTGCACGTCTGGACAAGAAGACAATAGCCCGATTGTTTCCATCAGCATCCTGCTGTATCGCGCCGAGGAGTTTCAGGGTAAGTTGAAATCTGTCGACTAGTTCCGCAAGCACATAATAGAGTTATAGATTGGCTGAGATCAGCTTTAAGTCCTTAGTCTTGCCCTGCTGCTCGTTGTCTTGACCTTTTGACCGACACCCGCACTGGATTTCGAAGTCCTATGCGATCTAGTCGGGTAAAATCATCCATGCTGGCGTTGAACAGACCCGTTTGCCGCTGTTTGGGAAGGAAAACTAATATAGCCGCTATATCAGGCTTGAAATCTGTAGCCAGCAGCTTATCAGCCTCGTCTAAGACCAATACTCTAGTAGCAGAAGCGTGGATATGAGGAGAAGCAAGGAGCTTGCGGAAGCCGCCAGGGGTTCCAATTAGGAGGTTTGATGAATCCGACGAGAATGTGGACAGATCCTGCGCTTCCGTTCCCCGCGCTACCAGTTGTGGAATGATGCGATTGTGCTCGTATTGCCCTTGGCTTGAGGATGAATGGAATTGCAAGGTCTGGATAAGAAGAGAGTGTATTAGGACGGCCAATTCCCTCGTTGGCGCAACTATTGGCGCTTGGAAACGATGTTTCTTCGAACTTTCGATCCCAGGTGGTCTGGCTATTATCGGAATGAGAAATTGCCGGGTCATATCTTGCTACTGCCTGTGACAGGCTTGAGCCTGCAGATTCACAAGCCTTCGCAGCAGGATCGAATGGGCATTCCTCATACAATGACATCTTTGCTTTCCCTGAAGAGGGGTATTATGGCATTCTAGACAGGCGTCATGAAGTTGAAACACATGCTAAGCACTGCATCAACTATCCACGGTGGGACGCCTGCAGACATGTAAGAGTTTTCTGGCACTCTTCCATGATGCGTGTAAAATACGAGATGTAGAACGATTTGTGAAAAATTGTGCGCAGCAATAACCCAGGATGGCAAGCAAAATGTTTCTCGGCTGGTGTGGTTCAGATCGGATGGATAATCTCTTCATTTGGACCGTTTAAACATTTTCGCAGTTTATGGCTTGACTTTGGTATCAACAGTGACCTCAACCAATAGGGCGTCATCGTTCTCCTCCAGGCGTATTCTATCAAACCTGGCTGCTCTTAAGTTCCAACCTATATGTTGCAAGAGGTGCTTCTCGCTATTTGTCTTCCGCTTTTTGGCTCGAATAACTTCTGCAATACTAACCAGCATGGTTTTGGCAGTTATGAGGTCGCCACAGCTGATATGATGCAAAGCAAGGTCGTAACGGCAGCTTTGGGTAGTGATATGATCGGGGCCGAGCTGTTTTTCAAAGCCTGATAATGCGCTGTTGAAATATCGTAGAGCTAAAGGCTTAGAATTGTGCAATTTTAGAATCAATGCCTTCTGGTAGTCGAATGAAGGTATGAGGCTGGCATTGCTTTCAGCAAATCCAGCGGCAATGCAATCTTCAACTATGCAAAGAGCATCATCGTTCCTTCCCAAACTACGAAGGGCGCAGACAAGTGGTAGACCGAGCTGTGGAACAGGATGTTTGATAGTGGACAATATCCGGTCGACGAGAGTTGGAAGCGTAACAGTGTAGCCGGATCTTGCAGAAACTAGGAGTTCTGAGAGCTGTACCTGTAGGTCCTGGTTGAAATGGTCTGAAATTTCAACCTCGCTTGTATTTGAAGGCAGGGCAGATATCGTATCTTGAATGAGTTGGCAACCAGCAATGACTGCCTAGGAGAGTTGTACCAGTCAGCATCGGATTACAAGAATCTGGCCGCCTTTTCCACTAACCTTTGATGACCTTGCATCCTTGAATAATTCCAGGATAGTCACTCTATCCCCGCTACAGGCGCTTTTCCATTGTGCATTGTAAGGCGTAGACTTCCGAGTGATTGCGTCACTAAAATCAATAATGACAAAACCCCACGGGTGTTGAGAGCCTGCCAGTAAGATATTGTCACCTTTAATATCCCTATGACAAATCCCATTATTATGGAGATCCGACAAGGCTGCCAAAAGCCTTTCTTCGAGAGATCTAAGTTCTTCATCAGACATATCTTTCATGAGACGTTTGTCGAGACGGAGACCCTTTACTCTCTCAATTGCAACTCCAGTTCGGTATATAGCAGGCTGCTTGTAATATAGGATACTTCGCAGATTGTCTCGAGTAAAACGGACTGGGCCATAGTATCGAGGCAGATAAGTAGGGGCAAGGCCCAATTCTTGGAGATGCTTATATGCAATCCGTTCATCTTGAGAATGGCGCTTCTTCCAATACTATAGGAAGTTCAGTAAGAGGCTCTGAATCATTACGAGAGTGATATACAGCCTTGAGTGCGATTACCTGCCCTTCACTCGTTGCGGCCTCCCAGACACGTGCGCGTCCTCCCTGGCCTAATTGTGACCCAATGCTAATAAGAGAAACCATCTCCAATATTATGACCTTCGCCAGCTGGAAGATCAATGCATAATTGTGTGAAGTAAGGAGGGCGGACGACGGAAGTTGTTGATAATTAATGAGAAAGAGACGACGCACCGTGTTGCTCAGTGTGGTCTGGTGTCCGCCACGCCTGAGAATTAAGATAGGGCGCTTAGCCGCTCGGCCCCCAAACCCACTCAGTTCGGCGATGGCGAACCAGCCAAAAAAAAAAGGAACTAGGTAGTCAATATCTCCATCTCTCGGTCAATGTATCACTGAAAGCCCAAGGGGGATGATGGTAATAGCATAATAGAATTTACGTTAGGTTTTAGAAGTAGAAGTGAACAAGATATATACAAAACAAGCCATCCAGAATATAGGAATGGGAACCCATAGGGTCTAAATAGGGGTATCAAGAAACGAACTTCCAACCTTTATCACTCACTCATTATCGAACCGCCTAAAACGCCTCCGGCTCACGTCCCAGAGACCCCCTCGTGGCCCTCCTTTGGTTCCCACCACACTGTCCAGGGAATTTCCTCGCCGTAACGGGATTAGGGAACGTGCCTTTCTTCACGCCTTCTAGGAAACTCCAACTCCCAGGCCCCTTCGCGCTCCAGACGAAATACCCGCTGGTGCTCTGCTCAAAGACATCGAGCTGCGCCTCGACATATCGTCGCATAAGCGCAATCATGTCGTCGCTCCAGGTTTCATAGGGGTCAGATAGGCATCTACATCCGCTTTCCCAGCAGGTGTGGCCTGCGATGGTGGATCCGTCTGGGTTGAGGCAGACGTTCGTGATGCCGGACCATTCGCCTGTATATGTGGGGGTGATGGCGTTAGAGGTCGCGAGGCTGGACGCCCAGCCACATGCTTTGGTGATGTGCTGTGGTTGGGTGAGGAGGTTGTCCTCATCGCTGAAGAGCTGGTACATATGCGTGTCGATGCCGAAGCTCCCAGGACCGAGATTCTGCACTACATCTGCCCATTTCTCGGGGCCCTGGAACGCGTCGTGGATGGTAATCACCATGTTTGGGTTGCTGCTTGCTGCTTTCACAGCGGCGTATGCTTCTTCGGTCCATTCCTGGATTTCGCTGAGGGAATGTGTTGAATCCGCCAGAGGCTCGTTGGTTAATTCCAGACCAACGACGACGTCGGCGTATTCTGCGCTGCCGTATTTGCTGGCCATGGTTTCAAGGACGGAGATTGATTGCTTCCGGTTGGCATCCTCTTGCCAGTCTACAGATCCTATTTTCCCCGAGTGATCGTGGCCGTTTTGAGAACCTGGGGAGCCGTGGCAGTCAACCCAGACTTTCATGCCAGCGTTACGTGCCCAATCGATGGCTTTCTCCAGATAGACGTCTGCGCCTTTGATGTAATGACTGTTGCTATTGTCGAAGGCCCAGTAGCCAATCGGGATGCGCAGGGCGTTGATTCCTGTTGCGGCTAGGTCTTGGATGTCTGATTCAGTGAAGTATGTCGACCAGTGCTTCTCCAAGGCGTCTTCGGCACCTGGGATCGCGTCGAATGTGAATTGATCGGTTGCCTCAGAAAATGCCCCTGTGAATACATCGCTGTTCATCCATTTTTCAAGGATGAACCAGCCTCCAAGGTTAACGCCTCGGAGGAAGGGGATGCTGGATGTGTTTGCTAATACTTTTGGAGATGCTACAGCAGATGATGAGCTTGGTTGAGAACTCTTTGCTGCTGAAGCGCTTGTCAGAGATGGAGCGAATGTTGCAACCGGACTGTAGGCCTTACTGTTTGCTGGGGTTAAAGTAGTGGCGCTCGACTTGCCCTTGCCCTTGCCCCTGTGGCCTTTGCCAGCTACGAGGGTTCCAGTAGAGTTGTGTGCAGTGGAATTAGAAAGTGCAGTTGGAGTGATAAATTTGACATTTGTATTCGTGACTGTAACTGGGAGTGTAGTTGGAGGCCAGTATTCAATATTTGTGTGAGTGACAGTAATGGTGGGTATAATTGGCTCAGGAGATCCAGTCTCAGCTTCAGCATCGACAGGAGCTTCGCGCCTTGGGAGACGTGCAGTTGCCGCATCTGCAAGAACAAGAATAGCCATCGAGGCTGTAGATAATGAGGCCCACATCTTGAACTGATAACGCGCGCGTAATGAGTGTTTTGAAAAGTAGGGAACTGCGGAAGCAATTCCTAGGTTGGAAAGAGTGTGCTTGTATATGATCGGTGCTACCGTGTGAGTGAATGAATGGCTTCGCGTCTTCGAATGTAAGGAGTGGCTCGGACGCGTTGCACACTGCCGCCTAGATGCTCATGAGGCTGCTTGGTATATCTCCGGTCTCGATAAGGCCAATGGGAAGAATGCACACTCTCGAAAAGAAAGACCGTCTCCAAATGTACCAGACAAGTTGGAGCTGTTTCGCACGTAGATATCTGGGGTGTGTTGAGATTGGCAGCGGCAACACCCCTATATAGAGCCTCGAAGAGAGACGGCTATAGTTGAGCGAAATACCCAAACGAATGGACTTGAACCAGATAAAGATAACCCCTTTTTAGTCCTCGTGGGCTAAAAATGGAACGCGGGGCGAGAGACTGGCGCGCCGGGTTCTGTGATAGACGGCAGGGCAGAGCAAAAGAATGTAACGGAGCCGAGTCCTGCACGCAAAGAATGTAGATCTAAAAGCACGAACGAACGGACGGCGTCAAGAATAGATTGATGGTGGACAATGAGAAGATAATATAGAAGAACGATGAAGACGACGGACGTGATAAAAAGGTAGTGCCCACCTACCTACCTCCCCTCCGCTCCCAACATCAATTGAATTGAAATTTGCCCCCACCTATCGATCATTCCCCCCTTACATGGTTCTTCCACCTAGAGAGTTCTCATCGAGTCTTCGCTGTTGGAGCCTCCGGAGTATTCTCTAGATGTGCAGGAGAAGCTGATGTTGATGAAACGAAGCGGCGATAAACTGGCGAGAGGTGTCGATGCGCTATTGGTCGCGGCGGGAATAAGGGGGAAACGAAATACCCCGTGGGCCAATAGGAAGCAGCCGGCAGTTCGCTTTGTTTCGACGTTGGTCTGGCCAGATGATAGGGCAGCTTATCGGAAATAGAAATTCTGGAGGTTGCATTTCGTATGTAGGGGCTTCCTTTCCATTGTTTGTGAAATAAACCTCAACGCCTACAGTAATTGAGTAGAAAGACGACCATGCTAAGAATCAAAGTAATAGTAATATCAGCGCCTGGTAACGCTGGAGGCAAAGTCTTTCGGAGACACCGTACTGTACAAACTGCAATTGCGGAATACCCATTTCGGTAAAGGGCGGCCGTTATGCTTTGTACAAGGCGGTGTTTCAGCCCAACCCATCATCGGATGTCTAATCTACGAAAAAGGACTAGGTTAATTAAATGCTCCGGAAGTCTAGCCGAGGGCCTAGACACATTAGCAGGCCAGCTAAAAGATGGGTTTAATGCACTGGACTTGATTTGACGTTGATGCTAATATTGCTGTTCAATCTTGAGGAATTCTGGATAAGCAATAGGTATCTAGTCATAAACACATGGTATCATATTCCATATAAATACTTTTCGTCGGGCAGAAAACACAACATGGCAGCTCGTACATACCATTTAAAACGTCGTCAACGCTGACTTACTCTCCGTCCAGCGCCACAGTAACTGCTTCCAGCTCACAGCACCGATAACCAAGAGCACATAATAAGCAATTGTCCAAATCAATCCCAGGCTTCCGTCAGTAGTCGTCCTCGCAGCATCCTTTCCGTCCCTCCTGTCATTTCCCACATCAGGGCCAATCACCGTCTCCTCCCCGGCACTCAGTCTACCCCAGAAGCGTGGGAAGCCCATCCAGTTGCAGAACGCATGTACAAAGATCACGGCGAGGAGACTCCCGGTTCGCAGATACAAGAAGGTAGCATATCCGCCGAATAGCGTTGTATATGTGAATTGCAATAGGGACCGAAGGATGGCTCCGATCACGGGTGTATGGGGATGGGTGATGCGGAATTCGTAGAAGTGGTGGAGGTGCGCGAGGCCGAAGACGATAGGTGTGAGGAAGATGATGGTTGTGTTCGAAGTCTGCGCGAGAATGAGGAGGGGAACGGAGCAAGATCGAAATAGCACTTCTTCGGTCACCGGGCCCTATGAGGTTGAATGTCAGTATAACTGATGGGGGGTATTTGGTATAGAGCGGGAGGGATGGGCCGTACTGCAACAATGTTCCGATAGCCTATCCATCCATGGGTTATTTCACCCAGACCCCGCAGACGTATCCAATCCCTCCAACCCCCCATAATGACCCCCGCCTCAAAAAGGGGTCCCAGGAAAAGGATTGCAGTTAACCCAACCGCTTGGATAGCCTCCAGGAAGCCAACCGGGAACCACCCCATGGCGTGGAGGGATTTGATCGGGTTGCCATCCTCAGGGATAGAGCCGAGGATGACGAAAGTTAGGACGGAGCATATAATGCAGGATGTTGTTACGGAGGTAATGCGGCCTCGAATAACGGAGGGGGCATCGCGGGATAGGTTGGGCGAGGGGCGGGTTGTCGACGAGAGGTAGAATGGAACCACGTAGATGAGGGTGTACACAACCTGAGACGGCAGTATCGTTAGTCCATGGCTTTTCTCTCTGGTGCAGACATAACAAGGCCAACCATACCAACAAGGCTACTGCGACATAGGTGCTCAGGGCGGGCTTGGGGGGCTGCTCCTCTGCATTGCATTGCTTGTCAGTTGAAGGCAGGATGGGTGGAGGGGCAACGCCGACGAACCTGTCTCGTGGGGGAGGTAAGACTTCAGACGAGAGTACAAGTCGGTAGGGGCCATGCTACTGCTACTGAGCAGTGCGATCCCTACTCTTCTAGTTTGCTGCGAGAGTCGTCAGGGCGGATAGGCGCCTGGGGTGTGAGAAGCGTTGTAGTGCTACGAGTACGGCGTGTATTCGGATGGATGGGATGCTGTGTTGAGTTGTCGATGTCTGGGAGGATTTATTGGTGGCTTGCTGTCGATGCATGTGCATTACATTACATGATACATCTGCATGCGTGTCTCGAAGTCGAAGCCCCTTTGATGTTTGTCTCTCCTTTGTTTACAAAACAACAGCGGCGTCAAGAGAGGGCTGCCAATGCATTCATGCTCGACGCATACGGAGCATGTACTTCATTGTACGTAGCAACTCTAGCGATTATTATTGGCGCATCCTTGAAGTCTTTTGTTGCTGGGTCACGTGTATGCAGCCGGATGAAGCAGCGCAGAGAGGAGCGCGTATCTGACACGAAAATCCACGGTCGAACGCGTAAATACGAAGTTCCTCTCTAATTATAACAATCCGATAGGCTGTTAGCGAGTTGAGATTTCAAGGAAGGTCCACCGTTCCACCGTTCCACTCGCAAATCATCCACCACGATGCATCGATCGGAGAACCCGGCAAGCAGATGGATATGTGCTGATCATAATTGTTACTGTACGGGGAATTATGACAGGTGAGCTAGCCATGAGCATGGGATGATTGATCTTGGGACTCCAGCCTCTCCTCAATAATAGAAGAATAATAATAATAATAGCAGCTAATATCAAAAGCTATGCACCAGAATAGCTACCTTGCACCATGTGCCCATTGGGCAATTGAGGCGTCTTTTCAAACAAGTTATTGCTCCATCGAGCCAATTTCATCAGCTCAATTAATACTCAGGACCAATGTACCAATGCACGAGGGACAATGTACTGCAACTCTAGCATGGTTCTCTCTGGCCCAGCTGCATCTCAGCGTCGAAATGATCGAATAGTCGCCAGTCCAGCGTCTCTCGCGCATAAAACTACAGCCCAAAGCGGGTTCACGCCACGACCCAGAAACCTACACCGTCTGCAGCGGCCACCGCTAGGGGAAAAGGAGCAGCGCAAAGTCTCCGCAACGCTGCGCAAGTCGACGCAAAGTCAGGGCAATCCCAACGCAGCTCTTCAGCCAAAAGAATATGACAGGACGGCGAGAATCAAGGCTCAAGAGGCGTCAACGGCCCCTGAGAGCCACATGTTCCATCCCCGTTGCCGGCGGCTCATTGGCGTGCTCATGCCAGGTAAACAGGCCTCAATTCGCGTCCGCCGTCACCGCCAACTGCCAGCGAAAGGACCCGGCCAGGTTGCGTATCTTTTCTCCCCTCGCTTTCTTCGTATCTCTCTCTCTCTCTCTCGCTCCTCCATTCCCCAACTGTGCTGCTTACCAGGCAGCTTGAAACTTAATCTCCTCCTCCATCCTTTTCTTTTCCTCACCTTCGTTCAATTGTTTTGTCCTCCTAATTCCAATCGCGCCCTGTTCTCACGATACACGTCCTCACGACCACACGCCGTTTTCATATTATTATATCTCTTTATTAATCCGTACGCATATTTTTATTATCCGTCAACCCTGAAACTCCTATCGCCTCCCACCACCACAACCACCTCGGCGACACAGGCCTCATCGCCGGCCCCCTTCTATACTCTAATACCTATATGTATATATAACCCAGCAGTCATCCTCATCTCCAGTTCCCCACCCGAGGCCAGCATCTTTCTTACCGACGGCCTGATTTATCTTCGCCATGAGAACAGCGACGAGGTAGTAGACCGCATGGGATGGTTCCCGAGGCCGAGACAATGCCAGAGCATTCGCCCTCACGACGGCCTCTCCACGAACGCAGCAGCTCCCACAGCAACCGCAGTGCGAATGCCCTCAGCAGCCCTCGAGCTGCCGGTGCTATTCGACTGGTGCCCAGCACACCACCACAGCTTTTGAGCACCAACACCAGCATCGCCAGTCCCAGCAGTGTCACCAGCGCGAGCTCCGCCTACTCCAGCTCCAGCACTATCGCCAACACCACCACCAGCACGGCCGAGACCGGTTCAGATGCCACCTCCACCTCCAATCCCAATTGCAATCCAAATCCCAAAGATCGCAGCCTTGCCGTCACCCCGAGGGATGAGATTTATTCTCGGACTCCCCTACCAACTCATCCCTCGCACATTTTGCTGGCCCCTGCCCGGAACAAGGATGCCGCATTAGTCCGCGAGTTTCGAACATCTCCCAATGCGTCCAACAAAGCCGCTTCGAGTGGTCCGTCTGTGTCGTCTACCCTTCCTACGCATACAACGCATCATCAGTCTCCTTCAAATGGCGACCCTGATACAGGATCCCCAATTTCCAAGCCCAAACCCCCGGCCAAAAAGCGCTTGCATATCCACAGGGACAACAAGACCTTCTCACTACTGGAGGATGGCCATGCCCAATCAGTCGACGCCTCCCCTAGATCACCGGTATTGGCCCTCTCCCGGACAAGCTCCTTCGATTCGCTGGCGTCGGAGGCATATCATGCACGAGGCCGGTCCAATTCTGAAGAATCATGCCTACCCTCCGCGGCTGCCACTCCAGCTCCCGAGGAAAAGAACACAATACCGGCTGATCCTATAGCCAACTCACCCTGGAATTATCAGCTAGTTGGCGGCCTGCGCAAAGTTCCGAAAACTCCAGATCTCAAGCACAAGATATCTGAAAGTCCTCTTCCACCCCTCCCAGAACTCTCCGACGTAGCATCGGCCGCGTCGCCAGAACTCTTTGACATAGCATCTGCTGCGTCGCCGAATCTCTCGACCAAGCCGTCCTTTCGATCGACTGGCACTGCCACGACCACGTCGGAGAACACAAATTACAAAGTCTATGGCGATATCTCCCCATCCATTTCCCACTCCGCGCTTCCACAATCTTCCCCCGCCAACTCCAACTACCAATTAATTGGCCCTCCTTCCGAACCTTCGACTACCTCATCTGTTATCTACCGGCCACAGACAGCTATATCGGAGGACGAGAACTACCAATTGTGGGGAGAACCAAGTCTAGCAGAATCTTCAGAGAACCTTGTACAGCGTCCCAAATACTCCCAAGAATCGTTGGTAGTGCCCCCTCTCAGACCAAGGGCGAGGAGGTCAAACGAGAACTTCGGATACTACAAGTCTAGGTCAAGAGAGTCACTCCGCACTGGCTCGCTGACTTCCATCTCATCGGTCTTGTATCAGCAGGAAGCAGCGCACGCAATTCCTGGCAGCGGGCCGCTAATCGCTCTTCCCATTCTCACCCCAGCAACAGAGGAATCGGGTGTATGGGCCGAAACGTCAGGCACTTACCCACCGCGGGCACACATGAACGATCACCCGCACCAATGGAGCTCACAGCTTTCAACTGTGGTCTCAGAATCCGAAGGTGGGAGCCTTCGCGATTTCAGGGAATTGTCATCAGAGCATGGACGACGGAGCAGCGGGTTTCGAAGCATAGGAAGTCGCACCAGTCGGCCAGTGCTGAGCATTGGCTCCTCTTCAGCACTAGAAGAAGTCAGAAGCGAATCTCTGGAAAGCCCGGAGCCGGCGGTCACCAGAGGCGGCAGGCGACATCCCAGCAGCTCCTCAATACCAGTTGTTGGAGATCAAGATGAATACGGGGACGGGATCACAGATATGCAGGACCTACGTGCGCGGCCTTCAAGAGCATTCCTTTCGTCAGGATATTTCAGCTCCGCGTCCTCGGATGATAATGGCCGTACGAGTACTATGCGCTCAACTGGGAGCTCTAGAGCGAACAGTTTGTTGGCGAACTCCTTGCCTTCATGGGCAAAGGTCTACTATGGGAGCGGCGAAAGGCGCTACCTTGCGGCACCTGCGAGCAGTGCCGGATCAATTAACAGCCGTCAGAACTCATTCCGAAGCGGGTCACCGAATACGGACCATTTTCCCATAAATCTGCACAGTCCTAGGAGGCGGCCTAGAGAGCTCCGACTAGGAGGACATGCGACCCAAGATTCTTTAGAAGTTAGTTCTGCGGAACAGTCAGGCGGTCCAGAGCGCCATATTAATCACCCTTATAATTCGCGACGGTACAGGACCTGGAGCTTGTCGAGCGTATGGTCTCCGCATTTGCGAATGGATAGAAGAGCGACGGGTCATACTATGTGGGATCCACCATCAGTAAATTGGTCTACGGATGGTAGTTGGCACGGTAGACGAAATGTACAGATAGTAATGTTTGTTATGGGGTTTATTTTTCCTTTTGGTATGTATCCGACCAGTGGCATATATTTGATAGTTTTGCTAACGTCTCAAAACAGCCTGGATGATTGCGGCATGCCTACCCTTGCCAATGAATCCTGCGTCCGAAATGCAAGACCAAGATCCGGAAGGGAGCTCTAGCAACACTAATAATGCTCCGAATGATTATGCTCGGGAATTTGGCCCGATGGATATGAAGAGATTCGAAAATGCGAGGTGGTGGCGGAATCTCAATCGATGGATGTCCGTGATTGGAGTTTTTATCATCGCTGCAGTGGTACGTATTTCTTTTCCGCTCCTGGCTAAAACCTGTTGGCTAATAATGATTGAAGGTCATAATTTCTATCGTCAGCGTCAAGCAAGGCTGGAGGAAGTCTTGATTTTAAATACCATTATGATCGAATTTCCCTCTTTATATACATATCACGACGTCGTCCTCGTCGACAACCCTCTTTCAGCACTCAGCTTCACCATCTCTTATATTCCTTTTATAACGCTCTCTATATATCACGACATATACGTCACCCAACACAATTCCCTAGGTCTCAACACTCACGACCAACCACCATCATTTACCCAAAATATTTTCCTACATTTCTTCTATCACAACTCGATAGACTGGACTCCAGCGCAGGGTCCAGCACCACCAGACGAATCAAACCTCTGAATTACGAAACCCACAAAAGTTTGTATATTACACGCCCTTGTCTACGATTGATTAACGAAAGCGAACGGAAAACAAAGGGCCTTATCATCATCATTATTCATTTCTTCAGCGCCATATACCCTTCATATTTTACTTTATATTCTCGGCATCAAAGTGTACTTTTAGACCAGTTTTGCAGATAGACTTGTTTCTTGTTATTTGCAGAGGAAGTAAAGGGGGAGATGTATATGTATAACCAGATATCGTTTTTGTCAGAACTATTTAATGGTTAATGAATTGAGAAATATGAGATTTTACATATACGGAATCTTCAATATCTTGCTTATGTGCCATCCTTTTCGAAGAATGGATTAATTGATATCTAATCGCATGTGAGAGATCGGTGGGAAAGCAAAAAAAAAGCTGATATAGTTCGATAGCTCGAAGCACCACTGTACCTACTTTCCCTCGAAAACCTCCCTAC